GTGAGGTCTCTCTGGATTTGCTGCTCGTATTGAACTGGGAGGCAGCCGAAGCATGAAACATGTGCTCAGGGTTGCAGGACTGTGGAAGAGATCGAAACAGTTTGAAAGACTACGCTGTGTGACATCTGTAGCTCGAGATTTTTTATTTTCCAACATCTCGAGAATTTTCACCGTCTGCTGCCATGCCGTCGATGAAGCGCCCGGCTGCCTCCGAGGGAAGCTCTGCCAGGAAGAGCTTGAGGGCCGAAGACTTGCAGTTGGTGGCCGCCGAAGGACAAGAGCTCGACGAGAAGATCGAGAACTTCAGGCAAAGCTCCGAGTGTGGATCCGGCACGCAAGCGGTGGATCAGTTCTTCAAGAACTTGACCACCAATGAACGGATGAGTATTTGGAAGAAGTTTGAGAGCGACCGGCACAGCACCCGGGCCAAGGCCAAGGAAGTCAACGACGCCTTCGAGAACTTGAAGGGCAAAGGCTCGATGGATCAGAAGAGGTCCATGCTGAAAGCATGGCTGAAAGGCGGCTTGAAGGAGGCTGCCATCGTGGCCAGCCTGGAGTTTGAGAACACCACGACCAAGGCCGAGGAAGAGGAGTGGCTGCCCCTCCACAAAGCGAAGTCGCACTACGGCGAGTCCGAGCTCAAAGCTCGCCTGGAAGCAGGCGACTTGCTTCAATTTCGTGGGTCTGTGATCGTTTGCAGGGCTAAGTTTTAGATTTTGCAACATGTCGGCTTTATGTGCTTTCAACACGGAGGCACGCTGGAGTGGAGGAAGTGCAAAGACGACAAGAGGTTCATCGAAGTCCGGAAGGTGAAAGAAGCCCGGAAGAGAGAATCAACGAGTCGCCATCGCATGTCGGCTACGGGAACTGGGAAGCTTCAGAGCCCCGGGCTTTTGGCAAACCTTCTTTCGGAGAGCGAAAGCGAGGAGAAGAACATGCCGGAGGACTTGGAAAAGTTGCTGGGTGTGAAGAATAAGGAGAAGGAGAAGGACCAGAAAGCCTTGAAGGAGAAGGAGAAGGAGCAGAAGGCCTTGAAGGACAGGGAGAAGGAGCACGAGAAAGCCTTGCAGGCCTGCGACTCGGCGAGTGTCGCTTTGGACGAGACGGACAAGGAGAAGGCCTTCACGAAGCTCAGCACGGCGATGAAGTACGCCAGTGCCACCCACGACAAGATCGAGCAGAAGATCCAATTCGGCAAGATGTCTTTAGAGATGAAGGGGATGGGGTCAAAGATCATGAAGTCCCTTCGGGCCGTCACGAAGGATTTGCTGCCTTTGAAAAGCAAGCTGAAAAGCGCCAGCACAGCGACCAAGGCGAAGAAGCTGTGCCTCCAGATGGCCAAGTTGATCAAAGACGCCGAGAAGTGGATCAGCGAGATCCCCGCCGACAAGTGAGTGTGGCGAGATTTGTTATCTCCACCGCTTGGCCAGCTCGATCGCTGACCAAGCTTCGCTGGATATATCCTGTATACAGTTTTGATGTTTTGCTCCTGCCGCAGGAAACGACAGACTAGAGCCTCGCTCACGCTTTTGCTTGAAAATGCCGCATGACATGCACAGTGGAAGGATAACGCCGGCACTGCCCCATGTTTGGGATAGTAGACTTGACAGGCCAACTTCCAGGCCAACTTCCAGGCCGAAGTCTTTGTGCCGACTCTGGTGCTTCATAAAAAAAGTGGTTGACGGACCGAGTGCCTTTTGCAATGCCTGCAAGCCTGGAAGCAGCTCCTCAAGCTCGTTGTTGAGTAGCTCAAAACCGACAATGCCTGGATATAGGCAGGCTTTAGACCTGCAAGCCCATGGGCCTGGAGAGGGCAGCGATGTCGAGCATGACATGCCTGCCGTAGTGCAGGAGCTTCTTCTTCTATGGTCTCTGGGCGAGATGTCTGCAGCTGCTGTCCAGCGACTGGCTCATTCTCTGGTGTTGGACGGCCAGAGACATGAAAAGATCCTGGAATTAGCAGCATTGGGGGCCTTTGGGCAGCAGCCAGGCAATGTGAGCAGGGACTTGCTTACCAGATATAGTGGAGATATCAGGGTATGCAACAGCACCAAACTCCAGGTGCCGTGTTTAGACCCCAAGTCCAACCCCAAGTTGAGCAGAGAGGAAACATCGTTGTTGCTGCCTCACGACCTTTTCGTCTCTTTAGCCGCCGAGTATAATGATACGTTCCAAGCGATCATGGGGCTAGATAAAATACCAGATTTTTGGAAGCAAGTTCGCCGTGACGATTGGCATTGGACTTCGGAGTACCGACAGGCCGATTTCTCCAACCCTTACTGCATACCGCTCTGGCTGCACGGAGATGGTGTCGAGTACGCAGACAAAAGAAGTGCCATGGTTCTCAGTTGGGGAAGTTTGACTTGCTTGGGCTTTGCCCCAACAGTGTCAGCCTTGTTCGCTTGTTGCTTTGCTAAGCAGGCCACAAACAAGGATGAAGATCCGGATGGTGTGGAGGATACATTTTTGCCTCTGTGGCAACAGCTGAAGTGGTCTTTCGAGGCTCTCCTGCAAGGGGATCACCCGTCCAGGGATCACAACGGTGACCGTTTTCCTCCAGGGAGTTATCGTGCCAAAATGGCTGGGAAACCATTGTTTCAGCCGGTGCCAGACGGACCCAAGTACAGAGCCTGCCTGTGGTCGATCGTCGGCGACTACGAATGGTTCAGTTTGGACTTGAAACTGCCACACTGGAATTCCAAGCAGATGTGTGGTTGGTGCAATGCTCGCAGAGATGACGATGCCAAACTTTGGAGCTGCTTCAAGCACAAAGGATGGAAGTCCAAAGGCATCAACGACTATGAAGCCAATCCTGTGTTCACGCAGCCCCACATTTTGTATACTTTCCCATTCGTGCAATCGTTGAGTATATGCATTGATGTGCTGCACTGCATGGATCTAGGGGTCCTGGTGAGGTATGAAGGATCCGTTTTAAAGCATCTCATCTACCACGAGCTGCCGAGCGATGCCCGAACCAACCTTGACAGAGTCTGGGAGGCAATTCAAAATCGATACGAACCGAATTGCAAATCCAGGCTGACGACCCTGACTTTGGCCATGATCGTTCCCAAACCGAAATCGCCTCACGCATCCCACCCAGTATTGAAGCTCAAGGCGGCTGAGGCAAGGCATTTCTTGCCCCCGTTGACTAGCTGTTGTGAAGCATTGGGGCCGAAGACAAAGGTGCAGAAACTGAGGTTGCAAGGTTTGAAGCAGCTGTGTTCGTGGTATGAACTTTTGGACGAGATCGAGTTCGTGCCGAACGACGCACAAGCCAGAAAACTGAAGTCTTTGCTGCACGGCTTTTTGATGGTCAATGAGGAGCTGTGTGAATGGGCCAGAGAGCAAGGTTTCAATATTTACGAACCAGTACCGAAGAATCATTATTCCTATCACCTCGCAGAGCTTGCGAAGTACATCTCACCCAAACGGGTCTGGAGCTACAAGCAAGAGTCTTTCATGGGGGTGATTGCAGGTGTGGCAAACTCGTGTTCCTTCGGCACGAAGCTTCCCAGGATTGGTTTCAAGATAACTGAGAAAATGAGATACCTCATGCACTTTCACTGGCAATTTGGCCGGGTACAGGACAATGAAGACTAGAGTGTTGCCACTGCTGCAGCTGGAAGAGGTCGTGTCGCTGCCACGTACCGTGTTGCCTTTTTGTGTTTTGGTGGATCTGCAGTAGATGTATCAACGTTGGGCAGGTTGGATGACGGATCGCATCACAACCATCCTGAAGCATCTGGGCGATAACAGGGGCTGCAGAAGCCCCATGCGATTGGGCCGAAGAGGCCCACCGACAACAGGGGCTGCAGAAGCCCCATGCGATTGGGCCGAAGAGGCCCACCGACAGCAGGGGCTGCAGAAGCCCCAAGCGATTGGGCCGAAGAGGCCCACCGACAGCAGGGGCTGCATAAGCCCCATCCAAGATGAAGGGTTCAAAACATGCATATATATATATATGCTTAATTCATATAATTTTCTATTGGTTTTGATGCTACTTTTCTATTGGTTTTTATGCTACTTTTCTATTGGTTCTTATAGTGGTTTCGCTTGGTTTCTTTAAGCATCCACGCTTGGTTTTGTGTTCCCGATTTTCTATTGGTTTTATGTCTGAAACCAATCGAATGCGCTCGAAATAAACCCAAACCAATCTCTATTGATATTTACAATCGATCTCGAATTTTTTCAATCGATCGATGCCCTGGATAGGGTTATAATTAAGGTAACTATACTTATAGCTACTTATAACCCCAATTAAGGTACTCCTAACCTTACTTACTAAGTCCCATGATCCTCCAAGTGAGAGCGGCTTCGGCTAGAGCTGCACAGTTCAGGGACCAGGGCTTAAGGTTTCGGGTTTAGGGAGCTCTGTGCTAGGGTTCTTTCAGAGCTCTGGAATACATAAGCGTCCTGTATAAGGGTTTTATATATTTATATATTTATATATATATAAGGATTCTGTAAGCCCTTCTAGAAAGGTTCCAGAAAGTGTCTAGGGTTTAGCGTTGAAGCTCCTTCTTTCAGGGTTCCTGAAGCGGTTTCTTTGAGGCGAGTATGCGGGTTGGCAAAAGGGCGGCTATATGGGTTTCAGGACTTCGGGCTTTGGGATCGGAGCTTTGGGTTTGGGGTTTAAGGTCACCGATAATCTTACTGAGAGAATGACACTTAGGGACAGCAGAGAGAATGGGGGGAGCATGGGGTAGCACAATGCACTCCGCAAGAAGGAGCCCTTCACGCGCTAGAGCCCGAAGCCCAGCCTTCTTTCACTCAACAACAGAACCAGAACACCCAAAGCGCTAAAGCCCCTACATATAATCACTACACAAAGCCAGCACACAAACCTATTTGCACCCTCGAAGCAGAAATGCCAAGCAGCCCAAACACCCCGAAGAAAGAGAAACCTTCAGACTCAGAACGCCCTGCACCATAACCCCTCAGAAGATTCAAACCCTGAAACCTCCCAACACCCTCCAAATCCCCTCAGTGCCCAAATTCACCTGGTCGAGACCATAATCCGGAGGCATAGTCGAAGATCTCCACCTGCAGGATGTGGGTGGTTGTCACAAATTAGGGTCCCGTTTTGGGTCCCTATTATAATAGTATTTCGGATACCCGAACCGGGACCCTCATTTTGACAACTACCCATGTATAGTGCTTATGGACCCTTTTAGTTGCTGCGGTTGGTTTTGGGGTTTAAGGTTTAGGACCTGGGGGTTGGAGGTAGGGTTGAGGGACTTGACGTTGAGGGTTTAGGGTCCTCAAAGGCTTTTCATCAACGGTTTTGGAGATGTGGGACTTGTAGGGATCTCGGATGTTGCGGTGGTTTTGTGACGCAGGGTTTATGCTGTTTAGGATCTAGCAGGGTTCAGGGTTTAGCGGGGGGTTAGTGGCTCAGGGGAAAAATGGCCCCAAGGTACAGGTAGTTAGGGTCTAATAAAGGGTAGATGGAGGGTCTAGGTAGGGTTACGTTCTTTGATTCTGTCTTCGGGTCACTTGAGATTTACTTAGTGGCCGAAGGTTAGTTAAAGTAATTAGGTTGCTAAAGAGGCGAGGGTCTCACGATAATAGTGACCACCTAAATCTGATTTGGTTAATGATGGTATAATACCTCTTAAACCAGGCTAGGAAGTCCCTAGCGTGTGCTGATGGGCTTGGCTGCTGCAATGCGCACCCGACAAACTCGATCTTATTGGAAACCTTTGTGCTGACCGTGGGTAAACCTGCGGTCTCCGCCTTCCATCTGCATGGTGCTAGATGGTCGCGTGGGTCCTTAGAGCTGGCGCCGCCGAGCTCATTGACCATGTTGGCGTGTGGCTCTTCGTTGTTGCCCGACGGCACATACAGGCCACCCTCGGGTCTTGTTTTGGGCAACGATGGCAATGTGTGCGCGACCCTTGCCTTGAGGCTTCCCTGCTTTGCTGGTAGGGAATTTGCACTCTGGGTCGCCGGCCCAATGGCCTATCGCACCGCACCTGAGGCACCTAGACTTAGCAAAGACTCTGCATGTGTAGGCATGGTTGCACTAAAGCCCTCACAGATAGAAATCCCCGAAACGGAAACCCTTGGACGCCAGACCCCCCGCCCTAAATTGATGAACCAAACTTGAACAAGAAACCCACAGAAGGACACCAAACCCATGACCTCAAAACAAACGGAGCCTCTTGTCTGCAGTTAATCGTTAATCCCAAACCCAGCCTGCTCGTGGCCTGCTTAGGACCCGTGTTCGTTAGGTTGTAAGGTTGAAGGGCCTACCATGCTGCACCCCAATGTGGGATACAGTAAGAATGCTCCACGGAGTAGCAACCAACCAATGTGACAAGAAACAGCTCTTAATTCTTAATCGCCTTAATCAACCTTCTTAAAGAATCGCGGGACCTAGTAAGCCGGTTGAGTTAGGGATGCCCTCGTTGGAGGTAGCCCTCGGGCATGTCAAGTCCTTCCACCCCACTCCTGTATCATGACTACAAGCTCCAAACATAAATTCAAGTGAAACTGTTGATGATACAAATCCTGCATTTCCCTTAAGAACCCAAAGTTATGGGAATTGTGGTATATTCCTTATTATGGGTAATGCAGGATTTATATCATCAACCGGAGCTCTTCGGCCGGAACCTTGGACCCTGAGCCCCAAACTCCGGCTATACACTACTAGTAATGTTGTCATACAGAGCCGCCTTTTGAAGACCCTAAACTTGGCCCTAAACCCGGAAAGCCCTTGGCCCTAGGCTCCAAACACTTGCGGACAACGGAAAGACCTAAACTAGACCCTGAACCCCAAACTAAACCCCGAATCCTTGCAGGAACTACAAAAACACCCTAATCCCCAAAATCAAAAAATTAAAAAAACAACTCCAAACCCTGAAAGACTACCGAAACACCTGGAAGTACTTCCGAGGTCTCCGCCTGCCAACCCTGCAGGACGCAGTCATTCAATGTCAGCGAGCCGGGACTGGCGGAGCCGTTGGCATTCTACTTAAAGGTCATGGGAGTTAGTAACTAGCGTTATAGTTACGGTAACTATACTTATAACCCCAATTAGGGTGCTTATAACCTTACTAAGTCCCATGATCCTCCAAGTACAGTCAACGGTGGAAACCCTGGGCCCCTAGTATGGGCCTGAAACCTTGGGATCCATATATACCTACCATATACCCGATATAGACTCTTAAGGGTCCCTACCTTGGATTTAGTTTCAAGTGGAGTGCCTTGCCCTAAGGGTCCATGTGCCCAAAATGGCATATACATTGGCTTTAAAGTAATTCCTAAATGGGTACTTTGGGGCCTAAGAATATACGACTTGGGCCCGGGCACATGGAACCTCAGGGTTAGTTAAGGACTTTATCGAAACCCTACACCCTACCTAGAGGCTCATGCCTTACCCCTTTTTTGGATACCTAGTTTTAGGGTTAGGATCTGTGATATAGAAAAGCACATGCCCTAAACAAGGGGTAGGGTATGAGGCTACTGGCAAATTCTGAGTCAGACCGAGTTTAAGGTCAAGGCTTTACCTATACACATCGGCCCCATAGCAGTTCCTTCTTGGGAATATTTTACGGGATTCTACATATGAACCCAAAAATGGAACTACTATATTACGTAGTTCCTTCTTGGGATTCCCTTACATATGGGATTTTACATATGAACACCACAACTGAACTTCTATGGGGCCTATCATTTAAGGGATATGGCTTGAATTGTATAGGGCTTCACACTAAGATTTAAGCTATGTTCCTTCATTAAGGAATATGGCTTAAATTCTATAGGGCTTCATCTGATTGAAGCTATGTTCCTTAATGAAGGGGTATTGGGCTCTCCGGGGTGCGCCATGAAAGATCAGGGGCGCATGTGTTAGGGCCCCCAAAAAAGCACATAAGCAAAAATGAGGATAGGGATATCCCATATAAACCCCCTTATAATGAAGCCCAATAAGGTAGGGATATCCCCATAAAGTGCTTATGCTTATGTGCTTTTGGGGTCTCTAACATGTGTGGCTTCAGGCCTGGTGACCCATGACGCGTGGTCTGTCCACGGGGTGAGCACTTAAAGGGTCCTGGGACTTAGTAACCAAGGGTTCTAATGTAGGGTTCTATAAGGGTTCCTTTAAAGGGACCTATAAGGTATCTTTAAAAGGTTTAGCTTTAGGGTTTAGGGGAATACTTAAAGGGTCCTGGGACTTAGTAACCAAGGTTATAATTAGGCGATAATTGAAGTAACTATGCTTATAATTACGTATAACCCCAAAAAGAGTGCTCATAACCCTGCTTAAGTCCCATGATCCTCTTATAACTTACTCATAACCTCATAAACCATTGAGAAGTCCTCTGCATCCGCTGAAAAAGTAGTATATAGGTAACATGGCCCTCCACGTATACTTGGAGACGAACTTTGACAGATGATAATCGTCACCTTGAACATCTGATGGTGGACGTCAAAAATCATGATCTCGTGATGTCACCCCAACTGTAAGGGATTCGCTCAGACCTGCGGTGCTGGTACGGGCGAAGTGCGAGCTTTTGGACTGCGTTGCTTTGAAGGATCTCCTGCTGTTGCTGCTGCAGGATGGGACGCGGGCCGGGGCCGGGGCCGGGAACAAAACGTTTCAGGGTTTGTTGGGTGGGACCGTGCGGGACTTCTGAGCCGGTCAGAACACCTCAGCCTGTTCGCTGAACAGCTTGCTTTGCTGAAACCTTGGGCACTGATACCCGCGTGCCCCCACAACATTGCAAGGTTTGCGGATTGGGGGTTAGCTATCCAAGTTGGAAATCTGCACCATCCTCCCAAACTCAGTGACATTGCCGACATGAGGCATGCCATATGGCACTGTGCCTCAGAGAAAAAAGGCAAGTGCAGGAAGCTCTCGGCGGTCAGGCTCCCGTAGCTGGTCCCAACGATGTGCCAGTCTCGATATGCCCAAGCTTCCAGATACATCGCTCTTGCATGTTTAGGGTTTAGGGTAAACACTAGACATTCCAAGTTCAGCCCGTTCGGGAAATGTGTGCGAAAGGGCTTCAACAATCTGGTTTTGGGTTCAAGCATATACATTGAACCTAAACCCTCAACCTCAAACCGTAAGTTATAGATATGGAGTGGAGATTCGGGTTTACAGAGGCTTGCGCAGTTGTCTGAAAAAGCTTGCGGGAAAGGACTGCAGCTGAAACGGCCAAGTCTTAAAGAGTGCGCATCCTTGAACTCTAAGGGATCCTAAGTATGCTAAGGGTCATGTGCTCATCATGGTTGCTTCAAGGGTTCTACATGCGTGGCGTAGGTCTAGGGATATTTAGGGTGTAAGTTCCATGTACCAAGTACCCATATAATTAGTATAGACTTAGGCGTTGATGTAGTCCCTCTCTAGGTACTTCAGGGCCAAAGTATATTATGCCATATGAGCAAATGCACCCTTAGGAGAATGAAGAAACCCCTAAACCCTAAACCCCTAAACCCTAAACCCCTAAACCGTAAACCCTTAACCCCAAACTCTAAACCCTAAACCCCAAACCCTAACAGAACCGAAAGCCCTAAAGCCCAAAGCGCCGATCTACACCGTCCTTCTGAGCATTTTGCAGGGGCCTTACTAACTAGAACAGGGTTCCCTCGAAAGGGTGGGTTCCTTAGGGGTTCCTTGACAGGGGGTCTAGATGGGCTACCATAAGGGATACTATAAGGGCTCTATGATACCGGGGCCTTAATAATTAGAATAAGGTCCTACCTTTGAAGGCTCCTTTGATAGGGATTTATAGGGGTTACCATAAGGGTTACTATATTTTATATGTGCTTGAGGGATATAGGCGCCTTAATACTTTGATTTAATAGGGTTTCGGGGCGCATTATACCATAATTACTAGTAAGGAACCACCAAAATAGTATAGGTAGTTATTGAAGCCTCTATATACACGCTTTTCAAACCTTAAACACACGGAAAGCCGCTGCCGCAGTCATACACTTAGTCACACAGCCCTATGCCAAAGGCCCTACAGCCTTAATGCTCGACAGTCCCCAAAAACCTGCCGCCCTTAAGCCCAAAGCCCCGAAACGCAAAATGCCTACAACCTAGAACTCCTTTTCACTCCAAAACCTTGCACAATAGAAACTTGAATGATTACCAAGGGTTTCTTGTGATTTACTCTATTCTAGTTAGGCCCCGACAGTTAACCCTCAATCCACCTAAACCCCACAAGACATTCCAGCGGTGGGCCTTGGCGGAAGGGGCCAGGTTAATGTCACCTGCCCGAAGCAAAAGTCAGTAGGTCCGTTAAGATTAGGGTTTACAGAAGGTTTAAAAGTGGACGTCTTGGGGTTTTGAGACGTGGGTCATACTTCGGATTCTGGGTGCAGGGTTGCGGCGTTAGGGTTGAGAGTTTGGGGTGTTCAAGCTCACGTTTTGAGGTTTAGGGCAGGGTCCCACATTTCTTGCTTCAGGCCTGTGATGCCGCGCGCTCGCGTGAATGCATGCACGTGTGGCATTGTATGTGGTCGTCGGTCTCTCCGAAACGTGATGACTGTGAACGCAGATCCCTTTTATAGACAGACCCTCACGATTGGGCACCTATAGTTCTTGGAACACCCCATTAGGTTGGGACATATGACCCATTAGTTACACCCTTCACTAAAACCTCAGGGTCACTTAATACTTGCCTGCTTCGATCGCAACGGAGCTCGCAACAACGTTTACTTCTTGGGCTTTAGAGGGTATACTACAAGGGAGCTGCCCCCACCCTGTAATAGTGACTATAAGGATCATATTAGGGCCCTATTATTATACTCCTATTATACCACTGTTACAGGGTGGGGCCCCTTCTAAGACTAAACCCTTAACTCCGACCTGGATCCCTCTTGAACTGAAGCCCTACGCAAAACCTTAAACTCTTTCGAGAGGGCCGAACCTGGTCTACGCCCAGCACCGTCGCGTTTGGTGCTTCCATTCTTTCGGCACGCCTGCCGTAGAGTGTGCTCTATAGGGTCTAGTGCCTTGGCATTTACATGTAGCACTTACAATACAAAATTTACGGATTTGGCTTTCTGGATTTACACGTCGAGTTTCACAAACAGGAGGCTCCTACGTGTTGAGGCCCCTACATTAGTTTTACTCTGCAGAACAATATGGGTAGTTGTGAAAATTAGGGTCCCTTTTTGGGTACCCGAAAAATTAGGTGCCGATTTCTAAAAAGGACCCAAAAAGGGACCCTAACATTGACAACAACCCATAGATTAACCCCACATTCTCTTCGACCTTCAAGTTTATAAAACTCAAAGGCCCTAAGGACTTTGCTGTTGGGCCCAAAGGCCGTACTGCAATGGAATGTGCCTGAATTGAGCCTCAAAGTCTAAGAGTAAAACTCAAGCTCCACATTCAATGAGCCTGGGAAGTACCCAGGGACCAAAACCTTGCTTGAAGGATCACGGGACATGGTGAGTAGGTTTCAAGTTGGGCTACAGGAAGGAAAACCGGCCTAAGAGCATTTGTAAGCACAACCTGTCACAACCAGTCGTCGGATCCCTCATACCTACCAAAGCGCAACACCCGATGAAACTCCAAACAACCTACTGCGACACTCTGCAAAGACGCTAACATCATCCTACGGAGTCCTCCCAAGCTTGATCTGCCTTGGAAGTGTGAACACGGCGGAAGAGGTCGTCCAGGGCCCATCCAACGTTGCACTCTGGCAGCTCACCTGTCGGCGGGCTTTCGTGCTTTCGAGCTTTGAGGGTTTAGGGCTTGGAGCTTTCAGGGTTTTGGGTTTTGGGCTATTGCGTAGTAAAGTGCTCTATGGTTTTGGGCCATTGCGTGTGTGGTTCGTCCCCGATCTTCATGGGGCTGTAGGGTGCGGGGCTCGAGGGTTTCGGGGTGCCATCTCTGTGGGAGTTGTTGGTGTGCTAAGACCATGACGGCGATTATTCACAGCAACAGGAATAGGAGAAGTAGAGGCACAAGAAGAAGAAGTAGCAGTTTTCGTAGGAGGCGGGGGAGGAACAGCAGCAGAAGAGTGGAAGGGGCAGAGACAGTGGCAGTAGCAGTATGGTGCTCGTGGTGGCGGAGGCAGCAGCAACGATGGTAGAGATAGTGCATGTATAGTAATTAAATTGCTCGTCGTCGTCCTCGTTGCGGTCGTGTACTGGTGGTTCATTTGAAAACCCGTAGTTATGAGACAATGGAGTTATTGCCGCTGCTGCTGTAGGTCCGAATCTTACACTGGGGGCTCCGAGTTTGGAGCTTTGCTGCCCAGGCGCTTTGGGTTTCAAGACCAGGGGTTTTGAGTGTTGAATTTTGAGGATTCGCAGCCTGATATTGAAGGCTGAGACAATTAGACTAGGGTTCTGTGAGGTTTCTACTCTGCGAACAAACAGTTATAGACAGAACCATGAACATACTGCTACACTGTATGAACCCTATAAACCCTACGCCCTAAACGCACCAAAACCCATGAACCCTAAAAGCCCTGAGCCCCGTAAACGCCCAAAGCTGAAACCCCAGAACCTGACCCACAAAATGTATAAGCCCATCTGATTCTGGATGCGGATCAGGGTTTAGAGTGTAGGTTCTCGACCCCTCGAAAGTAAGTTGTTTATTACCCTCGGTATGAAAGCCCTCCCTCAGGCTCCATGTGCGCATATCGGTAGTTCTCGATCGGGTCCCTTTAATGGTCCCTTTTGATAAAAAGTGCCGTACTCTTCTGGGGACCTAAAAGGGGACCCTAATTTAGAGAAATACCCAAGAGGTATATACTTCGGGCCTTGCAGGGGTTCCTATATAGGTACTTCATGGAATACATATATGGTCACGCGCTCCGCAGCCCCCCCCCCCTCCCCCCCCCAAAGGTCAATGGTCCGGATATAGGGTGGGGCCCCCCCCCCTCCCCTGTGGTGTGGGGTGTGGGGTTCCTCTTCCCCCTGTGGGTGGTTGTGGGGTTTTGGGGTTTCGGGTTTAGCTTAAGCTTTTGAGTTTTGGGTTTACGGCTACAAGGTATAAGGCTTCGAGTCGACAAGGGCTTAGGGAGGATTTGCGGTGTATGCTCTGCTTTAGGCTTAGAGTAGCGTTTTAAGTACAAGTCAAGGTTGCTCAAAATCGGGGCACGGGCTGCGTCATAGGGTTTACGGCTTGCTTGCGAAGGGCTTGCGCGTGAGCCCTGGCCGCCAGCACCGCCCCACCATCCAGCGGCAGCTCCAACGGCCCCAACCCCTTTCCGCACACGCCAGGGCCCAGGGCCCCCCCCCCCCACCCCTGTCAGACCATACCATTGGGGGGGGGGGGCTGGGAACGCCAGACGCCTGACCATATATACAGCAGAAGCCCAAAAGTTGAAAAGCCGGTAGCCTCAAGCCTTAAGAGACATGTATAGGGAATCCCAGCACTAGTTGGCCTTAATCCGATGTCCAACTTTATGGGGGTTACTGTACCATATGGGTACAAGGAGCCTTTAGGGCTTAGGGGCGAGATCTTGCAAGATCCCTTCACTAAGAAATATACCTTAACTCCTGTAATGACTCTACTATAACTGAAGTACCCAGAGGGTCCATGTATACTAGCAGTATGGAATTAGGTCACCAAAACCATACAGCAACAGGGATGGCTTTTTGGGACCTAATTCCATAATGGTAGTATAAATCAACCCTCTGGGCTTTTTTCCTTAAACCCTAAACCCTAAACCCTGAACCGCCCTAAACCCCAAACCGGATATCGGAAGATTGAGATCCCACAGCTCCTTGGTGCGAAAGCGCACTGACGAAGCGGAGGGTAGCCCCGAGACGAAGCAGCTGCTGTCACCTAGGATGCCCCGTAACCTAGGAATAAAAAGGGCTCCCTTTTTGGTATTGGTAGCTGTATAAGGAACCTAGGACTACAAAAAGGGAACAAGGGTACTACTGGGCATCCTAGTCACCCTGGGATCAGAGTTTCATGCTGTTTAGGGCTGAGGGAAGCAGTTACTTGCATTAGTCATAACTCCTTACATCATAGCATACCAGAATTTGTATACCCCAAAACCCCATTCGGTTTTAAGGCCCAGTATCAAGGTCAGGTGTCTCGGGTCAACTATAGTAAGTTCGGTCAAAAGGCGCAAGCTCACGGATTTTCTATGGGTTCATAGAAGGATTGAAGGCTTTCGTAGGCTGTACAGAGATCTTTGCAAGCGCTTCTGGCACATAGGCTTTCTAGCGCTATACATGAGCGAGGTCTTACGGGGTCCTTGGACCTAGGGGGCCGAGGACTTCCAGGTTTATTGCCTTGAGCCGAGGGTGTACTTGGAGGATCATGGGACTTAGTAAGCAAGGCTATAAGTAGCTTAAAAGGGGTTATAAGTAGTTATAAGTATAGTTACCTTAATTATAATCCTAGTTACTAAGTCCCGTGACCTTTTCAGTAGGGCTTCCAGAGAGCTCGGGGCTTGAGGCCACGTTTAGGGCTGAGGTTGTGTCTTCGAAGGATCTTCGTCTATAACACTGAAGAGGGCGGGCCTTCAGAACTAGAATAGGGTTTTAGATGGCTTTAGGGTATACTCAGCGAAAACTATAGTACGGAACCCGAAGGTGAAAAATCGTGGTATTTACTTAGACCCCTGCATTACACTCTTATAAGGCCCCAAACTCTGTAACCCTAAATCCAAGCCGAGTGGCAGTAAGCTTGGGCACCCCCGCAGCTGGCCACGGAAGTCCATGTACTGCTGGCATCCTAAGGGTTGAGGCTTAAGAAAAGGCTCCTTTAAAAGGATTCTATAAGGGCTCCTATAAGGGATCCATAATAGGTTTTCTGTAATATCTGGGCCTAAATGATCAGAATGGGGGTTGAGGATTAAGGGTTTAGGGCTGACAGTTTACATTTGAGGGTCCAGCCCAGCGCTGCGAGTTTACGGTTTACCTAGAGGGTCATACCCTACCCCTTTTTTAGGGTACCTGGTTTTATGGTTAGGTTCTCTTATATAGAAAAGTAGGTACCTTAAAAAAGGGGTAGGGTATGACCCTATAGGTAGGGTTGAGAGTTTAGGGGTTTTACAGGGATTTCAAGGGGCTTCGGGTTGACGCGGGGTGTTTAAAGAACCAATGTACCGTAAGAGGGGTTTAGGGTTTAGGGTTTAGGGTTTAGGGGAAATGAAGCAGCAATACATAACAGCGCAGCTGCTTTCTTGAGATAATTTCTTGGTGACTTCAGGTAGAGTGGGTTTCGGGGCTTCGTTCGGACACTAGCGAGGGCCCACGTTCTCAGACACAACCTGAAGTTTCTGTACGGGCTTGAGGAGCGTATCTATTCGTCTTGTTGGGAGTATCGGAATATCTGCCGCATTTGGAGTATTTATGGGGCAACACAGACTCCGCACAATATGGTGCCTGGGCCTTCATACTTGTAGATCTAGCACAGGATTTGAGGGTATGTATGTAGGAGGGTAGTTCTCTAAATGTGGCTCCCTTGCTAGATCCCAAATACAGTACGACACCCTTATAGAAAGGGCCTTAGAAGGGACCCTAAGTTAGAGAACTAGTCGAGAGTAGACGAAAAATGCCGAAGACCTAGCAGACCAGTAATTTGAGTGTTCTGCCTTCGATGTGACGCGACGGTAAGAGCAGACAAGAGATCCCCGGTGTGGAGGGGCCTCTACATGAAATCGCGTTGAGACACTAGCTACGACCTTCATTCGCTATAGGGTTACCCTAAGGCTCTAAGGACACATATTACAGGGCTTTTGGGCCCAAAGATCATACCAAAGGTCTATATGGGAGCTTCCGGAAATAGGGGACCCCAATATAGTACCCTAAATAATAGGATCCTTATTACCCCTATTTTCGGAAACTTAATATATTAGGCTTTTGGGCCATTTGCCGCCTTGGGGGTTAGGTCTGAAGTCCAGGGTCCCTGAAACACATGGGGTGGTTGTCAAAATTAGGGTCCCTTTTTGGGCACCCTGAATAACTAGACCCAAGAGTAACCTAGGAATAAAAAGGGTGCCCTTTTTGGGTTAAAGGGGGTTATAAGAGAAGCCAAATCCTAAAAAAAGGGAATAAGGGCCTACTCTGGGTCCTAGATAATAGGTGCCACATTATATAACGGACCCAAAAGGGGACCCTAATTTTGACCACCGTCTACAGAATCCGGAGCGGAACCCCGTAAGCTGAAAGGAAAGGGTTGCCAGCTGGAGACCCAGAGCCAGAAACCTGAAGCAAAAAGCTCAACACAAGGAGCCTCGAAACCCCAACTTTTATATAGCTTCTTTAAGAGGCTATATAAAAGTTGGGGTTTCGAGGTTCCCAGTCAGTCCGAAGACTTTCTAGACCATCTTCGTAGCTTCTACCCAGACCCTTCAACGAGTAGTTACCCAGATAATGATAACGGTATGTCAGATACCTTTCTATGGGGCTTTCCCTGTTTGGCAGTCTGTTTCCCTTTGAACCCAAAATCTTACACCCTAAACTCTGAGGGAAGCGACTGAAATCAAGCCAAGGCTAAAAGCAAGTGGCGGTGGTCTGCCACTGCAGCTCGTACGCCTGAAACCGGCAATCCTGGGATATCCAAAGGGGGTCTGAACGGTTGGATTTAGGTGTTTAGATTTTTACTACACAAGACTTTTAACAGTGATTTAAAGGGTGGGTTTTCCATGATGTTGCTATCAGAGAGACTCCGAGAAATGATCTGCCTACCTAGCCACTAAACTAAACTTTTTAAACCCGAAACCCTGAAGCCTACGACCTAAATCCTAAACCCCCGATTCTACAGTTCGGTATGTAGGATTAGTTCGGCCCGCGGGTCTCAAAAAGAGTACTTTAGTGGACTTCAGTTCGGAGCCAGGCTTTGGAGTATATCTTGCTATAGGCATGTACAACCTCAAGGCGGGCAAAGGAATGGTGTGATCAAGTACTCAGGCGTCTCTACTCTCTACGAACTCAGAATATCCTCTCCTACATGAGTATGCCAAACTAATCCTGCAGGAGGTGCCCTCAGTACGGGGCTGCATCAAAGGACCCGAGAGTTCGGGGCTTCCCTGGCCTCGTAGGATTCTTTAGCGCTTGAGGATCAACAGTTTAGGATCGAAGGTCTAGTGGATGAGTAAACCCTTACTAAACCTAAACCCTAACCCCTAAACCCCTAAACCCTAAACCCCTAAACCCCTAAACCCCTAAACCCCCAAACCCCTAAACCCTATACCCCTAAACCCTAAACCCTAAACCCTAAACCCTAAACCCCTAAACCCATAAACCCTATACCCCTAAACCCTAAACTCAAGGCCTAGGCCGCCCACCTACTATGGGTGGGCGGCGCTTAAGCCCCTCAACCTCCATAGCGCAGAGCGACCCAATACGCTTGCCCGCCTCTCCACAGCCATGGGGACTGTAGCACCCATACCGGAGCAGGTTCTCCACGGGACCAGTACTGGTCCCTTATAAAGTAATTACCCTTCACCCTGACGACCTTGCCGCCAGAAACGGAGCCCCCCGGGGGGGCCCCGGAGCTTCCAGCGACCAGGTTCCAAGGACCTAGGCGGCGTTTGGGCTTTTTGGCCCCCCGTGAGCCCTCCTGGGCCCCGGGCCCCCGCGGCGCTGGGCCTCTTTGTTTTGTGGGCCTTCTTTGGCCCCGCGCCCCGGCTGGGCCCCCCTGGGCCCCCCTGGGCCCTCTGTGCTCTGCCCTTGCCTGCTCTGCCCTCCTGATTGCCTTGCTTGCCCTGCCCACCTGGCCCTGCGGTTTGCGGTTTGAAGAGAGAGAAAACCTTGGAATGAGTTTAGGCGCTAAACCCTAAAAGGAGTAGGTTTGGGTGGTTTGGCCGCCTGAGACGGCGTGGGGTGGGAGAATTAAAAGACCACAATCAGGCTTTAACGCCCAATCGTCACATGACGACACACTCGAAAAGACACTGGTCCAAGATCATTCGCTTCTGCGCCACTCTACGGCAAAACCCCTAAACCCTAAACCCTAACCCCTAAACCCTAAACCCCTAACCCCTAAACCCCTAAACCCCTAAACCCTAAACCCCTAAACCCCTAAACCCCTAAAACCCTAAACCCCTAAACCCTAAACCCCTAAACCCCTAAACCCTAAACCCCTAAACCCCTAAACCCCTAAACCCTAAACCCCTAAACCCTAAACCCTAAACCCCTAAACCCCTAAACCCCTATACCCCTAAACCCCTAAACCATGGGTTTCGGGCAGCTTATGGCAGCTTCGAGGTTCGAGGTTTGGTATCACATTCGGTGCCTGAAGATTCGCGGCTTCGACGCTTAAACCTCCAAGCCCGAACCCCCCCAAAACCCCGAAACCGGGAGACCGTACCTATGGGAGTTAGGATTAGGGGACCCTTGGGGATATAGACCCTCTCAATAAGGCCCCTTTTAAAAGAGCCAGAAGAAGGGTTCAGAAGGGGTACCCTTTAAAGGGTCTTCCGAATAATACTACCTAACCTAATCCCGAAAAAAAACCTACCTTTTCTGCACTCTTTACCATCATTTCCGTATATACAAGTTCATCGCAAGGCTGCCGGGCCTACCTGGCCTACCTTTTCATAGCTCCTTACTGTGGTCTTTTTATGCAAGTTCATAACAAAGGAACCTACCTGGAGGCCCTTCATATCATATAAGTTCGTAACGAGGTCGGGTTAGGTGGTTTGGTAATTTTTCGGAAAGACAAGTCTCGTTCAGGGAAGGCTGGCTCCACTGCACCAGCATGGACGCTTCTGTGGCATCTTGCGCCTTATTCAGAAGGTGTAAGGGTTTAGGGGTTCGGGGTTTAGGTTCTCTAGGGTTTAGGGGCTTTCAGGATTTAGGGCTTCGCATCCAACGGCCTGTGCTAGATCAAATGGGATCAGGGGTTTTTAGGCTGCACTTCAGGAATACGGGTTGGCGGTTTGGGCAGGGTTTGGTTTGCTGAGCAGACGCTGTGATAAAACCCGGATACAGACTGGCACGGTGGTAACAGTCTGAACGAAGGTATCAGCGATACGGGACGAACAAAGACAGGTGAAAGCCAGCGATGCTGATGCTTGCTTTTAGCGGAGAGCGCCAACACTGACACAACCTATCAACGCCAACAGCGGTGTGATCATCCTCAGCATTCTTCTCAACACCGTCTATGAGAAACAACACACCACCATCAGAACCATGATCTCATCACAGCTGCCCTCACCAGATTCCGCAACATCAAACCAGAATTTCACCATTGATACGGATATCGTCCTTGTGCGGGTTGCCACCATCATATCAGCATCATCTCCTGATTCTGCTATGTGCTGGCAAGAACAGTTTGCAGTAGAAGAGTGCTCATCATGATCGTCGTCATCGTCGTCGCCATCATCATCATGACGAACATCATCTTCTTCTTCTGCATGCGCATCAACATCAGGATCATCATCATCATCTTCACCATCATCATCACCATAAATAGGATCGTTGCTATCGCCCTCATCATCATCATCATCATCATCATCATGACCACAAAAACCACCAACAACGGCAACATGAGGATATGAACATTCGTAGCGAGCGTCAGTGCCGTGTTCAGGATCAGTATCAGCTTCGCGTATTCGTCGTTGATACTACCCTCGCTCGGTACTGTAGAGCCGCCATAATTCAATTATCAGGGACACACAACACCAAGCGCTTCTGTTTATCAGAACCAACGCTAGCAGAAGCAATATCGCCGCACTTTGCCGCCATCGTCACCATCATCACGACCGTCCTCATCCCAATAGTCAGCATCAGCACCAACATCATCGCCACCGCCGTGCTGATCGTCGTCAACATGTTAAACTGTCAAAGTCTCGTCCCCTCCATGATCACGGGATCGGGATCATCATTTAGGTATCGAACGGAGGCGACATCATCGAAAACACCGTCGTCATCATCATCGCCATCATCAACAACAAGCAACATCATCAACAAGAGCGTCAACGTCTTCTTCAAAGCAAGGTCCTAGCCGAACGAACACCATCTCTGTCATCATGGCTATCAGAGTTGGCATCGTACAGTCCCAAAAATTAGATTAGAACCATCGTCATCCTCACGCACCATCAAGATAAGCAACAGATCCACTTGAAACTCATCCTCAACGGCATCATCACCATAATCATCACCAGCAGAATCGACAAGCCGGGCCCAACATCCATCACTAGCACCATCGTCATCACAATGACAATTCGGCATGATCATCATCGCCGCCATCGCCAGCGCCGTTGCCGTCCGTTTAGGTCGCAGCATAACGACAAACACAGACCAAGAAGCTGTGACAGTGGCTGGTGCCCCAGCCGCCATCTCGTCCGTCGTGCCCTGTCTAACCGTGCAGGGATTCAGGTGAACGGGATAAAGCCCTTACCCTAAACCTTACACCCCATGAGGGCCTGCGATCGGTCTTTTCGACACCCACTTACAGTCTAAGCCTGAAAAACAGGGGTTTGGGTGACCATACTTGTTCCCGCAGCTTCCCCCCTGCGTTGTTCCCTTTGTGGTATGTTGGATCATGCGGCTTTGAGCTAGGATTTGGGTGCTTGGGGCTCAGGTACAGGATTAGACTGTAGGGTTTAGGCACTTTAATCCGAACACGGAGCTGATGTAGACCATCGCTCATAAGTCTTCCTGTCGACAGACAGCCGAGCATATGTTTGAACCCTGCTAATTATCCCTTATGGCCAGGGATGTAATTAAGCAGCTTGGTCGAAGGACCTACCAGACACGGTATAGGTACACTACTCGACTACTTGGGCAGCGGAAGCTGCAATCCAAGATCGAAAGCCTTCAACAGTTGGGCGACTTCATCTTCATCCTAAACTAAACCTATAGAACGTTTGAAAGTTTGAGTCTTGCCCACGGTCTGAGCTTGCTGCTACAGACCACCCCGGAGCTGAAGAAAAGGCTTGCTGGGCTAAGGCTGGCTGTCATTCAGAATAAATGTGTCTTGAAGAGGTTCGTTTAAGGGCTTCTATAATTAACGAAGTTTTAGAGTTTAGGATGTAGGTGCCTGGAAGGGCTTGACTTGATAAGGGTTCTATACAGGTCTTACCAAGGTCCCAGAGAAGCCTAAACCCAACACCCTACAACGCTCAGCTGAGGTCTTAAACCCATTCACCTACGGAACCATAGTAAAGTGCCACCTCGATACTGCCTTCGGTTTTGGGTTATTTTGAGTCGGGCTGAGGGTGGGAACTTAGGCGAGTAAGTTGGTCAACTATAGGGGGTTTTTGGGCGCCTGTATAGTATACAAATAAGGAACCCTAAGACATGAGATTGGTAATTGATTGTTTAGGCTTCTACAAACAATCATGTCCCAGCTTTTCAGCGTCCTCTTGTCCGGAAGGCAACGCCGTGCCTGCGCCACGGCACTCCACGGCGAGTCCGTGCTGTTCTCAACGCAGCGCTCGCGAATCCTGGCAAAAAGGCATTGCTTAGCTTTAGGGTTTACCCATAGGCCCCATAGTACGTAATTCCTTTTTTGGTGTTCATATGTAGAACCCTAGAAGGTAATCCCAAAAAGGAACTACTATGGGGCCTATGGGTAGGTTATCTAGGATACCCAGTAACCTAAGAATAAAAAGGCCTCTCTTTTTGGTATTGGGTAACTTTATAAGGAACCTAGGACTACAAAAAGGGAATAAGGGTACTACTGAGCATCCCAGGTATAAGAGTGCTTTGCTTCAGGGTGCATTGCTCCTTGGGCTTCCGCAGTTCTTGGGTTGAGGCTTTCGGAGTTCGGGGCCTGGGGTTTATGAGTTGGTGGTATGCATTAGAAGGGGCCCCCACCCTGTAATAGTGGTATAATAGGAATTTAATAGGGCCCGTCGGGCCCCTAATATAATCCTTATAGTCATTATTACATGGTGGGGGCCCCTGCTAAGGCATGCAGTTCTATCGGGATTCGGGTTTAAGGGGTGAGGCTCTTTCGGGTTCAGAGTCCGAGGGTTCATGGTTTTGGGGTCTTCCCCGCGCCCGGAAGCTCAAGCTTCTTGGATGTATTCTAGCATAGTGGTACAAGTCTTACAAGGCGAAGGGGAAAAAGATGACATACAAAACTGCAAGACTACTATAGGGGCCTTAATAATTAGAATAGGGTTTTGGGGCCCATTATACTATAGTTACAATAAGGAACCCCCAAAATAGTATAGGTTATTATTAAGGCCCCTATATTACACCCCACACCACCCCAGATTCCAAAAACACCTCGTGAACCCCGAAGAGCAACAAGACAACGCCCCCGCCCGTAACCCGCCGGAGCACCACCAAAGGCACCTACACTAGAAGCGATCTATGCGGGCAGCGCTGCCTGAACTCGTAAGACGTTGCTGAAGTAAGGCCGCTGGCAGTGCACCTCGTGCGGGGAGTGATAAAAAGCAGGGCTCCGTTTCTGGGTCCTAGTCCAAGTTAAGAACCCTTTTATATTCGTCGCTCTATATCAGGGTACCCCCAGTTTGAGATTACTTGAATCATGGGAGCCTTTAGCCTAAGTAACTGCGGCAGAAGCAGGGTGTCAAGTGGGACAGCCCCAAAATGCAGGTGCAGGGCTTGCAGGGCCCAGGGATGGCACTTGTAGTTTTCAAAGGAAGCTGCTTACTTGGAGGCTCGGGGGACCTTAGTCGTTGGTTATTTTAGGGACTTATAAGTACCATAACCCCAATTAGGGTCCCTTGTAGGGTACTTGTAAGTCTACTTACTACCTACTAAGTCTCCGGACCCTCCAAGACCCCTTATAGATCCCTTTAAAGGAGCCCTCATGGAACCCCTACAGATCCCCTTAATTACCTACTTACTAAGTCCCCCGACCCTCCAAGTACTTAATGCCATGATCCCTCGGGAAGAGTCTGGTGACTTTAGGAGCAGATGGGGCTAAGTACGTATTAACTACCCAGACCCCCGGGAGGATCCAAAAAGCTTACAAAGTACCCTTAGTAGTATAGGGCCCCAAATTAGGGGATCTACTTTCGAGATCCTCCCGGGGGTCTGGGTAGTCAGTACTAATGAATGGATAGAAAGAGAGCCAACAGAACCCCATGGTTTCAGTAAACATGTTAATGTTTCGACTTCCACCATGAAACGAAGATCCTAATTGTGATGATTACAAATGACTCGTTTCATGCGCATTAACATGATCATAAAGAGTGAGAGCCCGTCTCTTTGTCCATGGGGACACGAGTGCCCACATTCTCCCCCAACCAGCCTACTGAAACTCTGCGGTAATTACTTGGATAAGTACCTGTTGTCCGGCTCAAGAAAGATGAAACCTTTCGAAACCCATTACAACAACGACCATTCGCCCCCTGAACCCATAAGCCCAAACCCGCAAGCTTGAACCAAACCCCGAAGCCCCCATTAAAGACGAAGCTGTGCTAGCGTTGGCACTGTGTGATGTCGCGGGACTGGAGCGATTCACAGCCTCCGCGCAAAGTGTTTTGGGCTTCGGGTGTTTCAGGGTTGTTTTTGACTGCTGCTAAACCCTACCCGGACCCCAAAAGCGTGTAGAGCAAAAGTCTTTTGGTGTTGGCCATTTTTTGTTTCACCGACTTTGTGGTTTAGGTCGACCAAGGCTCCACCACTCCCCTTTTTCCCGGTATTCAACCCTAAACCCTTAACCCCTAAACCCCTAAAGCCCTAAACACTCTAACCCGCTCAGCCTTGCGAAGACACCCACACGGCTCCAGTGGGGCGTACTTGCACCTGGCATGCCAGGAAGAGGCACACAGAGGTGCTGTCAGTTTCCGGTAGTACGGAGTGACAAGACATTCGACACCTCAAGTGTCTTTGTGCTATGAGATCAAACCGAAATGTATCGCATCCAATCTTCGTTTTGACTTGAGAAGCTGAGCAACAGCTCTTGTCCACTGCGCCGTAGCATGCATGCATAACGAAACTTCTGCTAAGCTGCTACTGTAAGAACACACCCTGAGCCCAAATAACCTTAACCTCAGCCTCAAACCGCACCCAGAGCTGCAACAAACCTGGGGCTAACGGCCTAGAAAGTCCCGACCATTTCTTCTCTTTCACATTCGATACGAGGGCCTGGTGTTGAGGTTTAGACACTGCCTGTAACCATCACAATGTCCACTCTGTCGGAGCACTTGTTCCACTGTGTACATATACTGTACATAGACATATAGATATATATACACGTGTACATGCACATGTACATGTAAATGCAGGTGTACATGTACATGTGCATCTGCACGCACATGTTAATGTGAATGTATACGTACATGTATACGCATACGTATGTGTAATTGTCTAGGAATAAAAACACATACATTTATATGTACATGTGTATGTATATATGTACATACATACACACAAATATAGCGTGTGTATATAGCGATATAAAAATAAAGATTAAATACGTAATACATACACAAATGAACAAACAAATCAACACATATGTATATGTATATCGGTATAGGTACATACATACATTTATCCATTCATACATACAAATATACGTATATGAATGCATGCATGCCTACATACGTGCTGCATACATACATACGTACCTACTTACATACATACATGCAGACAGACGGACAGACATTGCATGCATTGCATACATTACGGACAAACATACATGCATGCATGTGTGTGCATACACGGTTGTGCACGTACCACCGCAGAAAACAGGTCATTACACGCAGAGATGTGTGTATATATAGACAAACGGTGATAAGGATACTTCTTGCTCCTTTCTACCCAAAACCCAAAACTCTAAACCGCTTTTTAGACTATACTTAAACGAAACGATATTCAAGAGCCGGGCCACGAAGCCTAGTTTTTGACAGTGACTGGGAGTTTCGGGTTTCGGAGTGTGTTCGCGTGTTGCATGAGGCCACCATATGGGTGGTTGTCAAAATTAGGGTCCCTTTTTGGGTACCCTAAATAATGTAGGTGCCGTATTATAGTAAGGACCCAAAAAGGGCCCTAATTTCGACAACCGCCCATACAATTCCTCTCAAGTGCCATTGAGAAACTGCTTTAAAGTTTACGGAAACTCGAGCTGCAACAGCCATGAACCCAAAACCCTAAACCCTGAAGCGAAAAGCCTGGCCGGGACCCTCAACCTCAGACACTCAGCCCGAAACCTTGAACCTTCAACCCAGAACTTTGAAACCCCGAAGGCCTGAAATCGCAAACCCCTATTTTTACACCTTGCGAAACCCTAAACCCTAGGAAATTTTTAAGCCCAGACCCTAAACCCCAAGAAATCCTTAAAGCACAAACCCTAAATCCTCAGAAATTCTTGAACCCCAAACCCTAAACCTCAGAAATTCTTGAACCCCAGACCCTAAACCGAAGAAATTCTTGAACCCCAAACCCGAAACCCTCAGAAATTCTTGAACCACAAACCCTAAACCGAAGAAATTCTTGAACCCCAAACCCTAAACCGAAGAAATTCTTGAACCCCAAACCATAAACCCTAAGAAATTCTTGAACCCCAAACCCGAAACCCTCAGAAATTCTTGAACCCCAAACCCTAAATCCTAAGAAATTCTTGAACCCCAAACCCTAAACCGAAGAAATTCTTGAACCCCAAACCCTAAACCGAAGAAATTCTTGAACCCCAAACCCTAAACCCAAGAAATTCTTGAACCCCAAACTCGAAACCTCTAAAGAGGCCTCCCAGGAGGCAAACTCACACTCCTCGGCAGCACCTGGCAGGTAGACTCTGAAAAGGCTCCGATGCCACGGCCAGAGGTTTAGAGTTTAGGGTTGAGGGGTTTAGGGGCTTAGGGGTTTAGGGTTTAGGGGTTCAGGGTTTAGGGCTTCAGAGGCCAACTCGGCCGAAAGAAATTGTATTCGGAAGAATCACTATACTGAACTTAGAACCCTAGCAAAAATTATAAAATTAGCTGTTTCTTAGGGATTATAATAACCAAAAATTAAAAAAAAATATTTCTAAGTACGCCTAAGAGAAAACCGAAGAGCTGAGGCTTCGGTTTGTGGTGCTGGCCCGGCTAACTTCTGACGTTTAAGTTCTTTTTTTAACTTGGTACACTTCTCGATTTGTGGATGACGTTTAAGTTCTGACGTTTAAGGTTTAGGACTTAGGGCTCCGGAAAAGGAACCAGACGATGAAGGAGCATGGCGAGACATGCTCTACAGTAGCTGGGCAAGCACCTAACATAGTCACACAGTTGACGAACTCACCATAAGCTTCAAATCTTTCGATCGTGATGATGCCGTTTATATAAACCTGGGGAGCGGTACAATAGCGGTCGCACTAGTTTGCATTACTTTTACGCCCTTCATCATAGCATAACAGCCGCGGTCCACAACCTCCACTCAACGACCGTAACAATTACTATCTTACAACGGAATACCGGGCAATAGACTACAACTCCCCACAGAATCTTATTGAAATCCATGTGAATGCCCAGAGCATCTTGCTTCAAGAACGTACCCAAACTTCTGGAGCAAATAACACCGAAACCCATCATCAAGCAAACGAGTACCGAAATACACGCCTGCAAATGAGCATTTCTGAACCCACCCACACACATGCGTTCAGATAGGTGATAAGCCACCCAAGAGGTGCTTGTGTATGTGTATGAACGTATACCATGTATGTATGTATGTATGTATGTAGGTATGTATGTATGTATGAACACGTAGACATACGCATACATCACTGTACACAAACGATCAGCGAGTAAGTACCGGTAGACTGAAGTAGAGTAGAGTAGAGCAGAGTAGATCGGTAGATAGATAGACACCAGAAGCCCAGTTGCTTGCGGGCCTCCGGTCCACGCCACTGACAACGACGAAGTCGCAGGCCCAGAGATCGTCACGTTCAGGGGGGCCGTGGCGGGATTCAGACAAACGTCGCCTCGTTCGTTGGATTTCTTAGTGTTCGCTTGTTGAACCAAGCCTTGTCTGATTCTTGTAGGTTTTGGGTCCTGGAGAGAAACTTCGGGATCGTACATATTGATCTAAATCAAGATTTCCGGTCTAGGATTGGGGAAGGGGTTCAAGACGTCAATGCATCCGAAACCCTCGACTCTAAATCTTAAGCCGGTCACCCTGAACCCGAAAACTGAATTTCAAACCCAAAACCCTTCTCTGACTTTCGACCAAACCCGGAGACCAAGAAAACGCACACAGAACCGGAATCCCCACCTTCAGACCAAAAAGGCGGCTTAAGCAATTAGAATAGGGTTTTAGGGTATATATTGTGGTATAGACATTAAAAGGGACCCTAAGGAAGTCATAGCATCATATCAGTGGCAGTGGTTTCGGTAACTCCGGGTTGAAGGATTTAAGGGTCGACTGGAGGGTTCAGACGTGTTTCTACATTCCTTTCTGCACCCAAAACCAAGAGGGTCCACATGGGAGTTTCCGAAAAGAGGGGACTCTAATATAGTACCCTAAATAGTAGGATCCGTATTATAAGGGCTCCAAAATAAGGGACCCCTATTTTCGGAAACCCCCACATACAGTACTATTATGGAATTAGGTCCCCCAAACCATAATGGGGATGGTCTTTTGGGGCCTAATTCCATAATCGTAGTGTATATATGGACCCTGTGGGCAAAAAGCCACTGCACACACCCAAGGCCCAACCCACAACGCCGAACCGCAAGATTCCCCGATAGCCGACGAGACGCCAGGCTTGGTTTGAAAGGTCGTTTCGGTGCTCCAATCGCCAACTAGACCAGACTCCTGGCGTACAGCTCACAACGCTGAGGATGGTGATGGCTAGCTGCCGTCGATCGGCAACTATGCGTAGCACATGGTTTATATGCGGTTCAGCACAAGGTTTATATGGGTTCAAGAAACAGCATTTAATCCAAAACGTAGGTAGCAGGGCTTCAAAAAATGAAAATGTCGCGGCAGTCAGCATGCTCGAACTACGAAATTCCTGCTTTTCGTTGTTGTGAAGGCCATAGAATCATGCTGTGCTTCGGGAGCTCCGGTTTCTCTCAATGATCACAAAGATGTAGATCATCACACTTCTGTACTCTCGACACTGCACATGTTGTAACCTGCTTTAGGCTTGTAAGGTGCGCACGATATAGGTTTTGGAGGTTAGGGGCGGGATTTGCCCGAAGCCCTCGACCAAACTCCTAAATCCTACTGGAGTACCCCAAACTCAAAACCCTAAACCCTAAGCCCAAAAAACCTAAATCCGGAGTCTGGAAGTTCTTGAAACCTTGGAAGCCCATCCTTGCAGGTGGCGGCGACTCGAATCGAGTAGCTGGTGTTGCAGCTGAGGCCACGGATGTTGCCTGTTTCTGCGAGGCGCTGCAGCTAGGTTCCTGGGTAGCCCCTTCGTAATAAGGGTGCCCTTTCCCCTCCTATTTTTAAAATAAGGAGACCCCGAAATCAAAAGGGCAAAAAGGTACTGCTCAGGAACCTGGGCAGCCTAAATCAACACCCTACTTGGAGGCTACGGGGATTTCAGGTTCAGCATGTTGCGAACTTGGGTAATGCAGACCTTGGTTAACCAAGTTTAGGCTGCCAACTCCCCCGAACCACTTAGACTGATATAGGGGCCTTAATAATTAGAATATGGTTCTGCGGTCCATGACACTAGAATTACAATACGGAACCCCCCAAATAGTATAGGAAATCATTTGGGCCTGTATAGTACGAAAAAATGGCCCAACACCTGATAAAGGCCATTATTCTACATGCTGTTCGGGTCCAGGTCCAGGTGGAAAGGAAGCTATCATTGCTTATTCAGACCTCTATTTTCGGCTCAGAAGGTCGCGGTGCATGATCTTGAGAAGCTAGACAGGGACTTTACATAGTGCTCATGTGCAATCTGCAGTGAATCTTTGGAGGATGAGGACCGCTTGCGGCTTGGGGTTTAGACTTTCGGGTTTCGGGTTGAGGGCTCGTGACTTGAGGGTTTAGGTCCCAAGGGCTTACTACAGGGCTAAGGGCTTCTAAATGCTCTTGACAAGGGCTTGGAGCATGGAGACTCTTGTTTACAGATGCTGCCCTGTTACGAACTCCTCGTATATTCCCCGCATGAGGTTGCCTTTTTTAAGTCTGCGGGAATGTTCTTGCTACAGTAATAGAGGGTTTGTACAGGTGTACATGTATTTCGGCGACGGTTTTGGATTCCGGGTACCTGTAGTCTCCATTGTAGTTCCTTTTTGGGGTTACCTTATGGAATCCTACTTATAAAAAGTGGCTAAACCAGAAAAAGGTGCTACAATGGAGCTAACGCGCGGAACTCAGGGTTCGGTACTCCAAAACAGCCATAACAATAAGGGTTTAGGGTTAAGGGTTTGCGCTTTAGGGTTTAGGATATCTAGAGTCGTAGTCCTGCAAACAGGTGTACGGCCAATAGAAACTGGGATGACTGTATCAAACGTATTCAGAACATGTCACACTAACAGCTTGGGACCTATGGGCTACACCCTGAGCCCTAAACCTTAAACCCTAAATTCTGAACCTTATAAACCTAAACCTTAAACCCTCAACCCATAAACCCTAGACACTAAACCCTGAACCCCTAAAACTTCAATCCTGAACCCCAAACCCCTAAAGGCTTCAAGCCGCAGGTTTTGGGGGAGTAAGACAACTCGTCGAACACAAAATCCAAAGCATGGATAGGTGGCAAGTCTCAGTTTGAGGGTTCCATGGGTCCAGCTACATTAATGAGGGCTCCATAAGGGTATCATACGGGATTAAGGTTTAGGGAGGTTACAGTTAGGATCAAACGGTACTTCAGCTGGTTAGCCGGCCAAGGAGCATGCTGCCACCGTGCTTGCACATTCCTGGCTCCAAGCAAGACATATTTTGGCGGCCCAAAACCGATACGAAATTTAGGTAATTTGTGAGCTCTATGCGCCGACCTCAACGTCGAGGCATGTACAGAGCCGGTACGAATAATCGGGAATCGGATTTGGATGTCTTTTTCTCAGGTCAAAACTCTGGCAAAATCAGCCGCGGCGCTGTTCGCGTCGTCCAGTGGCCAGCCGCAGTCGGAAGTGAGTTGTCCTGGTTCTTGCACAGGGTTTGAGGTCTAATTAGGGCCAATCTACACACCTAAATCCCTAAGCTCGTGAATCCGAAGCTCTGAATCTCTGAACATGGAAGTCGACGGAGGTCTTGATGATTAGAAAAAGGTTTTGGTTACACCCTGAACCCTGAACCCTAGCTATGTAGCCCTAAACGGCCCTAAACCTCTTTTCTCTATTCATCCAGGCGTCCCGCAGCTGCACCAGCCAGGAATCGAATGTACAGTCGGGCCCTAGCTCCTTTCAGTTTCGCGCTTCGTGATTGAGGGTCTAGGGTTCAGGATTGAGGGTTTAGGGTTCAGGATGGAGGGTTTAGGGTTCAGGATGGAGGGTGTAGGGTGCAAGGGGCCTGTATAGAAAATTGAAACATCGACCTCATAGCTTCTACGGGTCTTGGGGCGCGGAATCATCGAACATTGAAAATGCCTGCAAATCAACCCCAGTTTCGCATCTGGCGCCTGCGTATCGTGGCTAAGGAGTATTCAACCAGGCACGGTTTGGGGTTTACGTTTTAGGAATGTTTAGGATTTGGGTTTTGGGGTTTAGGGTATTGGTGGGTAGCAGATGCCTTACTTGCAACTCTGCGCGGCTAAGATTTACGATATAGGGCTTTGGGTTTATGAGGCTTCAGGGCTGTGCATATAAGTACATGTACGTTTGTATATGGCTAGATTTTGACTCTGGCCCTGTAGCAAATCAGGTACCCTATGACAGGCTGCTATTCTACATGCTGTGGCACAGCCCTAAACCCCGAAACCCTAAACCCCTAAACCTAAACCCCTTAAACCCTAAATCCCTAAACCCCAAAAACCCTAAATCCCTAAACCCCAAACCCCTAAACCCCTAAACCCCTAAACCCTAAACCCTAAACCCCTGTGGGGGTCCAGGCATAGGGCTCCGGGTGAAGAGGACCCTGAGTTTTGTCAACGCCTCCAGAGGCTAAGGCTGAATAATTCGCCCGCCGGATTCACAGAACTCACATGGGAGTTTCCGAAAATTTGGGGTACCTTATTTGGGGGTCCATATAATAAGGATCCTACCATTTCGGGTACTATATTGGGGTCCCCTATGTTCGGAAACTCCCATATTATAGTAGGTTGTACGGGGGTATAATATACCAGGTTTATCATTAAGAGCCAGCACAATAGTATAGGTAATCATTTAGGACAACCTCAAAACCAACTAGCTGAAAATGGGCCCAAGCCCTACGGTTTAGGGTTCAGGGCTAAATTGGCAAACTAACCCAAAACAGCACTCTGTGTCCTGTGGCTGCCAGCTGTACAGCACTTCCGTCTCGTAGTGGGCCGACAGGAGCAAATTTTCCTTGTTGCAGTATGTGCAGCTCAGCGTTTTTTCGGTCTGCTAATGTCAGCTAATTACTGTGTCTGACTTACGGCTGTGACAAGATTTGATGAATTGCACTTCTGGCACCCATGGCTTTGTATGCGCAGATTCGTCTTCCACGAAAGGCGTTCAACAAATGTCCAGGTGGCGTTTCTGGTTCTGAGATCGAGGCTATAGATCCTTTCGTTGAATGCTAAGGCGCAAGCTGCACTCAGTCGAAGCTTAAGATTTGAAGGTCCCGCCACTGTGCTCGAATGTGATTTGAAGAGCAGGCTATAGTAAACCCTAAGGCCTAAGCCCCAAAGCCTATTTGTAGGCCGTCTTATGGATCAGCCTCTGGGGCGTACAAAATCAAAGCATCCTGGAAAACCCTGACATCCCAAGCCCTGGAGCCTAAATTGACACGGGTTCAGGGTTTAGTGTTTAGGGGGTTGAGGGATTTAATGTTCAGGGAATAAGGTTTGTGGATTTAGGATACAGTTGAGGGATTAAGGATCAAGTTTAGGAAATAAGATGTAGGGATTAGGGAATAGTGTTGAGGGATTTGAGCATTTAGGGATCAAGCTTAGGGCAACTTTAGGGTTTAGGGTTTAGAGCTTAGGGTTTAGGGCCTAGGGTTTACCTTAACCCCGAAGAACCTACATGCTTAAGGACTTATATAACGAAATTATAATAAGGAGCCCTAAACAGGTGGGTTATTCAGGGTTAAGGATCAAGTGTAGGAATTAAGGTTTAGGGATGGATTAGAGTATACGGATTATGTTCCGGATTTAGGGATTAGGCTTTAGGGCAACTTTAGGGTTTAGGGGGGTGTATTTCGAGAGCCAAAGGGCCGGTGCACTTGGAGGCGACAGTCCCGTGACAATCGGCGCGGACTCCGTCCACTCGGTGTAGAACGTCTGGCAACGTTTTGGGAGTGGGCATGTAGATGTGTTCCTCTCTCTCATATGTATATGTATATGTATACGTATATACATATATATATATGTATATCTGAGTAACTAAACAAATAAATAAGTTAGTATATATATATATATATACATACGAAGGGTAAATGTAGATGGCATGAGGCCCGGCTTCATATACACAACAAGAGTTCAGGGTTTAGGGTGCTGGCTTAAAGTCTAGAGTTTGGTGCTCCCGCTATTACCACAACATAAACTTCCCTTTCCATGCCCATATGGAACCGCATCAAGCGTCAAAACAACCCTGCACAATTCGATGGGTGTTTGGGATCTAAGGTTATCAATTTCAACCGCTATATGTACTTGAATCACTTGAACTGAACCTTTAACCCTCAACCCTAAGCCCGTAAACCCTAAACCCTTAAACCCTAAACCCCTAAATCCCAAGACCTTCAGAAACAGCGTTTTTTGGGGGGCTTCCCAAAGTAAAGCCTGAAAACCCCAAAGCCGGACTGACCGAGATGCCTGGTTCTCGGGGAGGGCTCCAAGAAGAAGACCTTTTCGGGTCTGGGCTCCTAGAACCCCAAAAGTAGGTAAATTAATGGCCCAAAACCTATAACAGGCTATTATTCTACATACTTTTGTGGTCCAGGTAGGGGTTTAGGGGTTTAGGAAGTTTCGGGTCTGGGTTTAGGGTTTAACTGCAGGCTCGATAAAAGCTCTCTTATGGGATTACCTTATAGGGTTCTAAATATGAGCCACAACAAGGAACTACTAGGGAGCCTCTAGGTAACTACCTGCTAAGGGCTCGGTACTTTGGTTCCCTTAACTATACAGTACCTAAAACAGGGGTTTCGGTGTCAGATGAACCCCCAAACCTGGGCGCTTTGGGCTGTTGTCATCTGCTGTGACTGATGTTTGAGGCCGTGGCCCAACGCACTTCAAGGCTTGACAGGTGTTAGGCCTGCAGTGCGTGCATCCGTGAAGGACTCCTTTGCTGAAGTACTTCCGGATAGCTTGGCCCTAAAACCGTACTATCTTAGTACTGTCGTCCGAATCCAAGAATCGAGCATGCACGCACGGACAGATTCATGACTCCCCGGTTTCCAAGCAAATAACCAGATTGCTGCCGTCAAGGCGTAAACGGCCCAGACCACCGCCTACGTGACAGAACAAAACTGAACACTTCACCATAACATCAAAGCAACAACGAAACAGAACATAACAAGCCAAAGCTTAAGCACAAGCAACCACGTACCAATGACAAAAAAACAAAGAAACCGACAACAGCACCAACACACTGCAGCAGAGCGTTCACAAAAGCTCACAACAAAAACAACAACACAAACACAAGCAAACACAGCTCTCCAGCCAGGGCACAGCGCGTGCGGACGCGGAAGATCAGGCTCGATTGCGAGGGCAAACCTCCCACCTCGCGGCTATGCAGTCGGTTTGAAGTGTGGAGGGGCTCGGGTTCCTGGTTCCTTTGAGGGTTCAAGGTTCCTTTAAGGCTTCGAGGGCTCCTTTAATGAGTCAGGAGGTTTGATAAAAAGGGGCTCAGGATACATGTACAGGGTTTAGGCTTTCGTAGCATTCCTTTGTTGAAGGGTACTATGATAAGGTTCCTTGGGGCTTATAGGGCTCCTTTAGACCCTAAACCACAAGCCCTAAAGCCTAAGTCATTTGAAGTATCCCGAAAGGAACACTGAAGGGCTCCTTGAAGGGTTCCTTGACAGGGCTCCTTTAAGGGATCCTTTAAGGGTTCCTTTAAGGATTCCTTTAAGGGTTCCTGTGAGTGGTCCTTTACAGGGCTCCCTTCAAGGATCCGCCTGACACCGAGAGCCACAGGAGTCGGTGAGGTCGCTACAACCCACCACCGCCTGCTCGAAAAGAACGGAGGCTTCTGTAGGGTTTCAGAGGTTTTTTTAGGGTGCAGGGTTTAGGGTTTAGGGTTCTATAGTTTTGTTTTCAGGGTTTAGGGTTTCATAGGGTTTAGGGATTAAGGCTTATCAGTTGTTGATGGCAGGTTTCCTGTAGCTTGTGGTACGGTCTTCTTCTAGGTATAGGGTTTCGTGCAAGTTTTACGGGTTTCGGCAAGGCGTTTACAAGGCTCATATAATAGAGGCTTTTTTCGGTTTCTGTTTGGTCCCGTGATAGTAAGGTTATTGTTAAATATGGGTTTCACGTAGGTTTTAGGGCGGCTTTGGACGGGGGTTCAAGCTTCTGTGTTACAGCATTTGGGAGCTGTAAAGGGTTTCAAGCTGGTCTCTCATGTTTTAGAAAGGTGTTTCGGGCTTTGTGCTAGATGTTGGGCGCTCACTGTAGCATGCGGGCATTTCTGTGATTCCGTTCATGGGGCTTCGGTGTGTTAGATAGGCTTTGCGCTTCACGGTGGGGTTGCGTCCATTCGGGCCAATTTCGCGTCCCGTGTTTGCAATTGCAGCTTCAGGAGTTGGAATATCGGGATTTAGGGTTCTGGTGTTTGGGTTTAAAGTTTACTTGCCGTCACCCAACTCGTGATAACCATTGTGCAAACCTCGGAATGAGAAGCTGCGCGTTGACATCAGGGCTTAGTATGGTTGTGCTAAGTGGACTCGGGGCACTCATTTCACGTCTCCAATCCTCTTGTCGCTGAAGTTGCTACCTTCGTGTGAGAATGACCAGCGACGAACCGACTTATGGAGTCACTCTTGAGGGTTTAGGGTTTAGGGTGTATGGTGCCACTACTGCTGTTACCTTTATTGATCGCGATCACGAGAAGAAAAGTGCGATTATCAGCCACAAATGACTTGGCCATGACACCGGGGTAGATTTGTCCTAGACCCTGAGTTTGAAACTCGATTCGCACCAATATGGGTGGTTGTCAAAATTGTGGTCCCTTTTTGGATCCCTGATGTAATACGGCACCTATTATTTAGGGTACCCAGAAAGGGACCTTAATTTTGACAACTACCCATATAGCTCGAAAGATACACCTTTACGGCCCAGTACGTTTTATGTAGAAGCTTCTGAACCGAACCCTCCGATGAAATGCTCTTTGGGTTTATGGTCCCTAAAGCTCCTTGTGCCCATACAGTATATACTTGGGCCTTAAAGGGGTTCCGATATGGCTACTTTACGGTATAAGTTTGCACTACGTGGCTGCATGGAGCCTCTGGGGGTTTAGGATGAAGACCCTGCGTAGGGTTTAGGGTTTAGGGTTTAGGGTTTAGGATTTAGGGTTTAGGGTTTAGGGTTTAGGATTTAGGGTTTAGGGTTTAGGGTTTAGGGTTTAGGGTTTAGGGGCTGAACCACGCCTGCCAGGAGAGGTTCGAGGAGTTCGATGCGTTGGAGATGTCTGCCACCTGCACCTGATTTCTGCATGCTTCAGATAACCTAGAGGGCCTACCGCTTTTTGAGGGTACCTGGTTTTCTGGTTAGGATCTCCTATATGGGAAGGTAGGTACCTGAAAAAAGGGGTCGGGTACGCGCCTCTAAGAATAATGAACCCTTGCACATAATTTAGGGACGATTCCTCAAGGAGTATTGGGCTCTCCGGAGCATCAGATGATGAGGATTCAGGGTTTCGGACTTTTGGGGGCGATGAGTTGCTTGTCAGCGTCTTTTTCGTGGTCGCATCTATCTCTCTATCATTATCTATCTAGTTGTTTGTTCTATCAATCAACGGATGTTGCCGGAGTGGAGCAGCATGATCTTTGGGATTTCCACAACTGTTGGATGCAACGTCGACCTCATCTAGGGCTCCTCAACTAATTAGGATTCAAAACGGGATATTCTTTCTCATTATTCAAACTTCTCTAGTAGTGACAAAACCTGCGTGCTGTTAAGTTCGCATGCCACATGCCCTAGGGTTTAGGCACCGCGCTTGGCTCTTGCATCAAATCTGACTCAAGCTCAAAAACCCCAAGCCCATAAACCCTAAACCCTAAAGCCCTAAACACGAACTCTAAAACCCTAAGCCTGCACTCCCGGGCCTCGTAGTCCGCAAACATGCAATTGTGCAGCTCCGGGACACTCCACTCGACCTGCCCCAACTCTCGCGTTGTTTTGGGTGCTTCGGGCTTAGGGATTAGAGGGTTTTGGGGTTTGGGGTTTGGGGCTTAGGGATTTTAAGGTTTTCGGTATTTTGGGGACTGAGGGTTTGGAGGTTTTTTAAGCCCCCTACCGAGCGAACGCGCCCATGCACTAGACTGTAAGGTGAAATGCTATGCTGAAAGGTCTTAGGGGGCAAGAACATCTCTGTTGTGGAGTCGTGTGCTTGCCACTGTGGGATTGCGAATGGGCTCGCATCTTACTGCGAGTCGGCCGAGTCTTGGCTGTTGGGCCTGGGAAGGAAACCTAAACCCAAAAAAGATCAACTCGCAATCACTATATCGTAGCTCAAAAAAACCCTGCAATAGCTCCATTTCCCTTCTGAGACCTTGTAATAACTTGGTTTGCTAAAGGCCGAGAACCACTAAATTTTGTATTTCTGCCTAGAGTACCTGTTATCACTCCCGGCGTAGCAAGCCTTGAGTAACACTTTAAAGGACACTTTTCAAGGACGCCTCTGTGAAGAAACCTTTCTAAAGGAACCTTTTTGCGGCCCATCCGTTAAAGGAACCCTTTAAGGGAGCCCTTGAAAGGAGCCCTTTTACAGGAAGCCCTTTAAAGGAACCGTCACATCACGAAGCCCCGAATCGCTGCCTCGGCGGCATCGTGGGTTGCCTGAGCCACGGCCACAGCAGCCGGAGCTTCGGCGTGCCGAAGGCAGCCTGGGGTCGTTGTTTTCAGATTCTTTTGCTGGGTTCTTGTTAAGGAACTTAATTTAAGTTACCAGAAAAGGGATCTATCGTAAATAATAGGGATTCCTTATTATGGTAACTTAAATTAAGTTCCTTAACAAGAACCCAGTTTTGGGCTTGGCTTGTAGGGTTTAGGGTCCTTAAACACCCTGAACCCTGAGGTTGGGGCAGAGGATTTCGGGTAATTTTCGGCGGTTTAGGGTTTACAGGGTTTAGGGTTTTTAGGCTTGCTGGGGTTACTTTTGAATCCGAAGTTGGTGCAAAAGGACTTGTTGAGCTTTCTGCTGTACTAGTTTGCTTCTCGTCGTTCTGTGTAGGCACGTGGATTGGGGAGTTAAGCTCTTAACCCTAAATGGCCCTAAATCCTAAACCTGAAACCCAGGTTTGCTTAGATCGAGCAAAGGTTGTGTTTGGGGCTGAGCGGCTTGAGGGAAGAGGCCTTCAAGTTCTGGCCGTTGGCTTCGGGGTTGCAGGTGTTGGGGCTTCGGGTTTTGCAAGTTTAGGGGTTTAGGGTTTAGGGGATGCGAACGAGACTAGTAAGGAGAGCGAACAAAGGAACACACGCCATCATGCTGATGCGGTTTCGGGACAGACAAGCTGCCTCTAATTCATGAGAATGCAGTTGAGACTGGCTGGCACCGTTCTAGCATCTACTGAGAACGTAGCACACACAAACCCACGACAATGCACCGATGGGAACGGTTACATTCGGTAGAAACCACACGAGCACATGCCCATTTCGAAAATCATGTATACACAGACAACACAGTAACAGAGCAGCAGCAGAAGCAACTATTGAATACAAAAAAGCAGGTCTTGATCAAAAAAAACTGTACTGTATCTTCATCAGATACTGTACATAAATAGGTCGATAGGCAACTGCTGAACTTTGGAAACAACTAAGCCTGCACACCAATCAGGGCAGAGATTAAAGTTTTCAGATGTGTTCAGGTTTAGGGCTTGAGGTGTAGGATTTGAGGGGGCTCAACTCAATGCCGCAGCCGGCAGATGATGACCTCACCGACCTCACTTAAAATGCTATTGTTATGAATCACTGCCGTGTGTGGAACTTGCATCAACATGAAGTTTCACAAGGATGCCTCAGCTGCCGGAAAGCCTAGCGAATTCGTGATCAGCCAACGTGTTAATAGTTTAAATGCTACGATTAAGCGGGACCTAGGTGCTCTGTAGGAATACTACTCTGCAAGGCTCAAGAAAAAACACATTAGAAACAATCCCTGGGCCCTGAACCCTGTATTCCTTGCATCCTAGTATCCTGAACAAACGCCCCAAACAAGGAATGGAAGCCCTTAATCATAGTAGAGATATCCCTCTAAAAGACTTATGCCTATGTCCTTTTGCAGTACTGTACCTAATATACATCTCCCCGATACGGACAGGCCACAGTCGCTGCTGAAGCACACAGGGCCGCTGCAGTACCTCACCGGCTTTAACCCTACCGGTCTAGGGTTCAGGAAACCCTAAACCCTAAATCTAAACTTGTTTTGGCCATGATAACGCCGAAATCAGAGAGAAGCCTCAGGTCGAGAAGATTGGGGTTCAAAGTAATACAGGGGTCTCAATAATTACCACAAGCTGTTCCTTGTTATATTTCTAGTATAATGGGCCTCGAAACAAGATTTTTCAACAATTAAGGCCCCTATATGAAGTAGTTGGACCGAGTTTCCAATACCGTCGTCAAGATGCACGATTTCGGACAGGACAAGGGGCCTGAAATTGTTCGGTTTGCCCGGCATGCATCTGCTGCTTCTGCCCCTATAAACCCGCCCTAAACCTTAAAGCCTAGAGCTGATGTCTTCTGAGCAAAGGACTGCTCTCCGATCTCCTATGATGAGATCGTCGACTGTCACCGGGCTTTGCATTCTCGTAGTCTGCAGTCTTCACTTGTCTGATAAAGTTTGTCGTGGCATCCGCTCCACCTCCTGCCGTGCTTTCTATAAGAAGAAAAAAGGAACGCTGAGGTGCCCTGTGTTTTTTGCGCTACTGGGCTTAAGGTTTCTATGTTTCCATTCTTGATCTATCGAATCAGGCCCAGGGGACACGTTTTTAAGAAACCAAAGTCCCTAAACCCGAAACGCCATAAACCACCCTAAACCCGAAGCCTTAAAGTCATGATGCTGTAAGAAGCCATCCTTCTCATTCACCCTCTTCGTCTCGATTCCATTCGAACTGCGATCGCTTGGGGTTTTGGGTTCATAGGGCTTCGGGTAGGACCAACGGACGAATGACTGCGGAAAAGCGGCACCTCACGACCGCCTGGTTTCATCAGAACCCCCAAAACAGCTATACATCTTCAAGCCATTCAGGCATCTCTGACTCTAGCAAGCTGTAAAGTCTGAACCCAAAACACTAAAGGTCTAGAAAGCCCTATAATAGAAACCCTGGACCCAAAACGCCCTAACACTTGCGTACGAAGCACTCAACCGAAAACAAAAAAGCCGCGAAATCCTAAACCCTAAACAACCCTAGCTCCCGGATGCCTCTCAAGCTTTAGCAACCCCAATCCCCAAACGCTACAACGAAACGAAGCCTGCAGCCAAAACCCTAGAGTCTATGTAAACCCCAAAAACCCTAAACCCCGAAACCCTCTAGGAAGCTTAAGGCCCTCGACTTTTCGGCTCCGACAAGTTAACCCAGCAAACCTGTACAAAAACACCGCTCATCCTAAGTCGTACACCCTCACCCTAAGCTCTCGATATAGCAATTTTGTCTTTCATACAAGGAAACAACTGATAAGTCAATACAAATACCATACAATTGAATAAAATTAAGCCTTGAACCAACCCTCACAGACAGCCCTGAACCCTGAGCTGCAGAAACCCCCAAAAGCCATGCGACTCTGGTGGGACCGCTTGGGCGACGTAGCCCTGGGCGCAGCCCGGCCCGACATCAGAGCTGTTGACCTCCGATCTCGGGGATTGAGGGTTAGAGGTTCAGGACCTTCGGGGGGTTAGGGGTTTAGGGTTTAGGGGTTAGGGGTTTAGGGGGGTTTAGGGATCTCTGTTGGAACAGAAGGTCTAGGGAAGGGATCCATAAGGGATCGACACAGGGTTGAAGGGGGCCTACACCCTAAACCCTTAACATTCAGCATCCACGGGATCCAATACTTGGTTGCGGTTCGTCTGTAAGCAGATTTTAAATACAGGCTATATGTGAGCATACGGCACTGGTACACTCAGGGTCTCAAAACAAGGGGGTGCAATGAAGGCATCCATGGGGAACCCTGAAAGTTCGGAGGGCGTCAGGTTTAGGCGTATGGATTTTGAGTTTGGGCCAAAATATTGGGATTTTTGACCTAAGACGCCATGCTCCGGCTTTTTGGTTTTTTGCTGCTCTAGAATATCCGTCATCGTACGGGAGGTGTGAAAGTTTCTCATGGAGTGGTATTGCAGAAGAATCTTATTTACACTCTACAGGGATTTACCACCACGACACCGTCACCTAAGAAACAAACAAGATCAGCAGGTGTAAGCCGTGTACACCTGAATATGCACGTCTTGCGGGTGCCTCGGAGACGTTCTGCGTGCCGTTAAAGAAGTCGCCACACTGCCCGGCGTCCACGCAACACTCCTCCGAAGCCATTTGCTTTGAGCTTTGCTTCATAATGGCATTAACACTACCCACAGTAATCATCAATCAACATCGTACTATGTTTCATACTATAGGGGTCTTAATTAGTTAGACTTAATCAGAACTGGGCTTGTTCGTGCGTTGCACATGCTTCAGACAGATTAAAGACTACAGCTACAAGGCGATACACGTACTAACATGTCGGATCTGTCTGTCCATGTCCCCACATATGTATATAAACGTCCCAAGTTATTAATTCTTGCAAGCTGATTTTAACAGCTGCGGGCGCTCATCCACAAACTAGCTGGGAACCGAAGCTTGGGGTGTGGGGTTTACCGTTTTGGGGCCTACGGTTGATAATGTAAATCCTGCAATTACCTCAAGGACCCTAAACTGTGGGTATTTATGGTCTTCCTTATGGGTAATGCAGGATTTATACTATCAACCGTAGCTTAGATTGTCACTAAAATCACTACTAAGCTGTATATGTATATAGATATATATATATATATATATATATACAAGTCTAGACCCAGCTTCGAAGGACCGAAGGGACTGAACGGAGGGATCCCGGCTTCTCCTAGCCTTGCACGCAGCAGCCAATGAGAGACCCTACGGCTCCAAGTATACACATGGGTAGTGGGTTTAAGCTTTAGGGGTTTAGGGTTTAGGGATTAGGGTTTAGGGTTTAGGGATTAGGGTTTAGGGATTAGGGTTTAGGGTTTAGGGATTAGGGTTTAGGGTTTAGTTGTCAAAATTAGGGTCCTGTTTTGGGGTACCCTAAATTTATTAGGTGCCGTATTATCATAAGGACCCAAAAAAAAGACCCTAAATTTGACAACCACCCACATAGTACCTACTATGGGGTCTAGAGTCCAGTAATAGCTACTTTGGGCTATTGGGAGCCCCGAAGAGAGTATAGGATATGAGCTACATGAAGAAGCCCGCCAGCTGGAAGAGCTCCCATGTGTAATTGCGAAACAAATGCGTAGTAGGCTTGTGAGACCATTTAGCATTTTACTCGGTTGACAGCTATAGGCTATAGGCCATAGAGTTTAAATATCTTCCATCGTAAAGGTCCTCGGAGGTGCATAAGGTTCCTGAGCAACCAGACGGATGCTGAGCCTGCCCACAGGAAAGGCTTCGGAGGCTCCGGGGACTTGGCAAGCAGGTTGTGACGTCTCTCCAAGACTTCGCCCCCTCCACCTCCCAAGCAAGGTGCAGCAATTGTGCTGCGTATGGAATTGCACCCCAAACCCTACACCACTGCTGAGAATACCTCCCCGAAGCTTCAAGTACACCCTCGCTGGCCTCAGTCTTCATCACCTGGTGTCGCGCACAAGGCCAGAAGGTGTCCGTGAGGCACGTGACTTTGTTGTCCTGAGGTTGCTGATCTAAATCCTGCATTACCTTAATGACCCGAGACTATGGGAATGATGGTAGATTCCTTCTTATGGGAAATGCAGGACTTACATCATCAGCCGTGCAATGCCGCGTGGTCGGAGTCGCTTTATAGGGGTGCAGCCCACTTACCGTTGACACCTAAAACCCAACCCCCACGTCCGAACCCCAAGGCCAAACCTGCACATCTGACACAGGAGCCGTCGAGATCTCCTCGTCGAGGCCGTACCTTAACCCTGAAGAACCTACCTTTTTAAGGACTGACATAAGGAAATCATAATAGGGAAGCCTAAAAAATTAGGTTCTTCAGGCTTAAGGTAGAGCTTGAAGATGTCCTTTGGCGACAAAGACATCCTGCTCCCCCTGCTGGTGACGGAGCTCTCTCCAGACAGCCTTCGGCAGCAGCCCTGGTAAGGCTCAGATCGCGATCAGGCAGCCCTGAGATGGCCACTGCTGATGGACAAAATCCTGCATGACCCTAAGGACTCTAAGCTATGGGAATTATGATGGGTAATGCAGGATTTTGTCCATCAGCAGCAGGACCTTGTAATCCAACAGCTCGCTAAGCACCGGGCGTTCCGTTTTTGTTGTCTGATGAGGCGAGTGGTCGCCCCCGGGGATGGCTGCTCCCTTCCCTACATGCAAGGGTGGCGCCCTGCATGGATTCTTGTCTGGCGCCCCCAAGTTTAGTATGATTCTGTAAACAGATCCGCTTGTTCTAGCACCACTAACCCTAAACCCTGAGCCCTATACCCTGAACCCTAAACCCTCAACTCTAAACTCTGAACCCCTGAACCCTTAGCCTAAAGCCCCGTAGGCCCTGAACCAAAGCACTCGAACCTCCCGCTCATCCCAACAAACATAAAGAGACCGGAGTGTAGAGCACACCCCACTGTTCAGGCTTCGGCATTGGGGAGTCCATCTTTGCAGTCAACCAACAAAAACCTAAAAAACCCAAACCAAGAAGGCCAGGGCAGCACCATCAGACGTCGTGTCAGGGTTTAGTTTAAGGCTTAAATCGTTGAGCTTCATAAACGAACATTCTTCAGCGTAACCAACCCACAAGCGTTAAGCCTACCAAAGCGCCGAGAGAGGAGTCCCAGTGTGCCGAAAGACACCTGTGTGTTTGAGGGCTTAAGGTCTATACGGGGCTTAGGGTTTAGGGATGTGTAGGCTCTACATTATATAGACCCTAGACCCTGAACCCTACGTAAACAATATAGGGTTCAATATAGGGGCCTAGATGATTACCTATGCTATTTTGGAAGCTGCTTATTATAAGTATAGTATAATGGGCCCCAGCCCTACCTCTAATTGTTAAGGCCCCATATAGCAATTCTTATAGTAACCCTTCTAGTAATCCCATGTAAGTAATCCCTACAGACACCTTTAAACGGAACCCTTTAGGGGCCTATAGGGTTTAGATGGGTTTACCCTAGGGATCTAAGGACTCATGCATTAAGGCTTTTGGGCCCAAAGACCATACTATATAAGGCTTTTTTAATTTGGGCTATTTTGATCCCTAGGGTTACTTGGAGGGTCGGGGGACTTAGAAAGTAGTTATTTTAGGGACTTAAGGTACTTATAAGTCATTATAAGTCTACGTACTGCCTACTTACTAAGTCTGCCGACCCTCCTAGACCCTAAACCCTAAACCGGCTCCTTGAGCGGCACCGCGCTGGAGAAGTTCGAGATGCCTTGATTGTTCGCTGCGTAGACGAGCAGGTGCCTCTGCCCACACGAGGAGGCTCCGAAACCCCTTAGTTAAGGAATACCTAAGGCCTGGGGGTCCTTTAAGGGATCCTACTATAATTTAACGTACTTTCCTTACTTAAGGGATATTGGTGCCTCTGCTCAGACTTTTTCAGGGCCTAGGGCTCCTTTAATTTAAGGGATCCCTGAGGCATCTATAGGGTTTAAGGTTCCCAGAGACTTCAAAACCTCTCAATTAGGGAATATATACCTCAAACCTTATTAGTTATTAGGGATCCTACTGCAACTTAAGGTCTATAGTCCTAAATTTAGGGATATTGGTACCTCTGCCACACGGGAGGCTTAGAGCGTAACCCAAGAACCTAAACCCTGAACCCCAAACCCTACTTGGAGGATCATGGGACTTAGTAAGTAGGGTTATAAGTACCTTAATTGGGGTTATAAGTAATTATAAGTATAGTTACCTTAATTAGAACCCCTGGTTACTAAGTCCCATGACCCTTTTAAGTATTCCCCTAAACCCTAAGCCCTAAACCCTTTAGAGATCCCTTATAGATCCCTTTCAAAGGAACCCTTATAGAACCCTACATCATAACCCTAGTTACTAAGTAGACTCGGAACCTAAAAGTCTCTTTTGGGAACTTTGGGTTGAAGGGTTTAGTGTGTACCTACAGTCTCCATTGTAGTTCCTTGTTTTTGGTTCAACCAGGTTTTATAAGCAGGATTCTATAAGGTAGCCCCCAAAAGGAACTACAATGGAGACTATAGGTAGGATTCAGGTTTAGAGTTTGGATCTTCTCGGAAGCGGAGGCTCTTTCCGCTTGCTGGCACTCCTTTTCAGCCACATCGTTGCGATCTCGCTTGCATCCAGCTTCTTGGTGCCGCTTCTCTCCGGAACTGCTGAAACTCGAACACCCGCTGAACCGCGGTTCTTGAGAGAAGCTTGTGTTGGATGGTGACTCCCTCGCGCAGGTTGGCTTGGAAGAACTACCGCGACTCCTCCGACGGCATGATGCGGAAACGCATGGGGATGCTGAGCAGAAGCCTCCTGGCCAACTCCATCTCCTCGGGGGTGCCTCCCGACGACACCAACTCACCCAAGAAGAGCATGAACGCGCCCAAGAAGAGGATGAACGCGTGCTCAGGCTCCTCGGGGCCTTGCATGCTGTTTCAGAAACATATCAACTTGAAGCTCTAACCCTAGAGCCCAAACCCTAAACCCTAAAACCCTAAAACCCTAAACCCGGAACCATCTAACAACCATAGAGGGCTCCGTTTGCTTTGTCTGCGAACTGGCCTTTAGGGGCGCGACACGTGGGACTTTGAACATGTCGTGTCAGGGAATCGGGGCTTAGGGTGCAGAGTTGAGGATTTAAGGGTGTTGTTGGGGGGTTTAGGGTTCAGGGCTTAGGGTTCAGAGTTGAGGGTTTAAGGGTTATTTTTGGGGGGGGTTTAGGATTCAGGGTTTAGGGCTTAAGGGTTTGGGTGTTTAGTGGTTTACAGTTTAAAGTGCCCGAAGCCTCAACCCCAGACCCTAAACCCTTGTTGAAGCTGATGGGGGTCAAGATGCCAAGCAACAGCCCAAAACTAAGCCCCCGCAGCAGAAACGGTTTAGGGTTTAGGGTTTAGGGTTTAGGACTGTGGATGATGTATCAATCACATCCCAAACCCGGTCAGAAAATCTCCCAGGACCTTACAAAACCGCTGGACCCGATGAGATCCTTTGTACGCATGAGCCTGCAGAAACCCCTTTTCACATCCTACAACGCCAATATAATGGCACGAAATCTTCTCCACTTCAGCCTTCAAAGTTCTCATTTGAATATTTGCTACTACCACCAAGATCTGCACGAGAGGCTGTTTCTCTCAGGCTTGGGATGGTAAAACGAGTGAACCCCACACAAGTCAAAAGCACGTGACTCTGCTTAAACCCGAACCCAGTCCTGTCCCATGAGTCACAAGCCCGAACCCCTGAACTGAAGCCATACGGTGTAGGCTGCGGCTTTGGGTCATGGTTTGTAGGGCCCTACAGCCAAGATGCCGTTTCCTATAAAGGTCCATGTATAAGAAAGGAACGAAGTAATTAGAGGAGGGCTTTGGAGGGTAATTATATTCAGGAAGTACAAGGGGGCGACCGAGACCCACTGAAAGAACTTCCACAGGAACCCGGCTTCAGTGTGGGGATATAGACCCTTGCAGATTCTGCCGGGCTGCGTGTAGGTTTTGTTCAGCGTGACCTGCAGCCAACACTCAGAGGCTTTTTCGACCTAGTCAGTACCGGGTGCGCGTCAACTTTAAAACATTTAACCCGGAACCAATACAAAACCCCCCAGGTATGTGGTGATTCACTACGCCAAGCGAACCCCCAAACACTAAAGCCCCTAACCCCAAAACCTAACCCATAACCCTGAACCTCCAAACCTTGAAGCCTGAAGCACTAACCCGAAGCCTCAAAAGCAAGGCCGCTGGGGAGGCGAGCCCCGTGACACGCGCCAGCCAGCTGTTATAGAATGCTGGAGGAGCACAACAATAACAACGGTGGTTTAGGTATAGAAACACAAAATATGTATAAATATACCTTCAGCTTCATTGGCATATATGGATACTTTGTTTTGGCGCCATTCTTGTTGTAAATGTTTTATTATATCTTTTTTATCTTTTTTAAACATTGTTTAGGGTTCTTGGTCTGGGTGCAGCGTTCGGGGTTTATGGAGTAAGGTTTATAGGGCCTAGGACTCAGGGTATAAGTGCCTGGATAAGTAGAAGAAGGCTTTAAGGGAACCGCAAGGAACACTCTGAGTATCTATTCGGGCTTCTACACTAGAAGTTTAGGCTTTCTGCTTTGTCAAGGGTTTGAGGGTCATCGAATATTGATTAGGGACCCAAAAAGCACATGAGCATAAGCATTTTACCGGGATGTCCCGGCCTTATTGGGCTTCCTTTTTAGGGGGTTTATATGGGATATCCCTATCCTAACTTTTGCTTATGTGCTTTTGGGGGCCCTTAAATTGAGCCCAGGATCCGATATGTGCCATTCGTGCGCGGCATCGACGGGTACATCCGGGCTGACCTGTGCCGAGTTCTGGAACTCCCTGACTACGGTTGGTGATATAAATCCTGCATCACCTTAAGGACCCTAAACTATGGGAATTATGGTATATTCCTTGTCATGGGTCATGCAGGATTTGCATCATCAACCGTACCCTTTACCCAGAGGGTTCTAACCTACTCCTTTTTGGGGGGTACCTAGATTATGGCTAGGATCTGTTATATAGACAGAGTTGATTCAGGGCCCCGGGGGGCTTTAGGGCATACGCCTGAAATGGTCTCTAAGGGTTTTTGCCAGGGTCTACCGGTATACCTCAAGCTGTGTGTATTGTTGTCCCCATCAGTCTTATTTAGGGTTTGTACTCAGACCCTGCCAAACGGAGGTCATGTAGGGCAACGGCTCTAAGTGCAATGGAGCTCGCACGCGCTTCTACGATTGCCTCAGACTTGCGATGACACTAACAGCCTTATGTGTATGGCTTAAGGCTTCGGGCACCGTAAACCCCACCTTAACCCCGAATAGCCTTCCGTCTTAAAGACTTCCATAAGGAAATCATGTTAAGGAACCCTAAACCCTAAACCTGAACACCCACTTGGAGGGTCGGGGGACTTAGTAAGTAGACTTATAAGTGCCTTAAAAGGGACCCTATTTGGGGTTATGGTACTTATAGGTCTGTAAGATAACTACTTACTAAGTCCCCGGACCCTCCAATCAAAGGGTAAAAGGAGGGACCGTATATACCCAGAATATACGTAGCCATTATATACCCATTATATAGCCCATTATAAGGTAGGGGTCTCCATTAAGGGTCCCTCCTTTTCCCCTTTGATCCAAGCAACAGGATCACCTGGACGGACTGAGGCCTGAAACCAGAAGCCTTAGCTTACGAACCTCATCCCCTGAAAGCCCTCAACCCGAAACCTCACCCGTATCCCTAACATAGGGGCCTTAATGGTTAGAATAGGGTTTTGGGGCCCATTATATATACATTAACTAGAACAAGGAGCCCCCAAAATAGTATAGGTAATTACAGACCCCCAAACCCCAAACCCGAAACCCCAAAACCCTGAACGCCGAAACCCTAAACCCCCAAACCCTAATCCCCTCAACACCTAATTAGAAAGCCCCTGCCTGAACCTTCCCGGTTCCCTGCTCGTCTTCTGCGACGTAGACCACGAAGTGCGTGGTCACCTCAGGTCAGGGAGTCACACGACGGCTTTGGGTTTCGGGTCCGTCTGGGGCTTAGTCTTTAGCGTTTGGGATTTAAGGCTCGGGGTTAGGGTTTAGTGTTGAGGGCTTAGGCTTTAAGGCTTTAAGGGGTCGCTGTAGTGGCCTCAAGGGCACAAGGTTTTGGGTTTAAGGTTACAATCTGGTATGACTCTGTGAAGACTATAATTAATCAGGGAATAACATATGCCTGCGTAAGGGCTCGTTAGCGCTTCTAAAGCCCCAAAATCCCTGAACACTACCGTAGAAGCCAGAAAGTTAGAACATCATTATTCTCGTGCCCTTAAGGTAAAGTAGAGGAGATCCGTGTTCCAACTTTGTGGGGTTCGCTGTAAACCCTAAACCCCCGAGCCCTCAAAGCCTAAACCCCGAAACCCCGATTTATAGCTCCCTGATAGATCTTTTTAAGGGAACTCTTATAGAACCCCTTACAGATACCTTTAAAGGGCCCCTAAACCTAACTCTGAAAGCCCTTGGGTCCCCGGCCGTGATCGAGCCAGGAACCCAGCGCACGGTCCCCGACAGCTGTTGAAAGATGGGGTCCTCTGTTTAAAGGGAACTCCAGAAAGTTGGAATATGGAATAATGGCAGTATCCCCTATATTTTACCTTAAAAGGAATATGATAATGATATACTGAGAGGGTCCAAGTACTCCCTACGGTTGATGATATAAATCCTGCATTACCTTAATGACCCTAGACTATGGGAATTATGGTATATTCCTTGTTATGGGTAATGCAGGATTTATATCATCAACCGTATTATAGGACTTTAGGGCTGTTTTAGGTACCAAAAACCATAAATAGGAGCTGCTTGGACCCTTAGGGTTTAGGGTTTAGGGTTGAGGGGGGGTCCTCTGCCCGCGACCACTAAACGCCCTCAACATGTGTATTCGTATAAGACTTGCAGTTAAGATCACGCTCAGGATGAAACATGTAAGGATTGATTTAGGTTTAGAGGGGTCCTCTGCTCAAATCCTTAATCCCAAAAATTTCAGGATTAAATAAGGTTTGGGTGGGATCCTCTGCCCAAATCCTTAATTATTGTTGTTATTGCCATTCTTAGTAGTACTATGATTATATTATGATCCTTATTTTTATTATGATTATTATCAAAAATTATTTATATGAGTATTATTATATATCTCACGCATGCTTTTTATAGGCTTCAGGATTTCAGAACAGAGAGTTCAGGCTCGGACCATGGGCCTTTGGGCCTTGGGGGCTGAGGTGGGGTTCGGGTTTGGGATTTAGGGATCTAGGGTTTAAGGGTTTAGGGGTTTGGGGTCTAGGGTTTAAGGGTTTAAGGGTTTATGGGTTTGGGGTCTAGGGTTTAAGGGTTTATGGGTTTGGGGTTTAGGGTTTAAGGGTTTAGGGGTTTGGGGTCTAGGGCTTAAGGGTTTAAGGGTTTATGGGTTTGGGGTCTAGGGTTTAAGGGTTTATGGGTTTGGGGTTTAGGGTTTAAGGGTTTAGGGGTTTGGGGTCTAGGGTTTAAGGGTTTAAGGGTTTATGGGTTTGGGGTCTAGGGTTTAATGGTTTATGGGTTTGGGGTTTAGGGTTTAAGGGTTTAGGGGTTTGGGGTCTAGGGTTTAAGGGTTTAAGGGTTTATGGGTTTGGGGTCTAGGGTTTAAGGGTTTATGGGTTTGGGGTTTAGGGTTTAAGGGTTTAGGGGTTTGGGGTCTAGGGTTTAAGGGTTTAAGGGTTTATGGGTTTGGGGTCTAGGGTTTAAGGGTTTATGGGTTTGGGGTTTAGGGTTTAAGGGTTTAGGGGTTTGGGGTCTAGGGCTTAAGGGTTTAAGGGTTTATGGGTTTGGGGTCTAGGGTTTAAGGGTTTATGGGTTTGGGGTTTAGGGTTCAAGGGTTTATGGGTTTGGGGTCTAGGGTTTAAGGGTTTATGGGTTTGGGGTTTAGAGGTTTAAGGGTTTAAGGGTTAAGGGTTTAGGGTTTAAGGGTGTAGGGTTTAGGGGTTTAGGGTTTAGGGGTGCGTGTCTGAGTTTCCCTTGCAGGGTTAAGTGCAGTATTTTCATGGTGCGACCTAGACCCGCCGGAGGAGCCAAAAGATAGAAACCTTCACACAGGCTTGTCTGTAGACATCCAGTAGAAGGACACATAAATCCTAAACCTTTTGCTCGGGGCTTCTATTGTCTATATGGGTGGTTGTCAAAATCAGGGTCCCTTTTTTGGGTCTTTGCTATAATACGGCACCTGATACTTAGGGTACCCCCAAAAGGGACCATAATTTCGACAACCACCCATATACTTTGCAAGGGGTCTGGGAGTCGATGGCTCGGGAGTGTAATGTCTTACAACGCCTGGCCGGCTTTATCAGGCTTACTATTCGGGATACCCAGAGAGCCCAATACCCCTTAATTAAGGAATACAGCTTAAATCATAATATGAAGGCCTATATAATTTAAGCCATATTCCTTAATTAAGGGGTATTGGGCTCTCTGGGTACCTGCTTAGGCTATAGGCTTTTGGAGTCTACGGTTGAGGGCTTGGGTTTTTGTGCTTTAGGGTGTTGGGGTTCAGGGATTTGACGCTTACATTTTACGTTTAGCTTTCTGTAGGCGGATTTCATTGAAACAGTCTACGCGCAGAGGACCAATGATCACAACATCGCGTAGGGGGATGCGTGCCCCAGACCTATCGGCTAAATCAAGGGGTCCTCGTCGTTGAACTCTATGGATTGCACCTCAGCCGGTGAACGCTGTGTGACGATGAGTCAAGCAACCAATATGCGAAATCAAAAAACGAAGCCCTGGATGCTTCCCACAGCTCTCGATCTGGATTGCGTACGACCTCTCCCCGTCCTATTATAGTTATGAATATTGTTCCAGAGGGTTCCTTACTGTAGTACTATGGTATAATGTACCCCGATACCCTGTTAATATTGTTCAGGCCCCCCAGTGTAGACCAAGGCACCACAGATGACGAACCCGGAGCAGAGTTCCAGAATAAGATGAAGTCCTGTTAGGGGTTTAGGGGTTTAGGGGCTAGGGTTCAGACTAAAATGAAGTCCTCCACTTGGAGGAATATGGTTTGGGGTCATGGGGCTTTGCGGATGTTTGGGTTTAGGGATGACATCTTTGAGAGTTCAGCGATAGGTTTAAGATTTTATGTGGTTTTAAAGGTTTGGGGGCTTGGGGTTCCGGTTCAGGCAGGAGAGCTAGGAGCTCTTTCAGTTCAGATAGGAGAACCTCGGCGTCCACAGAACAGCACCCGTGCAGGAACTAGGACCAGCGACTGTAGGATGTAGATGGGCGGAGCTGAAGGCTCTAGATGACATCGCCAAAACCTGTGTGTATATATATATATATGTATAGTCTAGATATCCTGATTCCTAACTCTAGTATCCCGTAGACACCCGATTGTCCCCGCGCCCAAACCCGAAACCTCAAATTCTGCACCCATGAACTATTGTAAAACATCTTCCTGGAACCTTGAACCCGAACCCCTTAGTCCCAAACCTGTCACTGAGGCCTCTACTCTGCTCCTGTCAGAACGTACTCTATGTAAACAGGCAAGCTTTCGGGAGATTTCATTGGCGAACAAACTGAACATCCCTAAACCCTAAACCCTAAACCCTAAACATCCCTAAACCCTCAACCCTAAAACCCTGAACCATGGAGGCGGTCCGTCACTAAGAGGGCGATGGGCACTGCCTGCTGCCCATACCTGTTTCGGAAGGCTTGATGTAGGGACCTTCTTAGTTAGAATAAGGGTTTGGGGGCCATTATACTATCGTTATAACAAGGAACCACCCGAATAGTATAGGCGATTATGAAGGGCCCCATAGTACCCTGTGCAAAATACATATTTGGTTCGGCCGTTGGGTTTGCTTGTTGGGTTAACACTGCTGATAGCAACGATATAGGGTCTGGGTTTGCTGAGAAGGAGCCTTCAAATCCGAGCAACTCATTATTATATACAAAAAGGAGCAAATAGAAACTTATGCCCTCAACCCTAAACCCTAGACCCGAAGTGCCCATGATGCTTCAGGTAGGGTGTAGGTGTGGGTTCGACACCCACGCAAACACACACACACACACACACGCGCGCACAAAGTCACACACACACACACACACACGCACACAACACAGGGAGAAGACCAATGAGTAAGCCTGCAAACAAACCCTCAACACCCGATGATTCTAATTCAACGCTAGGCAATAGTTCGACATGTAAACATTTGCAGGGTAACGCGGAAAGCTCAGGGACGTGCTGCTGTGTCCGTCCTGCTTCAATTTAACGGTCGTCGGGATTCTTTGCAGCTCATTCCCTTAAAGTCCCATCGGGCAAGACTTATTAGGGACTTTGGTTTTAATTCTACGACACCCTAAGCCCTAAAACCCTCAACAATAAAAGCCAAAAGCCCTAAAGCATTCTAAACCCTAAATCCTAAACCGCTGAACCTCGAGCCTCTGGCCTGAACCCGTACACGGAAGTATTGCGCAAGATTCTTGATGCAAGCGGTTTAGGGTTTAGGGTTCAACCATCATGGTGGTCAGAGAACGTTTTTTGTTGCAGTACTGACAGCAACAAGCTAGTTGCAGTGGTAGCAAGATTTGGTCCCTGCAATGCTTTGTCGCATGCACCTCTTGTCTATGTTCGTCAACACCATCTTGATTCTTAGCCTCAGCGAAAACTGTTTGCAACGACAAAACATTGTCAGAGACCCCGTGCAACAAGGATCGTTGGACAACAATCCCAACATATGCTGACCATGGCAACGACCTCGAGCAACCATAAAACCCGAAAGCCTAAACAGCGTTCAGCAATGTGGCATCGCACTCATGGGGCTGTACGGCACCACCTTCATTAAATGCACTTCCGCAAAGTGCACGAGAACTCAACCACAAGTCATCAAATGGCTTGGAAGCTAACCACCCCGCCCCCATCCGGCGCACGGATTCTCCGGATAGATCAACAGGTAGTCGCGAGAGTCCAGCCGGGTACCTTCTCAAGTGGCTGGAGCCGCCACCCCTGTAAACCTGACCGCATGGCAATTTCTTGAATGGAAATCATGGCGAAGAACACGAAATAACAGAGTTTATTACAGTTCAAGTGAACCCTGAACCCTGAGATCACGACAACCCAGAAACAAAACCGAAGCCCCAAAGCATCTAGCCCTAGATGAACTTTGAGTTAGGCCCAACCCTCAAACTTAAACCCAAAATGCCTACCTAGACTTCTGAATTCAACAAGCTACGTTTTCGGAATCAAGTCTGGGAACGAGTGCGGTGCAGCTCGCCTATGCATTAAGGCTCTGGAGTACTTACAAACAAGGCTGCAAGGAAGGTATCTATATCTGCTAATAACTAGGTACAAGCTATCTTACGCACTTACTCACTGGAAAAACACCCCTGGGCCGCCAAACAAGGTTCATGATGCAGGGCTGAGTGCTTGGTTCAGTGTCCCCAAACCCCTAAAAAAGCTTTCTGAGGGCCGGGCCGTTCGGTAAAGAGAACTGCACCTGCAGCAGAGGACTGCAAAGGACAGAATTCTCTCCCTAAACCCTAAACCCTAAACCCTAAACCCTAAACCCTAAACCCTAAACCCTAAACGTCTCGAAACACTACGAGTCCTGCCATCAAGGGACACCCTAGGAGTCGAGGAGTCCAGTACACGTACGATATGGGGTGGTTGTCAAAATTAGGGTCCCTTTTTGGGTGCCCTACATTTTAGGTGCCGCATTATAGTAAGCACCGGCAAAGGGACCCTAATATTGACAAGCACCCATATACCTATAGGGTCATACCCTACCCCTTTTTTAAGGTACCTACTTTTCTATATAAGAGAACCTAACCATAAAACCAGGTACCCTAAAAAAGGGGTAGGGTATGACCCTCTAGGTATACTTCGGACTGGGGACAGTACACTGCGGGTAACATGGGTGCTGGTAACTTGGGTACTTAATAATCAGAATCGTGTTTTTGGGGTATCTTGTCGTGTTTTTTTAGAACCGTGTTGTTGGGTATCTCGTCGTAAATTTTAGTAAGGAGCCCTAAACAATAATAGTATTGGTAGTTGACTATGCTTCCACATTATCTGAGACCCCGAACCTGCAGAACCACAAAGCCTCATTGAAAACCAACACACCTAAAACCCCAACGCAAAATCCTCACACTCTGTTCATGACATGAAGACCCAAAACCTCAAAATTCCTGAAATATACATCCTAAACCCACCAAAAATATACATCCTAAACCCTAAATTACCCAAAACATGCCCGCCTCTCAAACTGCGCTCTTGTTATAAGAGACTTAGTTTAAGTCATCATCTTGAGGAAACCATTTGCATTACTATAAATCAGTACTATGGTAACTTACATTAAATCCTTTCCCAGACCACCGGGAGGATCTAGAAAGTAGATCCCCTAATTTGGGGCCCTATACTACTAAGGGTACTTTATAGGAACCCACATTAAGGGATCTACTTTTTGGATCCTCCCGGGGGTCTGGGTTAACAAGAAGCCAATAAAAGGGGCTTCGGAGTCTCTGGGAGATGAATTACTATAGATCACTATTAACACTATTAATTATGGTAACTTACAATAAGTCCCTTAACAAAAGGGTCTCTGGGATATGACTTACTATAAATCACTATTAATTATGGTAACTTACATTAAGTCCCTTAGCCAAAACCCTAAACCCTAAACCCCAAACCCAAAACCCTAAACCCTAAACCCCAAACCCTAAACCCTAAACCCTAAACCCCAAACCCTAAACCCTAAACCCTAAACCCCAAACCCTAAACCCTAAACCCTAAACCCCAAACCCCCTAAACCCTAAACCCTAAACCCTAAACCCCAAACCCTAAACCCTAAACCCTAAACCCTAAACCCTAAACCCTAAACCCTAAACCCTAAACCCCAAACCCTAAACCCTAAACCCTAAACCCCAAACCCTAAACCCTAAACCCTAAACCCCAAACCCTAAACCCTAAACCCTAAACCCCAAACCCAAACCCTAAACCCTAAACCCCAAACCCTAAACCCTAAACCCCAAACCCTAAACCCTAAACCCTAAACCCCAAACCCTAAACCCTAAACCCTAAACCCTAAACCCCAAACCCTAAACCCTAAACCCCAAACCCTAAACCCTAAACCCAATAGAAGGGGCTCCGGAGTCTCTGGGATCGGAGACTTCGGCCTCGAAAGGGCTGGCGGACGCGAGCTCCGTCCGACCGAGGCCCGTGGCATCGAAGGCTAAGTAGAGACCTCTTTGGGTTCAGGATTCAGGGCTTGGGATTTAGGGTTTAGAGCGGCTAAGGTTTCGGGTTATGGGGTTTAGGACTTGGGATTCAGGGTTTAGAATGGCTAGGTTTCGGGTTTTAGGCTTTGGGGTTACTTGGAGGGTCGAGAGACTTAGTAAGTAGGTAGTAAGTAGACTTATAATGACTTATAAGTGCCTTAAAAGCGGCCTTAATTGGGTTTATGATACTTATAACTTCCTAGAATAACTACTTACTAAGTCCCCCGACCCTCCAAATGGGAGTCAGGATTTAGAGTTTAGGGTTTAGTTAGACTTAGGGCTTGGGGTTTGGGTTTAGGACTTAGCTAGATTTGTTTGGAGTTCGGATTTCACGGTCAGGTTTAAGTTTTGGGATTTCGATAGGGTTCAGGGTCAAGGGTTGGGTGCTGGGAATTCCAAAGCTTAGCTTCTGTTCAAGGGAGCCTGTCTGTCCGAGTTCTATAGGCGTTTAAGGTTTAGCTGCCTTGATTTTGGCGATGGTAAAGTATCTGTGGGGTTGCTAGGGTCTGTACATTGCTTGATCTTCTTGCCTTGGGCTCTCGCAAGCGGGAGTAATTTCAGGTGCAGGGCTCTCGGATGTTAGATTTAAAAGGCATGGGAACGCTGGAGTTGCTTTCAGAGCTTTAGGAATAATTTAGGAAAAGCCCGTCCGCAACAGGTGGGCCAGTAGGGACTGTCTCAGGGTGCAGAAGGCTTCAAACAAATCTACTCTTGCGTAGTGCTTGGATTCGCTAAGTGAGAGACCCGATTGATTGCCAGTATGTTGCTGAGAATTCTTAAACAACTACCCCATACACGATTCTAATGAAATGAGATTAAGGTGTGCAATTGTTCGGGTACTGGGAATCTGACAGGCAGCACGCGACCCAAAAGCCTAGACTCTAAACTCTACTTGGGGGATCATGGGACTTAACAAGTACGGTTATAAGTGCCTTAAGTGGGGTTATAAGTAGTTATAAGTATAGTTATCTTGATTATGGCATTCCTCAGTCCCGTGACCCTTTAAGTAACTTGCGATACGGCGCAGCATGAGAAGTTCAATGACGAATATCGCGGGCGCCTTCAACCCAGGGCTTACGGGGTTCAGGGTTCCGGGTTAGCCTTTAGGGTTTAGGAAATAGGATTTAGGGTTTAGGAAATAGGAAATATAGGGTTTAGGAAACAGGAAATAGGGTTTAGGGTTCATGGTGCTGGCTTCAGCGGCAAGCCCCGAACCCTAAACTCTAAACTGTCTATACTTTACATACGGGAAAAGGGTCTCTAAGGTTCCGAAAGCCGAAACTGACTTTAGCCCTTCCTGGGGATCCCAAAACCTACCGTTTTCAGGGTCAGGCCCTCTAATTAAGGGGTCATAACCTACTATTTTGTAGGGTTTGGGGTCACAGGTTATCGAACCCAGAAACAACGCCTTGCAATGCCCATATAATGTGGCTACCCTACACCCTAAACCCGGAACTGTAGCCTTCTGGCTCCTTGGGAACAATTGAATTTTGGTTTGCGTCTGGGGTTCCGCAAATCCGGAGGCCAAAGTAATGGCGAAATTGACAGAACAGGCCAAGCGACGCATGGCCGTGAACTTGTCGTACTGCCTGCTTAGCGCTTAGGGTTTAGGGTTTGGATTTCACGGCTGAGGGCTGTATTCAAAGGGAAAAGGAGGGACCCTTAATGGGGACCCCTACCCTATAATTCATGTGCTATATAATGGGTATATAATGGCTATATTAAGGGTATATACCTAGGGGTCCTTATTAAGGGTCCCTCCTTTTCCCCTTTGATCTATGATTGGAAGGATTTGGAAGTTTCCGAAAACAGGGGACCCTAATATAGTACCCTAAATAGTAGGATATTACAAGGACCCCTAAATCAGGTACCCCCCCTAGTTTCGGAAACTCCCATTTGGGCTGAGGGATTCAAGCTTTCGGGCCTAGGCTTCCGTGGTGATCTCAGGCCCTCAGATGGGAGTTTCCGAAAATTAGGGGTACCTTATTTCGGTCCCTTGTAATAAGGATCCTACTATTTGGGGGTACTATATTGGGGTCCCCCATTTTCGGAAGGCCCTCAGATGTATGCCAGCCTAGACCTAAACGCCTGAACCCTAAACCCTAATAAGCCCCAGACCCTAAACCCTTAGGAACCCTAAACCTTATGCCATTGTTGCCTAACTTCGAATTTCGAGTAATTTAGAGCTTCGGGAATTCTCGGAAGGCTGATTCTTGCGAATGAAATTCGATGTCAAGATCGGGATTCTGGTCGGGAATCGGATCTGATCGACCGGGTCGGTGCGAGAATTGATCCTGGGACGTTGGCTCTACTAGCGGCTCCACAGTGTGAGGCTCTCACCCCCACTACCAGCATGGTGTCTTGAAGCCCTTAACTCCAACCAAACCTCCAGCCCTTCGGCCCAACTCCCAACACTCCAATCTCCATCCCTCGTGCCCTCCACTCTGATCCGGAGATGTCTGGCGATCATGTAGTTGGTAAAGGACCACTTGCAAGAATTCTCCAGGATGACCACCAGAGCACGCTCGTCTAGGCGCCTCATTGTCGCCTCGAAGACGCCAGCAGATTATTCATGGCCGTATCTGCGTAGGAACAGCTCAGAGTACGCACCATGTCCAAGAGCTTGTAGACGAGTTCCAGAGCGTGCTCGTTTCGAGCAAACGACCCTGGCTGAGAGCGGGAAAGTTGAAACGCGATGCTGCCAGTGCAACGGTGTCGGCTCCACACTCCAGCAGCATCAGCCTATAGTCTGCGTTGTAGTCCTTCTTTTGGGTTAACCAATTTAAGGATCGTTTCAGGTAACCCCCAAAACGAGCTGCGATGGAGACTATATAACGGCAACCCTGAACTAAACCTAAACCCTGACACCCCTAAACCCTTAACCTAAACTCTTAGAGTTTAGGGTTTCGGGTTAAGGAGCCCTAACTAACCAGTGATTTTGAGGGTTCCCTTGGCTCTTTAGCTCCTTATTTAAACTGAAATTATTAGGGTTCACATTAAGAGCCCTGATCAAGTTCCAGTGTTTCTGAGTCAGACTCCTGTTTTTTAAACAAGAAGCCACTAACGAGACCCAAAACCCGCTACACCCTGAAGCCTTGTATTTAGCCCTAATTTTCTACAACAGTCAACAAGTAAACAGATCAGGGAGTTTTGAAGACCGCTCTGAAGAGTAACCTGCACTTGTATATATATATATATATATATATGTATATGTATAGATACGTACACACATACATGCATACATAATCATACATACATTCGTACACATATATGTTAGGGATCAGGATTTGGGGTATAGTCTTAGGCCTTAATTCGCCGGCTTCCTTGATTGATTACATAGATGTATTGGGGTCAAACTGCTACCAGATGTGTAAATGGACCCTTCGGGTCACTCTTTTCCCACTCCTAAACGCTCAGAGCCCCTAATATAGAACCCTGAAAACTTACCAATAGTATTCCATAGGGTTGCTTATTCAACCTCTAACTTACCCGCAGAACCGTCTTCTAATCATCTAGAATGAAAGAACCCTGATCGTAACCCTTTCTTCTTGTTTCTGAAAGACCCCTACAGTACCGAGCTGCCCGTGACCCAGGTGGACTGTCACGGTGCCACCAATGAGCTCTTCATTGGGATCCTCCGACAAATTCCAAAATGTCTAAATCGATCGGTTTGGGGTTTAGAGCTCAGTGTTCAGGTTTGCGGTTCAGGGTGTAGGGGTTTAGGGTTCGGCTTCAAGTTCAGGGTTTAGGGCCTTTCTACATTTTTGGTTGCGAGTTGAGGAACTTTTGCCTTCCGTTCTTAAAAGGTCATGGGACTTAGTAACTGGGTGTATAATTAGGGTTACGATACTTATAATAATTACTTATAACCCCAAATGAGGTACTTATCACCCTACTAAATCCCATGATCCTCCAAGTAAGGTTTGACCGGATCCTGGGGGAGTTAGGGCATCGGGAACGAGGGATGCAAGCAGGGTGGTACTTCTACTAACCAATGGTTTTGGGGTTCCCTTGGCTCTTTAGCTCCTTATTTAGTACAGGGATTATCATCATAACTGGCTCCTTAGCTCCTCCAAGATCAATGGCTAGTCTAACCTCAGGATGCTTTAGCATTTAGGCCACCCCCGGGGCCCCGAACCGCCTTTCACTGGAGCCGGTTTAGAGTTTAGGGTTTAGAGTTCAGGGGTTCGCTAGAGCCTGTAGCGAACCCTAAACCCCAATGCGGAAACCAAACCCCGAAGATGCAAGGCCTAAGAATATCAAGGCTTTAGGGTTTAGGGTTTAGGGTTTAGGGTTTAGGGTTTAGGGTTTAGGGTTTAGGCTTCAGCTGCGCAAATGCGCAGGGGCACGGGCTATTGGGCATGCTTGGCAGCTTACTCGCAGGTTGGGAGTACTCAAAACCTAGTTGGAATTGATGATAAACTACTAAGCCAGCCACCTAGAATACATGGTCTCACTGCGTTTATTCTAAGGCCGTCGCGCTTAAAGTTCTCCCGTTGACTGTCTAAGTGTTAAAATAGTTGGAAAGTAGGAGGGGTTGAGGTCTTCAAGAAGTTAGGGGTTCCGGGGCTTAGTGGTCAGGACAGGGTGCAACCTTGAGAATCTGAACCCTAAGCATTAAACCTTAATCACACCTTTAACCCTGAAGCCTAAACCTCACTTTCAAGCCTGCAAGAAAACCCGAAACTCTAAACTCCATCCAGCAAGAAATCAACTTCGCCGCTCCTCGTCGGAGAAAGATGCCGCGAAGGTCATCGTCGGAACTCCCCCGCAATCGTCCCTGTCTATACGGGAGTTTCCGAAAGTTAGGGGTACCTTATTTTTGGGTCCTTATAATAGAGATCCTACTATTTAGGGTATTAAATTAGGGCCCCCTATTAATCGGAAACTCCCAATACCCAAACCCACTACATAGCTGGGCTTTGGACTAGGCTTGCTGTGTCAGGATAAGGCTTCCAGCTTCAGGGAAAAACGGCAGCATTCCTTAAACCACCAGAACCTGTAGAGTATAGAATTCATATGGACCGCACAAACAGCAGGTTTTGGTAGGTTAAGGTAGGTTGTTGAGTTTAGGGACGACTTGGACCCTTGGTAAGACTTGACGGCAAGCACCCGCACCCCGCCATGAGAAATAGGGCAGAAAAATCAACCCTAAATCCTCAACCCTGACCCCTAAATCGTGATCCATCAGGAACCCCAACGAACTGCAAAATCTCGGACCAGCTGCAAGAAATGCACCGGCAAGAACACCTCGTGGCTTCCTGTCCTGTGGGTCTTGCAGGGTTTGGGTTCAGGGCTTAACGTCTCGGTTTTGCAAGGCTTGTGCGTAATTGTTCCAGGCTTCTTGCCGAGGGGGGCAAGAGCTAAGTTCAGGAACCCGGAGCCAGAAGGTCAAGCCTAAACCCTGAACCCTAAACGAAGCTCAACTCAAAAGCCGGATCGGAGAAGCCTCTTTCCCTGAGCCAGTGGGGGTTTCGGCCTCGGGGCGTTGGCCACCAATATGGGGGGCCTTAATAATTAGAATAGCAGCTTGAGGGTTTAGTATCTATAAGTATAATAAGGAGCCCCCAAAATAGTATAGGTAATGATTTAGGTCCTATATGAAACCCAAAACCCTAAAGCCCCAAACCCAAACCCTGAACCAGAAGGACTCCTTCTTCACGCACATAAACAATACCGAAACTGTATGAAGAAATCCCAAGGAACAGTGTTACTAACTGTTCAAGCGTCTATACTACACCTGACCCCAAGGGTCCAAGTACCTAATAATCATATACTCTCCAAAGTCCTAACTTACATAACTACTATCCTACAACCGAGTACCTAATTATTGGGTCCTTTGGACCCTTGGGGTGAACTCTTAAACACAATTGCAGGGAAAGCGTCACACCCGCGATAAAGAGAACGGATCGGCCCTCGTGCATGTAGTCGCTGGGTAGGGTCACAGAAGCACTGAAGGACCTTGGCTTAGGGCTGAGGGTTTAGGGTTTTAGGGGTTAGGGGTTGGGGGTTAGGGTTTAGGGTTTAGAGGTTGAGGTTAGGGTCACAGAAGCACTGAAGGACCTTAGCTAAGGGCTTAGGGTTTTTAGGATGTCTGTAAAGGCTTAGAAAGGTTCTTCTGGGTTGTTCACACGAGTTGTGTAAGACGCGTAAACGGCTGCATCAGGGCACTTTATCAGCGTTTGGTAAGGGTTGTAAACGGATTTTGTACAGGCTCTTCTCGTTTCTAAACAAGGGGCTTTCGACAATCTTTACGAAAATTTACAAATGTTGAAAAGAGTGGTTTTATACTTGCAAGGGGGTTCCATGGAGTGTAACATAGCATGCTTACATATCAGACATTGCTCAAACGTGTACAAATGTTAAGGGTCCTGTTATAGGACTTCTGGGCCTTTTCAATTACCAAAAATCAGAAATAAGGACTAGTTGGAGCCTTGGAGCCTTAGCGGATGAGAATTGTGGAGGATGCGGGAGCTCAAAAAACTGAGAAACCCCGCGCAGACCGACGAGACCCTGAAGTAGTAGAGTCCCTGAGAGGGTCCATATACACTACCCCCTAGGGTCCAAAGGACCCAAAGTGTTCCTTTAAAGGGTTCCATAAGGTTCCTTTAAAAGGGATATAAGGGTTCTATATGGTTCTATTTTATGGGCCTTAATAATTAGGTACTCGGTTGTAGGGTAGTAGTTATGTAGGTTAGGATTTTGGAGAGTACAGGAATATTAGGTACTTGGACCCTTGGGGTACTAGTACGGAACTAGGTCCCCAAAACCATCATGAAACCACCAATGTCCAACAAAAACCACACATTGACATGCTCTAAGTAAGGAATAGATCTAGCAATCCTACCCAGGCCTCAGGAAAGATTTAGAAAGTAGAACCCCTAATTCGGGACCCTTAGAAGCCCGTTAAGGGATCTACGTTTTGGGGTCTGGGTCTTTTGGGGGGAAGCATTTCGGTATGCTATCTAAGCACTGTAACTCTAACGGGATGTAATTCTCCGACCCTTATGTGATGGCGTTCGATGCTTAGCGTCTTGGATATTAAGATAGAACCCTAAACCCTAAACCCTAAACCCTAAAGTTAAGCTCATTCGAACTTCGGGTTGAGGTGCTTGGGAAGGTGGGTTAATACCCATAATACGGACTTCAAAAGGCCTATTAAAGGAAGTATAGTCCCCTACCCCCCCTCCCCCGTACCTCAATAAGGGTCCCTATGGTTGAAAAAGGAACTTTCCACTTGGGTGGTCTGTAGGTTTCCGGCTTTAGTTTTATAGGGTTCAGGATTTAGGGTTTCAAGTTCTAGAGTCTAGGGTTTAGTGGTTTATGCCCCAGGCCCCTTCGGGCGCAGGATAGAAAGACTAGTTGATTACAGCCCCCTGCTACATACTGGAGCAAAATGGAAAACAGCTTCCAACGGAGAGCCCTGGACACCACAACATCTTAACGCTTGGGCCGGGGCCTTATTATCTACCAGCAGAATGGGCTTGGGTTTGAGCAGGACTGCTCCAGAAAATGGAACCCCCTAGAAAGCCAATATCTTATCCTAACTTAAACCCTTAACCCCAATGTGTGCCCCATTTGGGATGCTTCAAGGAGCCTGGCTGAAGGTTCTATGTGACATGCATGAGGTTCTATTCGGTGCACAAGAGCTGATCGTCTTTCTGCGCCCTAAACCCTACAACAGAGCACCCTCAACAGCCCATCGCCGAGAAACATGGGCAGTTGCCAGGCAGTTGTCGCATTGGCGCCACTTGTGTCCAAGGCGAAAAAGATTTTCCAGAACTGCCTGCGCGGCGCGGACAGAAGGTGTCTAGGCAAGTCTCCTTGCTTGGAGATGTGTACGGTTCAATTGCTCCTAGTATGTTAGAAACTTTTGCGCCCCATGCTGTACCATGTAATTAGTATTGTGCATGTATGTAACTAGATATGTATGTGTATACATATATATATATATATATACATACACTTATATGTATATATATATAGAGAGAGAGACACAGACATAGACACACTCACAAGATTCTTTACAATAATACGCACCGGGAGAGGAATAAAGACAGGGACTGAAATCTATCTAATTTCTCTCTATCCTGCATTAGGCCATTAGGCATGTGCACATGTGCTATAGCAAGCTCGTGCATGCATGCTGGCGTACATACCTGCACGCATGCATCCATACTCACATACGTACATACATGCATACACACGTACATGCATGCATGTATATACATGCATACATGCATACATGCATACACGCATACATACATTACATACTTACGTACGTACATACATACACGAACCCACAAGTCTAAAAAGAACAACGGGCGAGAGGGTTTAGGCTTGTACATAGTTTGGGTCATGCTGCCAGACATGTATGCAGCCACCTAGCAAAAGCTCAGCGCCTAAACTAAACCATAAACCCGAACCACCACACCTCGAAAGGCTAAACCCCGATGTAATCCTGAATTCTAAAGAACTTCATAACCCGAACCCGCCTAAGCCCCTGCACTTCCCACCGAAACCCTGACAACCCTAAAAGCCCGAAAAGCTTCGAGGCATTCAACTCTTAGACCACAACTTGCATGCAACTGCTGATGAAAGCAGAGTTTGGAAATTTGGCGGTTCAAGGGGTATGGTTTCACTATAAACTCGAAAAGCATAACTGGAGGCTGCCAGCACGCAGAAAGATGCTAGTCTCCTTAAGTGAACGCAGCTGTATTAGCATTCTGTTCCCGCAGCCTGAAAACTTAAGCAACAAGGCATCTGGAGCAGTTTTCGAACACTCGACCTTTGTCAAGACGAAGCTCACACAAAACTCCTCCGATGCAGGACGGGCACGTAAGAGACGCATTGCTTACAAGCAGGCTCCTGACATTTACACTCCATGCAAAGTACCTGTAGTGCTGCTGTCAACCTATATCCTACAAACCCTACTTGGAGGATCATGGGACTTAGTAAGTAGGTTATAAGTAGACTTATAAGTGCCTGAAAAGGGACCCTAATTGGTGTTATGGTACTTATTATAGGTCTCTAAAATAACTACTTACTAAGTCCCCCGACCCTCCAAGTAAGCCGTAAAGCCTAAACCCATGAAACCTCAAGTACGTCCAAGAGCTCGGAATCTTGAAGCATTGAACCCTGAATCTTCAACTTTAAACCTAAACCTCAAGCCCCAATCCCGAAATTGAAACTGAGTTTCGTCGTCGTAACCGTAGGGTATGCATCGCTTTACTAAGGTTGCTTGATGTTATTTTTGCTGTTTCGGGGGTGCCTTGTCCATGTCCATGTTGTTGCACTCCTGATTACCCTGACCCCTGCTACATCACAAACAGCTGAGTTGCAAGATTGACAAGTCCACAGATGGATCCACGTCGAAGGTGATCGTGCCCCCAAGGTAGCCACAGCGGGTATCGTTGTCAGTGAAGTTCACATCCTGGACAAGATGGCCTAAAAATGGGGGCCTAAATAATTGGCAATACTGTTTGGGGCGTTCCTTTTTATAATTATGGTATAGCGGGCCCCAAACCTCTGGTCTAATTATTCAGGCCCCTACATTATGTAAGTTTAAGACTTAGGGTGGGAGCTTCTTGCTATCCAGTCGAATGGAGCTTCGATAAAGTGAAATGTCGGATGCAAGCTATCCAAAAGGTCTGCGCTTGGTTCATGCCGCGACAAAACATGTTCAGGGTTGTAAACTTCGGATACCAGCACCTACACTTGCTGCAACCGAGGGGGCAGCTCTTGGCCTACATTTCTCATGCCCTGTATTCTTTCTGGGTCTTACTGCTGATGGACAAAATCCTGCATGACCCTAAGGACTCTAAACTATGGGAACTATGGTATATTCCTGATAATGGGTAATTAGGATTTTGTCCATCAACAGTAGTAGGGAATGGGGGAATGGATCCCTATGACAGTCCGCTCCAGTCTCTTACGGTAGCCCCATAAAACCCATGCCGCCCTTCCCTGTTAAGAACTGATGGGAGGCCAAAAGGGGGGTTTAAGATTCTTGGGGTAGGGATTCCTCAATATGAACCCTATTATGGGAACCCTAACCCCTACTAAGCCCCTATAGGCTAAAACCCCTTTTGGCCTCCTATGAAGAACCATGGAGTGTTAGGGAACAAGTCTCCCATTCAGAAGGGATACGGTTTATATTGTTAAGGTAATTCAGGATGTATATCACATCAACCGTATCGCATGGGAAACCATGGTCCTTTCTATTTCTGTGCTCTGATTGATAAGCCTACCCTCAACCCTAAACCCTCATGGAGCTCGGGGTTTGGAATCTGAACCCTCGACTTTAAACTCCCAAACCGTGAATTTCGACTTCTTCGCACACCACAAAACGAGAAACCCCGGATTCTGAAACCCTTCCGCAGTTCAGGGTTCAGGGCTTACAAGGCCGGAAAAAACTTCACATCTAAACCTTTCGACCGCACTACCTTTGATGCTGAAAAACTTCACAGAAACTCGCAAAGCCGTATATTGGATTTACACCCTCAACCCTAGGCGCGAAGCCGGAGAATAACCACTTCTCCTGCGACAGTACCGGAAGCTCTGTGCCTGCAAGCAGTGGAAAATCAATCTCCTCTGCTTGAGGCTGAAAGTGTAGGATTTATGGGTCCCTTCAGTAGTCTTGTTGGCAGCAATCTCAAACTACGGTATGCATCTACGGTTTACGAGCTTCGCACAGGACCCTCCCCCCAAGAGGGTCCATACACACTACTATTACGGAATTAAGTCCACAAGACCATAACAGGGATGGTCCTTGGGCACCTACTTCCATGATCGTTGTGTGAATGAAGCCCTTAAGCTCAACCACGAAGTCCTAAACCCCGCATATACCGTAAATCCTAAACCCCCCAAAACTCCAAAACTCCAGAAGCCCAAGCCCTAAACAAAAAATGAACTCTCTCGGCAGAAATCTCCATCAACCCCCACGGCCCTATAGCGCAAGATCCCATGAAACCTCCTATAACGGTTAAGATTTAAGGGTTTAGGGTTTAGGGTTTAGGGTGAGCAAATCCCATAGAATCCTTTTCAACCTCAATAGAACCCTTTACCAGCCCCTGTAAAGCTTCGACGAGCAGTGCCTGTCCAGCCGACATCGAAGATCATCAACATTGAGGAAGGTGCCAACGTCGAACGATCCCTTGGCTCTTTCACTTTAAAGGAAGGGGTTCTTTCAGGTGTGCCGTCAAGAGTCCTGCATGGATTTAATGGGTACCCAAGAAAGTATATGAGGATTCTGGAAAAGTCTGGTTCTTCTGTACGGTTTTTGGCACATCACACGATCCGATAAGGGTGCCGCAAGGGTTTTGGGTACTTTAAGGGGTCTAAAAAGATCTTATAGGGGGTTTAGGGCTTCAAGGTCAAAGGTTTAGGGTTGAACGCATCTTAGGTTTTCAGGTTCAGAGCATAATGTTCGAAATCTAAATTTCAAATCTGAAGGCTGAAATCAGGAAACCTGGGGTTCTGAGGCATCAAGGCTTCCAGAGAAGGTCTCGGGTTTTAGGGAATGTAGATAGCAAGTGTACCGTGATCGTCAAAGTTGGGTCGTTTCCATGTGTTTTTCGCTCTTCACGCCGCAAGGATCAGATTCAGATCTTTAAAGTTTAAAGGTTCAGGGTTGAAGGATGTCGGTCACGCCGCAAAAATTCACGCTCAACGCTCAACCTAACTCTCAACAAGAAAAAAGCTAGATTCGGGCTGGGTTTAGGGTTCGGGGTATATACCATCAGCTCGGCACGAACCCTACAGCCCAAATCCTGAAACCAATACCTCCGCCAGATGTGCCAAGCTTCTGCCACGTGCGGTCTGGCCCGAAGCTTGTGTAGACCTGTTCGTGAAATGAAAGGAACTCTTGTAGAACCGTAGAACCGAAAACTAACCCAACAGTGCAGCACAAGCGAACTCTCTTTTGAAGTTGTCGTAGGTCTTCGAAGTATTCGAGAGTAGAGCGACGTTTCGAAACAGCTTGAAGCTGCTGGGACCTAGGGTCATACGTATGGCAAGCCAACCTCGCAGCGAAGAAGCCCAATCCCAAAACACGAAGCTGCACGTCGACAGAGCTGCTGGATCCCTGAACTCTGAAGAAAAGACAGTCGATATGGAATGCTTGGCAGTTACTTGACTTGGGTTCCTGGCATGGGTTAGGGCCTAGTCAACCCATCTTTATACTGACTGAAACAGAAAACAAGGTACAAGGGTTTTGGGTTTAAGGTCTTCGGAGTGGGTTGGGAAGAGATTGAGATTATGAAAGCCTTCAGGCAAAGGGGAGGTAGGGAAAGGCAGGTCTGCACATGCCTGCTGAAGCTGCAACGACTCCCGGCCATCTGCCACATCATCCCGAAGCAGGTGGCATTTCCCAATACGACGAAAGGCAGCTCACTCTTCGAGATATTCTGCAGTGAAATGCGAGAACATCTGCGGAATCTACATTCCAATGTCTGCTTGCAGTTCTCCTGTGAGATAGCACCCATTTCATCGCCAGTTTCTATAAAGAGATCGACATCTGACAGCTGATCCTTTCTTCTGAAGGCCTTTGCCTATGGCAGTGCTTGTGCGGGCAGCAAGCCCAGAGACCGAACAAATCCTGAATTAAGGAGTAGATTGTATCTTACAATAGCAACCCTAGCAAGATTCCATATTCCTTGACTCATGAGTTTCAGTTGCAGTCTCCACGGCAGGGAAAGCCACCGGTCCTCTAACTCCCGCAACACTGGCGCCACAAAGCCCCTCCCTAAACCCCAAACCCTACTGTAATGAACCCTCGGCAGGCCATGCCACAGTCGGGAGGGCTTTTGGAACCACTGGCTGCAGGACAACTTTGAGAGTCATCCTGCAATTAGGGGCTGAGGGTCTAGAGTTTTATGTGTAGGTTTTGGGACTCCATCATATGCAAGGCATGTGTGTGACTTGATTCTTATGAAACATATTCAGACTATATAGCGTCACAGCTTCACGTGCCCTATACATAATCAACATACTGACTGCAAGCATGCACGCCGCAACCTAAACGCCAAACCCACAGCCTTACGCTTGACTAGACCACCACACCCCGAACTCTAACTTTTAAGCCCCAAGCACCTGAAGCCACAAGCACCTGCAACGGAACCACTCCATACCCGCCTGCAGATATCTCGTCGTCAAGTCTGAAAAGAGTGCCTTCCTCTGTGTCCGGTCAAAGTCAAACCTTCTCTGAACGGCGTTGCATTTGGGGTTTGTGTTGTTCGGGGGCCGTGGAGGTTGTGGCTTCGGTCTGGGGCTGTCGAATGTCCCCCTAGACCCCACTGAACTTGCTGCAGCTCTAATTATGTACCTTGTTGTTAAACATCTTATGAATAGACCTACCTTTTGCCACAACTTGGAGGTGTTGGTCAGGCTTTAAGGTTCAGGGTCTGCGAGCTTCGTAAAGGGTCGAGTCGCGGTTGAATGTTTGCGGCTGGCCGGATGTGGTATTTAGGGTGAGGTTAGGGGCTAAAGACTTTGGGATAGGATTATCTTCCGGTTTGGCGACTACTGTAGAAAAGGGGCTTAACGATATGCAAGCCTCTGTCTGCAATCCTCTACAATCCCTATTTACCAGGTCAGCTATGTTCCTAGTCCTAGTCCACTAGCCCGCAGCCCAAACCGCAAACCTTTGACCTCCAAAACCCCCCAAAACCGAAATGCTGAACTTGGACCCTTGACTGGAAACCCATACTTGGAGGGTCGGGGGACTTAGTAAGTAGGTTATAAGTAGACTTATAAGTGCCTTAAAGGGGACCCTAATAGGGGTTATGGTACTTATAAGTCTCTCAAATAACTACTTACCAAGTCCTCCGACCCTCCAAGTAGGCCCTAAACCCTAAACCCCTATAGCACCCCTATAGATCCCTTAAAGGGACCCCTAACCCACTACTTACTAAGTCCCCCGACCCTCCAAGTAAGGTTTTGGGCCTAAGCCTGAACCCTGAGCCCGAAATCTGAACCGGATTCCCGGAAGCCTGCAAGGTTTAGGGTTTAGGGTTTAGGGTTTAGGGTTTAGGGTTTAGGGTTTAGGGTTTAGACCCCAAACTTGAAGGAACCCTTGACCCGAAATTACTGGCAGCTCTTCTCCGAAAGCTCAGGGACTTCAATAGCCGCTTGGTGAAGGACTGCGACTATCACCCTAAACCCTAACCCCCTACCCCTAAAGCCATCGCCTAAACCCCAAACCATAAACCTATACCCCGAAACCCTAAACCCTAAAACCCGAAGGCCCTAAACCCTAAACAGTTAAACCTCTAACCCCGAAACTTTTCAACCCAAAGCCCTAAACCCTAAACCCCAAAACCCCTAAATCGATATAGTACCCTTGTTATAGAGCCCTTTAAAGAACCCGTATGATCCCCTTTCAGGGTATCCATGTAGAACTGGAGCCAGGTCGCGACGTCTCTTCGGGCCGCAGGAGCTCCCAGCCAAACTCCGCCGGGATGATGATGCCCTTAACGGTTAAGGGAGGTTTTTTTTTTAAATTGAGTTGACTTTTAAGGGAGGGTTTAGGGTTTAGGGATTTAAGAGCGGTCTAGGGGCGGTTTAGCGGTTTAGGGGTTAGGGGTTTGGGGTTCAGGGGCGGTTTAGGGTTTAGAGGTTTAGCAGCGGCTTAAGGTTAGGAATTAGGGTTTGAGTTTAGGGTTTCGGGGTCGGGGTTGGGGTTTAAGTTCAGGGTTCGCAGTGGGTTTCAGGTTTAGGGGCCCTCCTCAGTTCTCTACAAAGGCTCTACAAGGGCTGAGGGGGTTTTCAGTCTCCTCGAGTTTAGAGTTCAAAGTAGATGGCTGTGTTTCAACTACCTGTTTAGGGTTGGTCAAAGCTTGGGTTTTAGGGTTTGGAGTCAAGGGCTTAGGGTTTAGGGGTTTCGGGTTCAGGGGTCTAGTAAAGGTTGTGGATAATGTGGGGTAAGATGATGACCTGCCTGCTTTTGGGGTGTCTGCATTGGAGCTTGTAGTTTCTTTGACAGTGGTTTAGTTCGAGTTGCGGGCTTGGGTAGCCCCTCTGGCTTGGTGATTTAGCGGCCGGGTGTAGGGATAATATAGGGGCCTTAACAATTAGAGTAGGGTTTTGGGGCCCATCATGCTATAAATGATCAAAAAAGAACCACCAAAATAGTCTAGGTAAGTATTTAGGCACCTATATTACCATCCAAAGAACACAGAGGCGTATCTATAAGCGTCTAGTAGGGCAGTGGGGCATACGAGTTTTCTAGGACTTGGGGTTTAGGGTATTAAGGTAGAAGCGTCTAGTAGGGCATTTAGGGCTACCTGGTCCAGGTTGTAAGGTTTAGGGTGAGCAACCTGCAGCCCTCCAGCCACTCAAACTGTCTAGGCCTTTGTGAGGCTTGGATCTAGCCACGCTAGCGCTAAATCCCCAACTCTAAACCCTACACCCTAAGCTTAAACTTAAGCCCTAAAGCCTACAACCGCGAAGCCCTCAACCGAACCGAGCTGCAGTGCCCTTGAAAAAGTCTGCCAGCTCTGTGTCCATATCCGATGCGAGCCATGCTCGATAGCTGGAGACCTCGTTGTGAGTTCAGGGTTTAGGGCCTAGGCTTGAAGCCCCTGAAGCCTGAAGCAGCTGAACACAACAGCTTTGAAGGCGACATCCCCGTAGGGGCGGCGGGCGGGTTTCAATACTTCATGTGTTTCAATACTTTACGTTATCGGAAGCCCTAAACCCTACACCCGAAACCTATCCCCAAGGGTCCAAGTACCTAAGAATCATATACTCTCCAAAATCCTAACCTACATACCTACTATCCTAAAACCGAGTACCTAATTATTAAGGCCCATAAAATAGAACCATATAGAACCCTTATATCCCTTTTACAGGAACCTTATGGAACCCTTTAAAGGAACCCTAATTATTGAGTCCTTCGGACCCATGATTAAAGGGTCATGGGACTTAGTAACTAGGGCCATAATTAAGGTAGCTATACTGGACCCAAGAGTAACCCAGGCATAAAAAGGATGCCCTTTTTGGTTTAAAGGGGCTTATAAGGGAACCTGAACCCTAAAAAAGGGAATAAGGGCCTACTCTGGGTCCTAGGGTAGCTATACTTAGAACTACTTATGTACTTATAACCCTACTTACTAAGTCCCATGATCCTCCAAGTGGGGTATGCTTCGACTTATTAAGGAGGGGCTTTCATTATTCGTGGGCTAGACTATGTAGGAGCCGTCATGATTAGTGGGTTAGACTGTACTATAAGTCCAACAAAGAACCCCTCAAATAGTGTAGGTAATCATTTAGGCACTTCATATTATACTTCTGGCCATGTTCCTGCCACTGACCGTATCGCAAAGAAATCCGCAGAGTGCAGGTCCTATACGTAGGGTTTTACAAGGTTCCGTCCTGTGGGCTCCTCCCAGAGACTCCAATATTCCTTGGTTACGCAATACCTTAAATCATATTAGGGATCCTACCATAATTTATAGTAGATTTCGTAATTAAGGGATATTGGAGTCTCCTGGCTCAAGGTATCAGGTCTGCATAACAACCAAGGTCAATAAAGTTGCCTGTTCTCTGAGGCTTTTGAAGCTTTTGGGCTTGAGGGTTTCGGGGTTCGGGTCAAGTATTCGGGTGTGGCGATTTCGGGGTTTAGTTTTTATTGGTGTGAGAAGTGTTCTACGAAGGTTCTATAAGGGTGTAAGGGTCCTTCAACAGGTTCTAGAAGGAATGATATTTCGATAGTGACTCTTTTGGTGGGCATTGGGGGCATAAAGGGCTTTGTGTTTCGTGTTGGCGGCGAGCTCAGGGCTTTGGGCTCTATGGGTGTACCTAACCCTTGAACCCGAAACCCTAGTAGAGCTTAGGGTTTAGGGTTTAGGGGTTTAGGGTTTGGGGGTTGTTAGCATGCACCAAAACCCTCGCCCTATGAGCTCTTCCCCCAAGACTAACCATTGCAAACATGCCTCTCGGATCCCCCGATAATACACACGGGCTCCATTTTTAGTATTAACAAGTCTTCAAGGGAACCGAGGCCCAGAACAAAGGGGAACAAGTGGCCCACTGGGAAACCTAAGTTTTCCTTCTTTAAATTCAAGGATGTCGGAAGGTCTTGGAACTACTATCGTAAACCCAAATACCCAATTCGCTAGGTCGCTCGGTCCCGTAGAAACCCCTATGCAGTACGGCACTCGCGCCCAAAACCTCAAAATCCCAGCCCTTAGAGCCTGAAGCCTACCCAGGGGGTCCAGCACCCTTTTGACAGCGAGGAGGGGCCGAGTCGCATTGGACAAGTCTGCGGGTGCCGTCCACGAAACGGTCCCGCCAATGAAACCAAACTCGTCCTCGGAGTCAACCTGAAGCTGCTTCAGGGTTCAGGGTTTAGGGTTTTGGGTTTAGGTTCTTGGTGCTGTTATGACGGATGCTTCACCAAATCATGAAGTAATTCCAAAAAGACCCTACATTCTACCATATAGGCTTTGGGTTAGGAAAGGCGAAGGGTTTATAAGGTCCAGGGCTTAGGGTTTATCAGTTTAGGTGCAGCATGTAATGTTGATGTTGCTCTTGTTGTTGGTGGTGGTGTTGGTGTTGGTGAGGTCTTGTGTTGCTTACAGATAAAGATAAGCAGGCTTCGGGCTCGGTGGAGTAAGATTTTGGGCTTAACGACTTTGCACGGAGCTTTTGGTGGATTTAGTGCTCTTTCCCTAGCTAGCGGCCTCTTTAGACGGGTTTAGGGGCGTTAAGTGTCGGGCACAGGGTCTAGAGCCCAGGGTTCTGCACGGGGCTTGAATTTAGTGTGAAAAGTCCAGGGTTGAGTCGGGGCCGTGCGGTTTGCGATTTTCGGGGAGTTGGTCTGAGCGGCTTCTCAACATCCTACAACTTGCAATACGCTATACAGACAAAACCCCGAGTCTATTTATTAGACCTTCTGCATTACATGCTGAACAGTAACAAAGCTGCTATCCTGCCCCATACTCCAAGGCCCTGGACCGCCGCTCGCGAATCACTGTAGGGCTGGTGCGTATACGGTTTTGCCGCTTTCGAGTCTTTTGCCGCCTAGCCGTCGCTGGTGCCATGTGCGAGAGTTTAATAATTTAGTCAACATAAGTGCTGCAATAGTTTGAGTAGGATCTCGATGTCTATCATAAAGTGAGCTGAAAGGAACAAGACGTTGATATTTCCTTTTTCCAATTACACAAGTTTGGGTTCCGAGGTGCAGGTTCTTGAGCAACATCCGGGATGCAGAAGGAGTGTGTTTGGTTTCTCATGGTGGGATATGGCCACTATGGAGGGAATACCACCCACACCTGAATTCAGGAAGGCAAGATGCAAAACCAACGTCCGTCACACCAATATACGCACCACCAGCCTGGTCAGGTTAGAAGTGCAAAGCATGGGCTGTTATGGCCAATTGAGGGATTCCGAGGCTTCAAAATTGGGACTCATGCATCTGCCGCTTCAACGCCAAAACTCGGCCCTATCAGATCACGAATGACTCTTGAATGCGAAGTTCGGCTTTCAGCCTCGGTGCAGAGTTGGGTTTGGGGACGGAGGATTTTGTCCGATCGCATAGGCGCCTTCGACATTACAGGCATCAGTCCAGTCTGGGTCGCGGGGTGCATTGAACCATGGAAGGGAACGCTGAATTCTCTTTCACACGTGGACATGCTTGCTGCGCCATGGTAGCGTTGCAATGGTTGGACGTTGCTAATGGAACGAACGGCGGCACTGCCGACGGAGCAACCACCGTCGGCACAAGTCATTTCACAGATTTTGGATGCCATGTTGACAGGCAAGTTCCCTAAACCCTAAGCCTGTAAACACTCCAAGCCCGCGTCCCCCTGCATGTGTATGCCTGAGCATGCGTCGTGTCCCCGGATTCTACATGTAAGCACAACATGGCCTACTGATTGACGCCATTTTTTGGCTTGATAATGTTTCATATGCTCAGGAACTTGATCAATGGAAATGTTTATTCACAGCAGCCGAGGAGACATACAAACAGATGGGTCTTCCGCTGGGGTGCACCGCGATGCAGCTCATCTGACTTGCTAAAGTACCAGGTTGTCGATGTTTAAATCAGCTTTCGGATTTCATTCAGAGTGCCAGACCGCACACAGTTACAGAGGCTCAAAGAAATGTTTTGGATGTCCCTGTCGACGCCCATTTGAACGCATTAATTCCCGATAGCAAGGATACATGCCACTTCGTCTTCGTCTTCGTGTCTGTGCTATGTCTGTTAAGATGAATTCCAGGTCCCAAGTTCGCGGAGAATTGAGAAGCTCATGTTCGGAGAAAAAACGGACGGAGGATTCGTTTTGGGACGTGGCGTAGCAATCGTCCAACAGACTAAGCTAAGCATGAACACTGTAGGAATCGCACAACTGTCGTACATGACTGAACCCTTTCCATCGCCAAAGGCCCTTAGCCCTAAGCCCACAAGGACATTGAGACGTGAACCGCCAGACTCAGGGAACTGGCATGCTGTTACCAGGACACGGGCAGGCTGTGACCAGGCTCCCTCCAACAGCAGCAGCCTAGAACCACCAAAGTCGTACATGCTGACACTGACACCGCCTTAACCCTCAACACCCCTTACTCAATCCCGCTACAGCCCGCTGCCAAACGACCAGAAGACATATGTAAGCCAAAAAGAAACCAGCGATGTTGAACCCTTGCATAGGAACGTTGATGATGTAGCATCGGGTTGTAGGGTATGTCATAGCATCTCGGTTCTATCGACAAATATATTCGGACCCCAGTATATCAAAGCAAAATCAACTGAAACCAAAACCCTGAACACCAAACCCTAAATCCTAACCCCCCCAAACCCTAAATCCTAAACCTCTCTACATCCAAGGCTGCCTAAATGATGAGCTCCAAAGATCTTCCCTCAATGTCGGGGCCGTAATAACTGGTGGGACTAGCTATTTCAGACCTCTACGTAAAGGATCATGGGACTTAGTAACTAGGGATATAATTACGGTAACTATACTTATAAATACATATAACCCCAACTATGGTACTTATAACCCTGGTTAATAAGTCCCTTGATCCTTCCAAGTATAGTAGGCATCACATGAACCAAAGGAGCCGAAAGTGATTTGGCCGTTTATGGTTCAGCCCTAGGGTTCCGGGCTTGAGGCTCAGGGGGTTTAGGGTATAGGGTTGAGTTTTTAGGGCTTAGGGTTTAGGGTTGAGCTTTTAGGGCTTAGGGTGAAGTTTTTAGGGTTTGGGGTTTGGGGTTAAAGTTTGGGTTTAGGATCCGGCGCTTCGGGTTTACCTGCAGTCTCCATTGTAGTTCCATTTTTTGGCTTAACCAATTTTATAAGTACGATTCCATACGGTAACCCCAAAACGGAACTACAATGGAGACTACAGGTAGGGTTAACGTTTAGGTTTAGGGGTTGAGGGTACGTGATATATTAGAGCCTTCAGAGAGGGCCCGTACTTGGAGGGTCGGGGGACTTAGTAAATAGTTATCTGAGAGACTTGTCAGTATCGCAACCCCCATTTAAGGTCCCAATCAGGGTACTTGTAAGTCTACTTACTACCTACTTACTGAGTCCCCCGACCCTCCAAGTATATCCCACCGATTCCGGGTTTAGGGTTGATGCTTTTCAGGGTTTAGGGTTTACGGGTTAGGGGAGAAAACAGCATTTGAGGCCTCCTATGTGATAGGGGTCAGAATCGACTACTTCTGCGGACCCCTATCATATACCTCGATGAACGAAAAGGGACTCGGTCCTGTTCGATCCTGTCAACTGCTAACAAGCCCATCTACCTCGACCAGGCATCGCGACGACAAAAGCCAGAAAAGGAGCTTGCCAAAGGTCATGCGACAGCTGCCTGGGAATGCCCAAGGTTCATGGTGGAAACAGTCTCTAAACACCGACACTGAGCCACCTAACACTAACCAACACACTTCAAACTCTACAAGCATCCTGGGCATCCCATATACCCTACTTCTACAGTGGTTTATCAAGCTTGGGGATTTAGGATCCCAACAGCAGTGAAAGTGAGAACGGCATGAGCGGTGCTACTGCTACTACTCTGCTGCTCTAAAAAAAAATCTACCGCTACTACGACGTCGACTACTGCTACTGCTACTGTTACTGCTACTGTCACTGCTGCTGCTGCCACTGCCACTGCCACTGCCACTGCCATTGCTCCTGCTCCTGCTACTGCTACTGCTACCACCACTGCAGCTCATTTACCTACCGCCAATGTTAGCCTTACGCCTTACATGCCAAGCCCTCAGCTTAATCCCAAGCTCAACACTATCATTATACAATGATGTTCGTATCTCAGTTATTGTCATGCAATGCAATGTTGGGTCGTAATTGTTAGGAACTATCAAATGTAGTGTCAGGAGTTGTTAATATCAATAATTCCCAATAATCTGTGATATGAGGGCAATGCGCGTATGGTTGTCATGGGTATGCCTTAGGTACGGCCCCCATACAGTAAGAGTCGATAATAGGGCTACTATTAAGGTCCTACTATATCTGTATTATGAGTCTTATTCAACTATTACTGAGTGGGGGCCGTACCCAAGGTATGCCGGGGTTTTGGTACGACTGGTGTTATGTAAACCCAGGGTAAGACTGAAAGGAGCACTCTGGAAATTCTTCACATGGGTAGTAGTCAAAACTAGGGTCCCTTTTGGGGTACCCTAAATAACAACAACAACAACAACAACAACAACAACAACAACAACAACAACAACAACAACAACAACAACAACAACAACAACAACAACAACAACAACAACAACAACAACAACAACAACAACAACAACAACAACAACAACAACAACAACAACAACAACAACAACAACAACAACAACAACAACAACAACAACAACAACAACAACAACAACAACAACAACAACAACAACAACAACAACAACAACAACAACAACAACAACAACAACAACAACAACAACAACAACAACAACAACAACAACAACAACAACAACAACAACAACAACAACAACAACAACAACAACAACAACAACAACAACAACAACAACAACAACAACAACAACAACAACAACAAACAACAACAACAACAACAACAACAACAACAACAACAACAACAACAACAACAACAACAACAACAACAACAACAACAACAACAACAACAACAACAACAACAACAACAACAACAACAACAACAACAACAACAACAACAACAAACAACAACAACAACAACAACAACAACAACAACAACAACAACAACAACAACAACAACAACAACAACAACAACAACAACAACAACAACAACAACAACAACAAAAGTAACAAGGACAAGAACAGCTACTGAACTGTAAATCTACACCTGGCCAAAAAAGGAAACTGAACCAGCAACAGCGCCCTACACCCTACACCATAAACCTAATGCCCCAATGCCCGAACCCTAAACCCTACACTACACCGCAAACCTCCAAGGGTCCTCGTCGCAGGAAAGTTGCGCAGGACGTGTGCAGCCCGGGCGTCCCTTCAGGATCGCAAGCAGGCGCCCACGCCGAAGCCGCCCCCAGAAAATGGCTCTTGCAAAGCGGAGGGGAGCTAGATGGAGCTAGAGGTTGTAGGGTGCAATATAGAAGCCTTATGCATATAATACGGTTTTGGGGTCGGAAGTAATAGACATACATAGCGACAAACAGGCAGGTCGTGGAAAATGGAGTAAATCATACTTGGAGGTTTGGGTCAAAGGTGTTCGGGCTAGGGTGCAGACCTTAGTGGCAGTGAAAACAAGAAGAATCCTGATTCACACCGAACACGGTTGTCAAATTTTTCTGATGTTGCACCAATCATGACGTTACCAATTGCAGCAGTCATCGAAGCATGTCACAACCTGCTTGAGACAAGGGGTGCCACGATTTGGACGCTTCCAGCCATGACATACGCCTGAACACTCTGAACGCTCCCAAACCCCCTCGCCCTAGCCTCAAATAAAAACCAGCTTTAAACCCGTCAAGCGCCAACCGGATCATGAAAATCGGAACGCAGGCAAATCGAGTCGTAAAAACCGAGCCCCGGACAACAAACTGTGGCTGAACCCGCACTCCCGAACCCCAAAGAGGGTTGAAGGCTCAGGGGGCTTGAGTTACGGAGATCGGGATTCAATTTAATGTTTCGGTTTCGGGTTTAAGGGGGAGCCGTGCGGGCTATTAAACCTAAACCGCAAACACGAAGCGAAGAGAGTTGGAGGATTCCTTAGGCTGAGTAGCCTAGCCCAAAATGAAAAAGTTAACCTTCTCCATTATGCTAGGATTATATAAACCCCAAACGGCCAAAGGTTACCTACTCAGCTACTACGGTTGATGATATAAATCCTGCATTACCTTTATGACCCTAAACTATGGGAATTATGGTATCTTCCTTATTGTGGGTAATGCAGGATTTATACCATCAACTCCGTAAGATTCCTTACAGTACGAACCCAGGGTCCGAGACTCGCCCAAGCCCCTACTTGGAGGGCCGGGGGACGTAGTAAGTAGCTATCTTATCGACTTACACGTATCATAGCCCCAAATTAGGGACCCTTTTACATGTACCTGAGAGTCTACTTATAGTACCTAATTACTAAGTCCCCGACCCTCCAAGTAATACAGAAGCTTTGCGTTTTCTTGATTTTTGACTGCAATATACTTCATGCAATAATCTAATAAGGAACCCGACCGAACAGCATTCAGGAAGGCCTCATCAGCGACCTTGCCAAAATGCAAACCTAGCACACCCATGAAACCCTCAACTCAACTCCAAGCCACAACCCTGAACCCTATATAAACCCGCTACCCTCTATGATACCCCAAATACCCACAATTATGGCCTATGAGGGCTGTATTAAAGGATACCTTGGGGGTCCGGGCAAACCCAAACCCTATAATTATGAATCCTGATATTTGGGGGTCATGGGCAGAGGACCACAATTTCTTAATCAGGTTCTTACATTAGCGTCTACGGCGGGGTGTAGGGTTCAGGGTTGGCAAGCGCTCCTGTCAAAACACATCGATATGACTGCGACTATTTAGGAAGCTTCAGGTGTGGCGATGTTCGGAGATTCTGCGTTGAAAGCTTGAGCCTAATGCTTTGCGGACTTTGGGTTATAGGCCTTGCTGACAACTCCAGATTGCCAGGAAGGGGTGACTATACTGAACTTAGAACCCTAGCACAAATTCTTATTTCAGCTGTTTCTTCGAAATTATATTAGCCAAAAATTAACCAAAAATTCTAAGTACCCCTAAGGTGAATGGGGAATCTGCGCCGTAGACCCTGATTAAACCCCACATCCAAGCGCTAAACCCTAAAGGGAGGGGCACCGAACAGTTTAGGGTTTAGGGTTTAGTGTTCATACCTCTTCCGGGTTGGATTTAGGGCTCGCCGTCTGGGCTTAGAAACTTAAATGACCCAAGCACGGCCGCGCGATTTTTAGGCACGCCCATGTGAATGTGGCGCATGTGACATGTCACGGGTCTGTGAAACAAGCAAGGTTACCATGGTACCATAAACCCAACCCTAAACCAAGGGTTTGGGGTTTAGGGATTCAGGCTTTAGGGGTTTAGGGTCTAGGTGCGAGAGATGCGAAGGCCCTCAGATTCTAGACTTTACCCTCTGCCAAACAGCTGCTGCGCTGCTGGAAGCCCTGTTTTACCGAAAGACTACAAGTAATAACACGACATGGCAAATCCCAAGCACCTAATCATTGAGAGCGCCTGGCTCGCAAGGGTTTAGGGGTTTAGAATTTAGGGTCCAAGCCATGCACCCTAAACCGCACCGGAGTGCCCAAACTGGCCTTAACCCATTGGGGCAAAGATTCAGGGTGTCTAACGTGAAAGTGCGCGATTGCCTGAAGACAACCAGCCACATCTGAAGAATATCGTAACTCCAAAGCCAGTGCCGAAACGTGGCAGACTCAATGATTCGTGCTATGTCACCCCCCCCCAAGGCCTCCCCTGTAGCTAGTTGGGAGAACCGAGCCCCTAAGCTCTAGAACCCGAAGTGGGCAAAACATGAGCAAAGGCGGTCAAAACATTTAGAGGTTGGGGTTTAGGGTTTTTGGGTCTCCGATCGCAAGAAAAACGGATGTTTTTTCGGCCTTTCCTTGATGATCTTAGGAAGCAGGGATCCCGAAGATAAACCTGGAAACTTATTCATGGAGAACCACTTCAAAAAGATCCCAACAGAAGTCAAGAAGCAACCCACATGCGGGCTAGCCAAACAAGCGTTGCCATGAAGCTATCCTCACTTCTCCACATTCCGCCAGCCGCATTTCTTACCTTACTATAGGGGCCTTAAGAATTAGAAGAGGGTTCTGGGTGTATACTATACTGTAGTTATAAGGAAGCCCCAAAATAGTATAGGTAGTGATTAAGGCCCCTAGAATATTCGCAATGGCGGGAAAGTGGGCCTGCCTTGCGTTGAAAATTCTTTTTACATGGGCTTTACAAGGAGGTTACTTGAAAAATCGCAGGACTGAGTAAGTAGTTATGTTAAGGAATTATAACTATGATAACCCCAATTGGAGTCCGTTTTAGGTACTTAAAAGTCTGCTCTTTAACTACTTACTAAGTCCCGCGACCCTCCAAGTACAGGTTTTCGAAGTTAGGTTTCGGCGTGTAGCCTGGGGTTGATCAGAAGCAGTGTGGCTTGTTGGCGTGTGAATTCAGTGTGCTTACTGAATTCTTGTTTGATGGCTAATTATTCTGCCCTGTCGTGCCCCTGGCCAGACCACAAAAAGCTGCAGTTTGGGGTTTAGGGTTTATGAAGGCTACGGTTTCAGGGTGTCGAAAGTCTTTTACAGCTGCACTCCAACCACGTCAGTGCTTTACACCGCTATGGAACTCAATGTAAACACTCACCTGATCCCTGCAGAAGCATCTCTTCCGGGAAGCTTGTTCTTATTAATTCAGCATACAGGACTGAAAGTGTAGCAACATGCCTCATAGGGTTCCCGATTGCCACAGCCCAAAGAACAGGACCCGTGTCAGCCCTTCGCCATAGCCATAGCGCTACCCCGAAGAAGCTGAAAAGTAGCGTCTTCCCCCGAGGCAAGCGGCATGAGCAAAAACAAACCCGCATACTACGCCCTGCCCAGAAAGTCCGAACATCCTCAACCCGAACGCCATCTTAGGGGCCTAAACCTGTAAACCCCCGAAGCTTTTAGGGTTTCGGACAGCCCAGCCATATAGACCCTAAGCCCGAAGCCCTCAGCCTCTACAGCAATCACGACGCATGAAGACCCTGAAGACCGCAACAGTCCCGCGAAGACAAGGCAAAAGAAAACGTACCAGGATTCCAAACCCAAAACTCTACCTTGAACTACCAAAACCTACCCTTGTGTAGGGCCCGTGTATAATCTATATGAAAAAAACATTGGGTTTTGGATTGGGGCTGGTTATCTGGGGGGGGGGGGGGCCTGGGGGGGGGGGGACTTTTCTTCCTATTAGGGTCGGTCGACGGACGTCCTACCCCCCCGCACCACGTCCTAAAACATGAAATGGAGACGTATGGCAACGTGCAATGACTGCTTCAACGCCCCGCTTCGATTTTTCTCTGGGCTGGCTTCACCAGTTGTTCGTCTGAACTCGCACGGTGAGACAACAGAGCTAGCGCTGTCGAGCACCGAGCATCCTTGCTTTTTTTGTATTGAAGTGCTTCAGTACATGCAGTAGCCTCTCTCAAACTTGAAAACCCCACTAGGCCCTAGGATGCTGCCGGCAATGCAAAGCTCGCCGTGGCTGCAGTCACCATCTGCAGGAAGTCCTGCCAGGCAGTTTGGGATGGCTTGGAAAGTTCACTGTGTTGCTTGATGTTGCTTGTCAGGGGTCCTTCACACGCTTCGTCGAGATATTGCCACTTGAACGGTCTCCATTTCAGGCAGCACAGACCTTGGCGACCATGGCAAATCACTGAGCACCCAAGGAACAGAAGCAGCAACATGCTCACAAGGACCTGGTCGTTGATCCCGAAGACTGCCAAGACCTTGGCCAATCATCAAGCGCCCAAGGAACAAATGCAGCAAGAGCCCGACAAGGACCAGGCGAAGCGGTCCCGAAGACTGCGAAGACCTTGGCCAATCATCGAGCGCCCAAGGAACAAAAGCAGCAAGAGGCCAACAGGGACCGGGCGAGGAAGTATACCCGGTCGTTGGTCGAGTGCAAGACCAGGCCTGCCGAATGATGACATCGTCGAGGCAATCGAAGGAACGGCAGAACCGGCCTTCGCATGCCAATCATCCTGAGTGGACCAACAAAACCCGAATGACACCGTCTTGGCAGTTGAAGGCACGGCAGAACCGGCCTTCGCATCATCCCAATGGTTCCACTGGTTCCACTTGCTTGATGGCCACGTGGACGACCCCTAGCAAGTCAACGAGGGTCTAGACAGGTCAAGACGCGCCGGGAGCAACGAACAAACACCAGCGTCCTCCACCAGTCATACCGCCACTGCGGTCGCCACCAATCCTAGCCAGATGCTGAGGCCGGCTCTGCTGTATTGTTGACTTCCACCTGAACTCCCTTCTTTCTTTGCTGAGGGCTCGGCGTGGGCGATCGTGGTCGCGGGAGGAGAAGGCCGCCAATGCCTTGTGTTCGATGGTCGCCTTACTTCATGTCTTTCCGGGGACCGCGGTCGCCGCCAAGAAGAAGTGCCGGCCGGGCCCAGGCACCGCGTTCGCCTGGCTCTTCCCACGTGCTGAGATTTGAGAAAGCAAGAAGACTTAGCACCGGCCTTGTTCACTCCACGATCATCACCCTTTTCCTGCCAGACGGTGCCAATATGTAATGTCAGGTGCCAAAACATGTGTCCCGGTCCTCTGCCCACGAGTCCTGCCAAGAGTACTGCTTTGCCATGCAGTCGAAAGCCCTAGCCCCGAGCCTTGGAATCAGGTTCCACATCGCCTTCTTCAGACTCCTGGCCGCAGGTCAAAGCATATGTGCCAGAACATCCCCGGACACTTAAACTCTCACCCCGTAATCCTCTTCAGAGCCCTCGTAGAAGGAGCCGCCGTCTTCCATGGCCTCGTGTTACACCGGAGAAGAAGCATGCAGTTTCCGAGTGATTCTGAGTGCCCTGCATTCTCCTTCTCCTCGATCTCGGTCCAAGCATCCACGTGTGCCCATCTCTCGATCTGTTGCAGGCTCAGGCAAGCAGCGCACGGAAACAGATCACATCCCAATACTGCCGCTCCTCGCGGCGGTGCTGGGGACAGGGTCCCCCCAAAAGTAGGGATCCTGCAACGAGAAGGCAAACCACCACTACAACATACAACAACCAAGCAACAGCATCGAATGCTCCTCCCAGTCGTCCCAGCCCTCAAGCATCGCCCGGAACTGCCGATTCGGAAGGGAGTCCTGTGCACAAGGTAGGCCCGGTAGGCTTTACAAACGCATAGGATGTTTCAGGAAGCAGCCACCGGCCTGGAAGATGTATCGTTCCCTGGCAAGACGAGAGAAGTGACAGATAGATGAGACAGAGTGAGAGAGAGCGAGAGAGAGTGAGAGAGTTGAGAGACCGTGTGCCAAAGGCATCCAAAGGCCTTTGCCGTGGTCGCAAGTACATCGCCCTTTGTACCTGGGCTGGATAAGCGGGGAGGGGGATGTGGGGGGGCGGGGAGGGGTGGCGGGTGGAGACCGCGCTCTCAAGATCCCACCAAAAGCCCAGACACATCAGGGACTGCATAGTCGCTCTCTCCCAGGTCCAACTCCGAGTCTGATAGCCACGATGCATCCATGGCTCTAGACGAACCCTTAAGCACCTGGAATGCACTAGTTGCCTGTTGAACTCTTGCAAATGAATCCTTGGAATGTTCCGGGACTGTCATTCGTGCTATGCCGTGCTGACATGTCTTGCAATGTAACGCATGAGCTCGCAGGAGCTGTGGCCTTGCAAAATGCAGGCCTTTGGCAGTAAAATGCGGTATGTGGGCAAGCTCACTGCACGCATCGCAAGCCCCCGCCAACCAAAGTGCAACGTCAGTTGCCGAGCCTGCCCAAACAACCCACACACAGACACACCCAATCTTGATCCATACACCCTGGATGCGCCTCTGCGATCTGCTTCTCCGTCGGAGGCCTGCTCGTCGCAGTCCACTCCTCCAAGACAAGATCTACAACCCCCACCAGATCACGAAGAGGTCCCTGATGGTCCCTGCCAGTCCCTTCCTCTGGCCCCGTCGTCCACCACTCGTGATGGCTGACTCTGGCCGTGCCGTTGGCTTGGTAGCTTCCTCGCACCTGCGATTGATTATCCAAACTTGCTGCTCTGTCTGCAAACCAATTCCGAAGCCTGGCCTGACAGATCTGCTTTTTCACGTCGTACAAGATAGCCGTGGTTTTGCAGGGGCATCCGGCAACACCCTGAGGCAAAGGAACTGCTAAGGGATGCGAGACAAAATAGCATGATAAACACTATCTCAGATATCTCGGAATCTGGCGCAGGTTTGCGGCAAAGGATGCAGCGGAACGGAGGGAAGCTCCGCCGTGAGAGAGCGCGCGCTACTGCTCGAATCTTACTGCTCGAAACTCCCATGTGATAGCACGCTTATGTAAAACCCACTGCCGACAAAGTGGCTTACTCACCCCTCCCCCTACGCCGTCATAGTGGCTTAACTTAATTAGAGTAAGTTTCTTAAAAACCCACAGCCGACAAAGTGGCTTACCCACCCGTCCCACTACGCCGTCATTGTGGCTTAGGATCTTACCGAAAATGACAGACAGTAAGTTTCCTAAAACCACTGCCGAAAAGGTGGCTTGTCATGACCCGTCCCCCAAAGCCGTCATAATGGCTTTAGATCTTATCTAAATAAGATAGTATCTCAATCAAAGTAGCTAGAAGAAGCTAAACTGCCTCTGCTCGGTGTTTGTGCATGCTCTCTCCACGGCCTACCACGGCCTACCATGGCCTACCCTTGATTCGGCACAAGCGACGATGCTGTCTCCAATGCAATTCCACAGCCTGTCGAATAGACTTAACCTACTAATTCCTTCCTATTTTCCCCCCCCCCCCCCCCCACGTAGGGTTCGGGGCCATGAGAAATAGAACAGACTCGACCCCTCGCCCCCACCCAAATATCAATGGATAGCCAGGGGCAATGGTTTTGGAAAGAGGAAAGGAAACCCGAGCTACCCGACAAGAAAGCCGCCTGAAAAATTTGGAATAGGGTTTTGGGCGTATGAATTCTCGCAAAAAAGTAACAAGGAACCGTACGAACTCATGTTGGTGTTTGCTTGTTTCGGCCCCTACATTGACATCGCCTCAAGCTTCATATTTAAGCTACCATAACCAACTGAACCCCTACAACCCTGAACCCTAATCCCGATGAAAGCCATAAGGATGTAGTTACCGGAATTTTAACCCTAGGTACTAAGTCCCATAGCCAAGGGGCAGAGGAAAAAGACGCTCAAACCCTCGTCTGCGGATCTGAGCTGGCGAGTCCTTGGCCCGAAAAACGAAGACATGTGACAGTGACTATAGGGGCCTCAATAATTTAAAAGAATAGCGTTTTGGGGGCCCATTGCACGAGATTATAAGATGGAAACCCCAATTCTCGGTGCTTAGCGATGTACTATGGCTTTGAGATTTACGGCTTAGGGTTTCAGACGGCAGGGATTTGGTCTTACCAGAATTAGTTAATGAGCACTGAAATCCTAAACCTTAAACCCTGACCCTAAACCCTGAAGCCTGAACCTACACCCTAAACCCTAAACCCCAAACCCTAAACCCTAAATCCTCAAGACCCTACGCCCGAAACGAGAAACCCTAAAGACCCACATGTAGAAGAACAGGCACAAAAGATTCCAACGACCGACCAAGAGTCCAGAACTGCAGCTTGTCGTGCCCGCAATCTGGGATGCTTGTTTAGGGTTTAAGGTTTAGGGCTTTAGGGTTTAAGGTTTAGGGTTTAGGCCCCATGGGCTCCAGTTACTTACATGGTAGGCTACTAGCCATCTCTTTTGTATCCCTGTAACCCATTATTTAACTAACTGGAGCCTAGCCATCTCTTTTGTATCCCTGTAACCCATTATTTGAGTAATTGGAGCCCGAGGGGGCTTCATTTGATTACGGTTCAGGGTTCAGGGTTTGGCGTTTAGGGTCCAGGGCTCAAGGTTTGGGGTGCGGGCGCGCGGCTTTAAAGGGCCCTTAACAGCCAGAACTGCGGGACAACTGCAGTACTAGGACACCCAGTAACCTAAGAATAAAAAGGCCTCTCTTTTTGGTATTTGGTAACTTTATAAGGAACCTAGGACTACAAAAAGGGAATAAGGGTACTACTGGGCATCCTAGACTGTAGTATAGCCAGCATAAGGAACCCTACGGAAAGATACTGGAAACGACTCCTGGCCTCGGACAACATTGTGGCGAAGTTCCCCGCTTCAGGGCTTCAGAGTTGCAAGTGTGAGGTTTGCTGGTTTAGTGTTAAGCTACAGGGTCAAAGTATTCAAGGTTTCGGGGCTCCACCCAAAGCCCTACACCTAAACCCTAAACCCTGAACCCTAACAAAAACATAACATAACTGCCAACACTACATTCTCGAGACTGCACCTCGAAATACAGCCTACAGTCTGAAAGAGTCTTGGCTGACCTTTTTAACCCCTCCTACAAGTTAAACTTTTAGCCTCCATATTTTAATTCATATAGAAACCCAAAAAGTTAAAGTCTAAAGAGCCAACCAGAAGAACGCCAAGGAGTCTATACCCTACAGACCCTCGGGTAAGCTACGTACATGTATCCTGTATCTGTATATGCGCCATGTTCATAAACACATGCTTTCCTCATGGTTTTTATGGCAACCATAAGACATCTGTCTATCAAAACCCTGACGCCACCCTGGACAGCCCTTATGAAGCCGCTATAATAAGATCCCTGCACGGTGGTTACGCCCAGTTGCTCGGGCACTCCTGGTTGATCTCCGGATGCTCCGTGACCTGCAGACATGACGCACAAACGTGGCCTCCGAGGTTTCGGGTTGAGGGCTGGTTGTCTAGACCCTAGAGTAACCTAGGAATAAAAAGGGTGCCCTTGTTGGGTTAAATGGGGCTGTAAGGGAATCTGAACCCTAAAACGGGAATTAGGGCTGACTCTGGGTCCTAGTTGTTTAGGGTTGTAGGGTTTAGGTTTAGGCTTTAGGGTGAGTTTGAGCGCTTACGTAGGGTTCAGGGTTCGGGTATCGGGTTTAGGATCTAGCGGCTTTACGTGGGTTTCTATGAGTTACGCAAGCCTGGAAGGGTTACAAATGGGGGTTCTACAGGTTAGCTAGGATACCCAGTAACCTAAGAATACAAAGGCCTCTCTTTTTGGTATTGGTAACTTTATAAGGAACCTAGGACTACAAAAAGGGAATAAGGGTGCTACTGGGCATCCTAGTCAGGGTTGTGGGTTTGCAGGCCTGGGGCTTACGTTTTATGGATTTGATTTTGGCGTTACGGCGTAGGCGTCAGGACCCTCCATACATACATACGTACGTACATACATAAATACATACATATGTGTAAAAAAGAATACACACAAGTCGTCTATCTATGCACCTCGCCTAAACTGAACCTCATGAATCTCAAAGCACTGTCCTTCTAGTAGAGCTCATAGCCTCGACACAGCCATCATGGCCATCAACAGTAGGGTTTAGGGCTATTGTTGAGGGTTTAGGGTTTAGGGGTTCGCAAGAGTTGCAAGATTTGTTTCCTGTTGGCTTTGGCCGCTCGCATGGGGTTTCCGACGGTAGAAGTACGGCTGCAGCCCGCAGGTGCTTCAAAAGCTATCTCGGGAAAAGAATTCGACAAGCCATTGTCATAAGCAGTGGTACCGCCAACAAACCAACTTGCGAACCTATGCCCCGTTTTCACTGCGCAGATAGGATGTAAGGCTTATGGATATCTCCGCGAAGCTTCATGTGCAATACCCTATGGCATAGAAAACCGCAGGACTCTGCACCGAATTACAGTGAAGGACCTACAACCTGAACCCTGAACCCTAAACCCTAAACTCTAAAACCTGAACCCTGAACCTTAAACCCTAAACCCTAAACCTTAAACCCTAAACCCTAAACCATCCTGAACCGAAACTTCTTCAACCAGAAGTCTCTACCTTGAGAACGTCTACAAGACCTTACCCAGAGGGTCCTTATGGGTAGTTGTCCAAATTAGGGCCCCTTTCTGGGTACCCTAAATATTAGGTGCCGTACTATAATAGAGTCCCAAAACGGGACCCTAATTTTGAAAACCACCCATATATACTACCATTCTGGAATCAGGTCCCAGAAGACCACCCCCGTTCTGGTTTTGGAGGGCTAATTCCATAATAGTAATGTATATGGACCCTCTTGGTTATAGGGAACCCTTATATAGTAGCCTAAATAGTAAATAGTAGGATCCTCACTATAAGGAGCCCCAAAATACGGTACCCCCTAATATTCGGAAACTCCCACTTCTGAGTATTCACAAGTGCACGGACCCAGGCCTCGTCTTCCATCTCCGCCTGCCACTGAGCCTTCTTTTTTCGGGACCCCAACAAGGACGTAAGCATAAGCAGTTTATGGGGATGTCCCTCCCTTATTGGCTTTCATTATGAGGGGGTTTATACGGGATATCCCTATCCATATTTTTTGCTAAACCCTAAACCCTAAACCCTAAATGCCAAACCCGGTTTGGGGCCCTATTCTGGGGGATTCAGAAACGGAGGGCTTCGGGGCCTCATGGAGCTTATCTGGACCCTGAACCCTACGTGATTCGGGCCTCCTTACCCAGAGAGCCCAATACCCCGTAATTAAGGAATATAGCCTAAACCATAATATGAAGCCCTATATAATTTAAGCCATATTCCTTAATTAAGGGGTATTGGGCTCTCTGGGTACGCTTCTTATACATGTCCTGAATAGGCTTCCGCGGTGTTGAGGTGAGACCCCTGATTACGGGGACGCAGTACAGAATACTGTATGGGATGCTGGCATACATTCCAGCAGAACCTCGCAGGGGTTCTAGACGGAACCTGGAACATCACTCGTTAAATGAGACCCAGAACCCCACGTCCCAAAACCGTTTTAGGGCTCAGGGCTTAGGGCCTAAACCCTAAACCCTTAACTCTTTCAGGAGGTGCACAGCTCAGCTTTCAAGTCCGAGTTGGCAGTGGTGCCAGGCGATGATTGGTAGTACGATAACGACATTAACCTACCCAAACACACTGTTTTTTAAGGTCTCTATCGACTCCATATTAAGAGTTATAATAAGAACCTACCAAAAAAAGTAGGGTTTGGTAGTTAGGTTTTAAATGAAGGAGTCTCAACAATTCGACGAGAACAGAATTTTGAGTAGGTATATTGCTGTGGTCATCAAGAACTAGACTGATTAGAACAGAAAAGAGTTTTGAAAATGATACACGGACGGCAAGTGTCTGGTCAAAACAACGTGGTACGACGACCGATTAAACAGTCAGACCGTTTGACCGCTAAAGAATACAAACCCCAATGTCCGAACCACAAACAAAAGCCCGGAACCAAGAACCCTGAACCCTAAGCGGAAGTTGGACATACCCAAACGTTTCGAAAAAGGGCGCTACATAGTGGCGTTGAGCAGGGTTTCCAAATTGGTTCTACAACTGCCCTTTAAAGGAACCCCCAACCCCTAGGCCGTAAAAGGAACCCTGAACCCTTAAAGCTAAACCCTGGAATGAACCCTTAACCCATGCCATAAGGTTTCGGAAGGAACAGCGAATTTCCCTGGCCTCCACCTCGGCAGAGGTTAAGCTCCACCACGGTGGCGACACCTGGCAGAGAAAGACCGATCCGAGGGATTTAGATTAGGGTTTAGGGTTTAGGTTTTTTAGGGTTTCGGGCTTTTAGGGTTTAGGGATTTAGAGGTTTATGGTTTTATGTTTCAAGTCTTCGTCATGGTCGCCCCTCATGGTCAACCGAAAAAGGCAGGATGGTGCCAAAACAAACCCTTGCACCACGATGCTCAAGGAAGCAGCTATGAATCACCCTGTAGAACGTGGTCACATGGATCCTTAAATCCCTAAAACCCCGAACCCTTAAACCCCTAAACCTCTAACCCCCTGGCCCTAACCCCTACGCCCTAAACCCCTAAACCAACCCCTAAGCCCTTGGCTTCAAGGCTTCAGCGCTGTTCGGTCGAACTGAGGCCATGGCCCTCTCGTAGACCATCACGCTCGATCGTAGCGGCACCTGCCACGAAGCCCTCAAATGAAGTGGAGGATAGGTTTAGGGCTTAGGGTTGAGGAGTTCGGGGCTTAAGGTTTAGGGCTTAGGGTTTGCAGGGTTTAGGGTTTAGGGCTTGGGGTTAAGGGGCTAAGAAATCCCTAAAAATAGGATTCTTAAAAAGAGCCCTAATAAAGACCGAGGGTGTCTTAATCAGGTTCCTACGCCCGTATTAGTGCAGGGAACAATGGCTGAAGAGAGCTCCAACAAGACTACTCATAGAAAAACTGTTTATGAAACAACAATACCAATCATGAGTAAGGACTTTATTTGACCGGAAACCCCAAGTAGACCCCAGAGTAACCTAGGAATAAAAAGGGTGCCCGTTTTGGCTTAAAGCGGCTTATAAGGGAACCTGAATCCTAAAACAAGGGAATAAGGGCCTACTCCAGGTCCTAGCTAAACCCTAATCTCGTGCCTTCTTGTCGAAGCTCTTCACGTAGCCGCAGTTTGTGCACACGAGCTCCGGCCCGGTAATCTTTCCATAGTCGAAGACCTGCCGAGTAGGAAAGTTTATTTCCGGATTTTGGGTTTAGGGACTTAGAGTTTAGGGGGTTTAGAGTTTAGGGGTTTAGGAGTTTAGAGCTTAGGGGTCTAGAGTTTAGGATTTAACTAAGGTCCATGGAAAATACTATCCTTGACTATTCCCCCAAACCCTAATGTTACAAGTTTCGGGGGTGGGCAAAGGCTTCGTATCACCAAATCAATTGTTGATGTTATTCCAAAACTCATTCCGAAGATGTTCCAGAATCTTGTGGGGATAGTTGTTCTGTTTCTCATCCAGGCCATGCTTGCCCTGCACCATGAGCTGATGCATCTGAAAAACACCAGTCCGCTGTCTGTCGCGGCTGGTGGAAGCGAAAGAAGCGTCAGGAGGACGGCATCGACGTAGAGGCCAAACGTCTTCTGCAGGATTTCTGTCTGGAGCGAAACTTCTTTCAGAAGCTTCTCTTTCTCCTCCGTCGCGCAAAAGTTCCCAAAGTCGTCGAGGAAGGCTTGGAGCGCCTAATCCTCAACCCTGAATCCACCCTAAACCCTAAACCCAACGCCCTACACCCACCGTTGGGGCTTTTGGGATTCAAAAAACTAGCCAAATGAACCTTATGATTCAGATGACCGAACCCTCGCAGTGCACCACGAGGTTGTCTGTTGCACTGACGTCACCGTGGTCTCGGATGGATGGGTAGATGGATGGACGGACGGACGGACGAATGGACAGATGAATACATGGATGAATGGATATAATGGGAGCGTGTGTATGTATGTAACTGTATACATGCATGCCTGCATGCAAGTATGTATCTACATGTTCCTGCCTGTAGCTGCCACCGCACCGTCTATGCGGGTACACATGCATCTACATGTGCATGTATGCATTTTCATGCGCAATGTGAAATAATGGCATACACACACATGCATATGTATATATATATATATATATATATAGTGCATGTACGTACCCGCACTCCTCCACAGGTGCATGCATGCGAATGTGAGCACGCGCGAATGCAGCCAGGAGTGTGTGCGTGTATGTGTGTGTATATATATATATATATATATGTATATATGTATACATGTGTTTGTAGGTAGGTATGTAGGTACATGGGTATGTAGGTATGTACGCAACTAGGCATGTAGGTAGGTAGGTATGTAGGTAGGTATATGCATGCATGTACGTATGTATGCATGTACGTATGCAGATGACGTATGTACGCGCGTACGTACGTGCATATGTATGTATGCAGATGTGTGTATGTATTATGTATGTATACATAAACAAACCAACATGTGTATTTATAGTTGCACACTGGTTATTCACATCACACTGATTTACAGTACCTACACTTCTTCTTGTGCATTTGGTGTGTACATATGTGGTCTCCGACCTCCTATAGGTATGGAATTCTTTATCAATGCAGCTGGAGGGTGCCTGCCCGCATCGGGGGCACAGATAGTTGTCAGCTTGCCAAACCTCGGGCCAGTTGTACTCAAGGAGATTGAAACACTGAAGCTGACGTGAGTAAACTGCGCATGGGATTTGCAAAACTGTAATGCTGCATGCTGGCCTTACAGTGCAGAGGACGACCTGGATGTCGCCCAAATCGCAGGATTTAGTTTTCAAAAAACGAGTTCAATCGAAACGTGTACATACGGAAACCTCAATCGAACCTAAACCTGAAACCTTGCCTATCCTAAGGGTCCATGTACCCATATAGAGATACATGGGCCCCAAAGTACCTATATAGGGACTACATTAAGGCCAATGTATCTAGTATATGAGTACATGGACCCTTAGGGATAATAAGCAAAACCCTAAACCCTAAACCCTAAACCCTAAACCCTAAACCCTAAACCCTAAACCCTAAACCCTAAACCCGCTGCGGTCGGCAGGGCCTGATGCTGAGCAGCTGAATTACTTGGGAGGATCAAGGGAGGTGATCTGGACGGTTGATACAAATCCTAGGGTTCCTTTAAAGGGATCTATAGGGGTACCTTTAAGGGGCCCCTTTTAAGGGATCTATAGGGTTTTAGGGTTTAGGGTGATGATACAAATCCTGCATTACCCTAAGGACCCAAAACTATGGGAATTATGGGATATTCCTTATTATGGGGAAAGCAGGATTTATATTATCCACCGGATCACGGGTGCTTTAATGAATCGCCGCCATTCTCTGCAGACATACTGCGAGGCCTGACAAATTGGAATAGGGCTTCCTGGCACATATTATGTTGCGGGTATGTGACGACTATAGGGAGCTTTTAAGCTCACCTATTACTGTGATTACCAGCTCTTTTGGGCGTCTAAACTACATGGACTAGGATAGCCAGTAACCTAAGAATAAAAAGGCCTCTCTTTTTGGTATTGGGTAACTTTATAAGGAACCTAGGACTACAAAAAGGGAATAAGGGTACTACTGGGCATCCTAGACATGGACCCGCAACAGCCTTGTCTCACCCTGTTGACGCCTCAAGCTTCCCCCTGGCTCCGGGAACTCCTCACAAGTGACCTCGTGTCAAGACGAGACCTAAGAGTAACCTAGGAATAAACAGGGTGCCCTTTTTGGTATAAAGGGTGCTATAAGGGAACGTAAACCTTAGGAAAAAGGGGACTAAGGGCCTACTCTGGGTCCTAGCTTTGCTGCGCTGACCCCCCCAGCCGCAAGCCCTACCGAACCCCAAGTCACCTACCTTGTCGAGGACCTAGGGACCTAGTATATAGGGAAATCACAACATGGAACCCGATAACTGAAGGATTTCTGTCCAGGTAATATAGGGGCCTGAAGACATAACTGAGACAGGGTTTTGAGGCCCGTTAGTACGTATAGTGTAGGCAGTTAAACAAGCACCTTTATTAAATTCTAACCCCATGCTGTAAGGGCCTCAAATATGAGTCCTAAGAGCCTTGGGGTTATAGGGTTTAGGGAACCCTAAACCCTACGCCCTGAGAGCCTTTAGGGGAAGCCATGGGCCTCACAAGCCTTTCCACCAGGCTACCCTTACAGGACTCTTCAAGAACCCTTAAAAGGGACCCTTAATGGTACCCTTATAGAACTCTTAAAGAACCCTTAAAGGGACCGCTATAGTACCCTTATGGAATTAGAATAGGGCTTTGGGCTCCTTGATACTACAGGTACTATTAACAAAGCACCCTATGGAATCATATTGGTACATAGTTAAGCTTCTACATTAAATCTCCAAACCTGTAACCCTAAACCCTAAAACCCTAAACCCCCCTAAACCCTAAACCCCTTTAAACCCTAAACCCCTAAACCCCTAAACCCCTAAACCCCTAAACCGCTAAACCTCTAAACCCTAAAACCCTAAACCCCCCTAAACCCTAAACCCCTTTAAACCCTAAACCCCTAAACCCCTAAACCCCTAAACCCCTAAAACCCTAAACCGCTAAACCTCTAAACCCTAAACCCCTTTAAACCCTAAACCCCCCTAAACCCTAAACCCCTCTAAACCCTAAACCCCTAAACCCCTAAACCCCTAAACCCCTAAACCCCTAAACCCCTAAACCGCTAAACCTCTAAACCCTAAACCCCTTTAAACCCTAAACCCCCGTAAACCCTAAACCCCTTTAAACCCTAAACCCCTAAACCCCTAAACCCCTAAACCGCTAAACCTCTAAACCCTAAACCCCTTTAAACCCTAAACCCCCCTAAACCCTAAACCCTAAACCCCTTTAAACCCTAAACCCCTAAACCCCTAAACCTCTAAACCCTAAACCTCCGAAACCCAAGAGTCGCTAAGAAAAGGGCACCGAGGATTTGCCGCACGGCGAAGTCGTCCTGCTGCTTGCCTTTGCTCAGGTCCTGCTCCGTCAGAGCAGGGTTGAATTATCCGGGGTTTAAGGGCTGAGGGGGTTTCGGGTTTTAGAGTTTAAGGTTTAGGGGTTCAGGAGGTTTAGGGTTTCGGGTTGTAGAGTTTAGGGTTTAGGGGTTCAGGAGGTTTAGGTTTTGAATCATCCAGGGTTTGGGGGGGCGAGGTTTAGGGCGTAGGTTTTGAATCATCCAGGGTTTAGGGTTTCACAGGGTTTTAGGGTTTGGGGTTTATGGTCGCAGTTTAGGCTTTAGGGTTTGGGCTGATAAGACCACAAAAAGACCCGCACAACTTTCGTTGGGACACTGGACTTCCGGACTGATGGAGAGGCTTATGAAAATCAGGGGTATCTTATCGTGGGGTCCTTATATAAGGATCCGACTATTTAGGGTACTATACTAGGGTCCTTTGTTTTCAGAAACTCCCTGATAACCCAGCTAGAATGCTTCTATAGCAACCCTCGTCGTTTGGGGCACATAGGGTTTAGGAGCCCAAATTGTAGCACTCTTTATGAGCCGCTGCAAGAACACTTAACCCCAAATCCTATCTAGGTTCCAGAGTAGCCCCTTCATAATAAGGGTGCCCGGTTGACTACTATTGGGCAATAACTAGGGGCCTCACTGAAGGGTACTAATTGCTCAGGAACCTAGCAGACCCCAAACTCCCATAGATCCCTTATAGAACCCTCTTAATTTTAGGAGCTCTTAAGGAACCCTTTAAGGGCACTACTCAGGAAACTAGCTATAAACCCTAAGCCCTGAACCCTAAGCCGTTAAACTGTAGACCCAAACCCTGAAGACCCTGAAGGAACGGCTGCAGGCTTGTCGAACCCTATAAGGAGCCCTTGAGGAAACCTTCAAGGGCACTACTCAGGGAACTTAGCTAAACCCTAAACCGTAAACTGTAAACCCTACCCTATAGACCCTGAAGGAACGGCTGCAGGCTTGTCGAACCCTTTAAGGAGCTCTTGAGGAACCCTTCAAGGGTACCACTCAGGAACCTAGCTGAACCCTAGCCCGTAAACCGTAAACTGTAAACCCTAAACCCTATGGTAAACCCCATAAAGTTGGAAACCTGATTACGGCCAAATAGTGCCGGGATTCCCTATACATTACTCTTAAGGATTGAGGCTATTGGCTTTCCAACTTTTAGGCTTCTACTGTATACCCTAAGGGTCCATGTACCCAAATAGCATATACTTTGTCCCTAAAGTACCTATATAGGGACGACTTTAAGGCCAAAGTATATACTATTTGGGCACATGGACCCTTACCCCAAAGTCCGATTCACTAAACCCTAAACCCTAAACCCCAAACCCTAAACCCTAAAAACTAAACCCTCAAACTAAACCCTAAACCCTAATCCCTAAACCCCTAAACCCCTAAACCCTAAACTCCTAAAGACGCTGAAGGAACGGCTGCAGGCAATTGACAGGCTGAGCCGGGCCTCGAAGTCCTCCGGGGCCACGGGCAACGCCTGACCTGCGCTGAAGAGACGTTGGGCTTAGGGCTTTAAGATTTAGGCTTATGGGTTATGGGTGTAAGGTTAGGGTTTTAGGGTTATCGGTTTAAGATTTGTTTTTTGAATGCCGTTTTTCGCCTGAAAAGACAAAACCCCTCCAGGGGAAAGCAGACCCTAGGGTTTGGGGTTCTAGGGTTATGGGTTTTGGGTTTAGGGTTTTAGGGTTTTGAGGTTATGGGGTTTAAGATTTGGGGTTATAGGCTTATGGGTTTAAGATTTGGGGTTATAGGCTTATGGGTTTAAGATTTAGGGTTATAGGGTTATGGGTTTAAGATTTAGGGTTATAAGGTTATGGGTTTAAGATTTAGGGTTTAGGGTTATGGGTTTAAGATTTAGGGTTTTAGGGTTATGGGTTTAAGGTTTTTTTTTAAAGTTGACATGCGCCCCTTTCCGCTGCGCTGGCAGTATGCCATCAACTTAGAACAGTTCGCCCCTCAGAAGTCACCCTCAACGATGCGATCTGCGACAGACGACATAGCCTCACCACATTCATCACCTTCAGAGAACTCCGAACCCATCTGTGTATCACGACCATCACGTACTCCCGCACGTACAGGACTGCGAGAACGTTCACAATCTGCATCACGTACACGACCCGGTCGAACAGGTTCTGGTTGGAGTGCTTGAAGACGAAGAGGAAGAGTACAAGGATCCACCCAGGCCGCTTCCATCCCAGTGACGAGACACCCATTCACCATCTGGACAACTTCACGAATGAACTCCGCGGACAGGCCCATAAGTGCACGTCGATCTTCTTCAGGAGGTAGCCGGTGCACAGTTCCCTCGCGTGCTTCAAGAACAGTGCACAACGCACGAAGCGCCGTAGTAGCCGTACGAAGTGTCTCCGTCAGAACACCCACGTACCAGTTGACATCGTCACAGTCCGCAGCACGCAAACGTAGGTCACGGAATTGCTCCAGCAAAGCACTCAGGGCATGAATACAGTGTCCACTCACCATTTCATCATCAAGTGCTTGCGCCTCAGCAATGTTCAAGGTTTGCATAAGCGCAGCCTCGTCCATGGCGTCTCCGTCCATGGCGTCTCCGTCACCCTCAGAATGGCTGCCACTTGCACGTCCCAGTGCGGCCCCAACAGTGTCAACCGCGCCACTGTCAACACCCACAGCGCGTTCAGGGCGACGCGGACTCCGGGATCTCGGACGTTCTTCTTCACTGGTGGGTGGAATGCTTCGTAGATGTTCGGGCAGTCGCTCAGGATCCAGCCAGCAGTAAGACAACCTCTCATGAAGTTCCAAGAGAAAGCTCCGTGCAAGGCCAACCATGAGTTCATGGCCTGCCTGTGCTGACGCCCCACGTTGCTCCTCGATAGGTAGCGGGAGAGCATCAGGAGAACGTTGAAGACGGCGTGTCAAGATCACTTGGAGTTCATCCTGCATTGCAATGGCATGTTGAACAGACCATTCCACGGCATGTAGACACCACTGTGCAGTGGCAACATCCAGCTCGGCATTCGCAGCATTTTCTTCACACTGGGCCATATTCTCAAGGAAACGGCCCAATGCCAACACCGTTTGCGGACGAACACCCAGACCTTGAAGTCGACGCGCTTCTTCAGGTTGTAGTCGCTGCACCATGCTGACACCCTCACTGCCAGAAGCCATGCCATCACTCCCACCAGAGACTCCACCACCACCAGAGACTCCACCATCACGTCCAGGAGCAGGATTATCCCGTGTAGCAACACTGCCAGACACCCCACTGCGACGAACTGCACGACGTGTTCGCGGGCGTGAGGATGTAGAGGACGAAGAACTCACACGGACAGGTCCACCATCCCGAGACCGAGAGCGCTCTCGCACAGGAGCATCACCAGATGCGCTCACCGCACTGCCAACGTCACCACCAGTAGGACCTCCAGCAGCAGCACCTGTACTGTCAGGAGGAGGACATCCCGCCGTCATAGCCACGTCCACCAAGCGTTCAAGCAGCGGCACAAGCACTGCAGTCCACTGCCGGTTGAATGCCACACATCTTTCATGCTGCGCCATTTCACGGGGAGTACGAAGCACTGGAAAATAGGGTAAGGGACCTTCGACACGTGCTTCCAGTATGCGTGCAACAGCTTCCGCCTGTTCACATCCACGACGCCAGGCTTGTAGCCAACGCCGTAGACCCCACCGGAATTCAGCACCCACGTCACCTGCCTGGTGGTTTTCTAAAGTTCGTAGCATGTCACGAATATCACGTCGTATCTGGTCAGGAACACCCAAATCATGGAGGTGCTCCTCTTCTTCTGCATTCAACTGCATCAGCACAGTGGTGTCAAGGCGCGTTTCCGCTGCACTCGACTGCATGTCAAGGCGCGTTTCCGCTGCACTCAACTGTGACAGCACAGCTTCGTCATCCTCACCCCCTTCAGCGACAAACTCCCACGACGGCGGACCACGCTCAACCCAGTTTGCCAGAAGCATGGGGTTGTGCCATCTCTCCCAATCATCCCATTGTCTTGCAGTCCAACGTGGCATGCCAATGTCTTCAGCCGATTGTGTACCCGGAGTACTTGCACGACCGTGTCCAAGTTCACGAGGGGGTCGATCAGGATGTAGTCCATCGCCACGAGGAGCACTTCCAGAAGGTCCACGAAGAGGAGCAGCAGCTTCACGTAGTACACGTCCCATTTGTTCACGAAGTTCACGCATCTCAGGTGTATTCATCCCAGGCACTCCCCGATGGAATGCAGCCGGTCGAAAGCTTCCATCCTCCCAAGCTTCCACACGCCGCTGTCGGCGTTCCAATCGCACATGTCCCTGGCCACCACGATGTAGACGTTCCTCAGAGTCCGTGCGTTGTCTTGGAACCCACCGACCTGCTTGCCAGAAACCATGTGGTCTTTCACGTTCTCGAGTTTGCCCATTCCATCCAAATGAAGCCGAAGACGAAGAAGAGCCATGTTGTTGTTCACCTTCACGTTGTCCACGATACCACCCAAGCGTAGATGCCGAGGAGGAAGAGGGCCAAGGAACATCACGATGTTGTTCAGAAGTAAATTGTCGCCAGTCATCCGAAGGCGGAACCCACCAGTAGGGTACGTCCCAACCAGACTGCCAGTTGCTACCGCGTCCAGATTGTCTCCACCCACCACGTTCACGAGCACGACCTTCATCATGTAGCCATTCAGGAGCAGTCTGCCAGTGTGGAGTACTGCCACGTTCATTGCCAGAATTTCCATGGGACCACTGCCGATCACCATCATGCCGCGGTCCATCCACAGTCCCTCCAGACGAGTAACGGCTCCAGCGTCGAGCCTGACGTCCACCCGCGCCGGCATTCCACCCATGGGCAGTGTTTTCAGGATGTGGTTCAGGTTGAGGTTGTGCATCCACCGCCCACGTTGTTGTTGTAGTAGACGACACACAGGCACAGCACTCAGCACCAGCACCAGTCGCTTCTGTCACAGCCCGCCCATCGTCACGAGGAACAGGAGAGGGCACGTCAGTATCTCCACACACAAGTGCACGAAGGGACCCGGCAAAGGCACCGCAGACCACAGCGAGTAGGCAGCACCGCCCACGTCGCACCATTGTTCACTTCAACTACAGGGGAATCCTTACAAACTCAAGAAAAGGTTGCAACGTCCAAGACTTCTTGTTCGCAAAGTACAGATTGTAACACTTTGTTCATGCAGAGGTTAACGTAGGACAAAGTCACATGTAGGAGGTTTCGAGCTGGCACAGCACGCACACACCACACATCACATCGATGGATTCAGTCCGCAAACTTCACAAGTGACATGGCATGCAGTGCGGAGGCAGTACCAACAGTAGCACATGTCTACAGACCGATAGCAGCTTGACGTCCACAGCACCACGGCACATCCTCAGCGCTCAGCCACATTTTCAGGAGCTGTCGCCACCCATCACGGTTTGCTGCCGCTTCAGGCCACTCAACACCCACCGCAGAAGCCAGAGAGCGCTCAAGGTTTTGAGCACGGAAACACTGGGGATGGCGTTTGCCACCAGCGTTGGGAGTAATGGCCTGTTCCTTCTGCCACCAAGCAAGGCAACGCCACAACTGCATACGCCCAGCTAAGCAGCGAACTTCACCCTCCCATCGGCGAGACCAGTGGCCCATGAGCTGGAACTGCAATCGTAGAATCTTGGAGCTCCATCTCTCTGTACCATTGTTGTGTACCCAGGCACGTATGTCACGTAGGGAACGGGAGTTGTATGACACCCAGTCCTCATCAGCTCCACGACGACATCCGAAACAGAGGCGATACACCCGCAACTGCAAGGAGTTCATAGCACGAAGATCATCCTTTTCCCAGTGAAGCGACCCAGCCGTCCAACTCCAACACCCTTCGATGAGCATCCGCACGAGGTAGACTTTGGCAGAACGCGACCCTGGTCCACAAAGCAGTTCTTTACTAGCATGGAAGGCAGTCCATACTTTGCCCATGATCTCCTTCGCTTGTTGGTGAGCAGGAGCATCGAAGTCAAAGTCGAGGCCAAGGACACGCAGGGAAGAACCAACTGGCTGCATTTCGACACGAAGTCCATCAACCATGACATGTCTCACACCCTTGTAGTACTTGGAGGACACGACAGCTGTCTTCTCTCGGGCGAGTTCCAACCCAACAGCGCGCAATGCTTCAGAAATCAGTTGAATGTTGTGTTGAATGGGACCAGGTTGCTCACCCCAAACAAAGATATCATCTTGGTAACATCCAACGTCAGCAGGAAGATCCCGAAGATATCCATTGGGTACCCGCCACTGATTGGAGGCCTTTAGCCGAGAGATGATGCTGGACACCAGGAGCCCGAAGATCTCGGCCGACTCTGGCGACCCCTGACGGATCCCCCGGTTGCAGTCGACAGAAAGTCGGGCGCCTCCAGGTGCACACCCTTCCAACTTGTTGACATCCAAGAGACGAAGCAGAAAGCGCAGCTCAAAAGGAACATCCTCACCCTGCAAATGCTCTGTGATGAAGTCCGCAACAGCACTCCTGTGGACATGATCAAAGGCACCACGTATGTCAAGTTTAACGGCAATAACACCGACACGCCACTCCCGACACATGTCACGTAGTCTGCTAAACGTCCCATGCATATCAGCACAAGATCTTCCACACCCTGCAGCCGTCCATGGACACGGCCGTCTCATAGCAGGAAAAGTGCGTGCCATAACGATGCGAGACAGTGTCTTCATGGACGCCGATGACATCGCTATGGGTCTGAGGTCCGACACCCCGGCAGGCCAGGCAGTCTTGGGAAGTAGTGCAAGCAGCGATACGTCCCAGTCTTGAGGTAACTTGCCACTGTGTAGAACTTCATTGAACAGGCGACAAAGTGCAAGTGGTGCATGTTCAAAGATCTTACGCAAAAGATCCACACCCACCAAGTCAGGTCCAAGAGCCGATCGAGCTCGCATGCCAGCAAGAGCACTAGCAACCTCCTCACAGCAGATGGGTCGGAATGAATTATCATGACAAGGCAGGGCATCAAGACGTCGTTGGAGCTCAGCATGCCAATCAAGACCAGCATCATGGACTTTGGCTTCAAGGTGTGCCGTTACCTTCTTGCCAAGCTCACTCGCCGACACATCCTGAAGCAGTCTGCCCCACCAGTTTCGCCGTCCCCTCTCACGTTTGTAGTCACGGTATGCATGCCAGTTGCCACCCAGGATGGAGAGCATCCGATCTCGCTTCCATTCACGTCGTTTCTTTTTCCGCAAAGCATGGACACGCTTCCATAGATCCTTTGCAGGTACTCCGCGGGCAGCCTTTGCCTCATAGATCAGATCCAGGGTCTCCTTATCATCCTTATAGCGTGCGGCAGGGCGAGGTCGAGTGAACAAGTGCGCCATAGTCTTGACATCATCCCAGGTCTCAGGCTCGTAGAGATTGTCTGTATCACACACCCATCGTGCCCGACCATCTCTCCAACGTCCACCCCTCGTCTTCTGGAGTTCCACTCGACACTGAAGGCGAGCATGGTCCGTGTTGATGTTCAGCCTGACATCAGCATCAACAACAACCGGAGACGAAGCCAGGCCACGAACCAGCAGACCGTCAATGTGTCGACCTTCACGACTCACATCACGCGGGTAGTGTGTCGGTACCCACCGATCTGACATCTGAGGGGCCTGTGCCTGCAATCGCAACGACCCACACATCTCCAGGAACTTGTCTACCTTGCCACCTGACTGAAGTCCAACACCTCCTTCACGATCCTCAGCCCGACTCCACACCAGTTCAACGTTTGCATCCACCCCAACAAGGCAAGGTAGATCAGTGTGCCAACCCACAAGCATGCTCCGAAAATTGCTGCAGGCCTTGTAGTACTCCTGCACAGGTACACCAGTAGGAAGATGAAGCGAAGCCAACACAAATCGCTTGGCATTACGAAGGCGAACCACCCACGCAGCACCATGTGAACACGATCTCCGATCAGTAGTGCAGTCAAACAAATCATGCGACACCCCAATGCCAACTCCTCTCCATTGAATAGAACTTTGATGAAGCAACCACGTGAAACCATCCGTTGTTTCTTCACGCCACCCAGGCTCAGAGCGAGGCACTTCTTGAACACAAAGTAGATCAAGGGCTCCACTCACGACGTCTGCCTTCGGCAAGGACTGTCCACCCAGATTCCATGAGGCCAAATTACATCCCAAAATGGGGCGTCTTGCATCTTCACCACCCACAGCACCTCCTTGGGAGTCAGTAGGAAGGGAAGAGGTGAAACCATCCACGTTCACCCGTCACAGCTCGCGCTCGAAGGCGCCAAGTGCCGAGTCCCAGGTAACACCCAGAGCCTTGGCCACCGAGTCGAGGTCCACCCATCCAGACGAAAGCAACTTGACATCCTCCTTCACAGGGGGGCGATGGGTACTCGATCCCAATTTCCACTCTCCCAACCACACCGTGCCTGCATTCCAATCCACATCAAAGGCACCCTCCTCAACCGCTGCCGGGTTATGTGCCTCGCCATTGTGGGCCGCGTCCTTCACAAGCTGGAGACACACCCTTCGAAGCAACGATCCATGGGAGCTTCTACGACGGGCTTCACGGGTCTTGACGAATTGTGCCCACATGGGACGCCCAAGAGGATCGGATCCACCCTGTATGGTAGAAGACAACCTGTGTGGCTGCGAACGAAGACACTGAATCACCCTCCACATTCTGTCACGCACACCCCGAGCGTCTTCATCAGCTCGAGGCTTGAATCTCAAGAGACCAAAGGAGCGCCGAGGACCGTACACAGTCAACTCCTGACAGTCAACAAGTGGCTGAACATCCTCGCGACGGAGTAGTGCTCCAGCCTCATCAAGGATCGTCTGCCTCTTGCTATCCTGGGCCCACCCCCCGAAGACCAGCGTGCGGCGATCCTCCTCAGATAGTTCGTCTCGAGCAACACCATCACGTCCACCAGCAGCATCACGTCCAGGTTCAGGATGACCATCAGGAGCAGCAGGGCCACCTTTGGGCGGAAGCGGTCCATGTCGAGCACGATAAGTCGACCAAGGGTCGGAGTGAACAGGACGATTGACACCCGATGGGGCATCTCCAGTAGAGCCAGCAGCACCTCCAGCAGCACGAAGTTCCTGGATGTCCTTCTCCATCTTCTCTATCCGACCAAGACTCTCCGACTGTTTACGTTCTGTCTGAGCAATACGAGAGTACATCAGGTCCTTTTCATTCTTCTGAGCATGAACATCCTTCTCGACTTGTGCCATTCTACCATTCATCTCGCCCCACGCTTGTGTCATGGTCTGAAGGTGTTCCTGAAGCAGACTACGGAACTCTTTAGAGGAAACCGGGCGATCATCACCAGGAGAAAGAGGCCGACGAGCAGGGGGTTCAGGATCACTCAGATCACGAGCACGTTTAGCTCTAGAGGGCGAGCCACCCGTGCCATCAACACGCATTGCTGAACCACCCGGATTGACACCCCCAGCAGCAGCAACTGCACCAGGGGCCAAGCCATCATCATCATCATTTGGCTCCTCCTTCAAATCCTCATCTGAGTCTTCAACAACTTCAGTCGGAGACCCTTTCCCTGTCACAGGACGCGCCGCCATCACAAAGTGCAGAATCGTCAAACCGAGCCCGAAGAAAAACCCCCAGGGAGCCAGGTCAGGAAGTCCCTAATCACGCCGGCAGCCTCGAAGACGCACAGGACGCCGAAGGTCACCAGGTGAATCAGGTAGATCGCGAACGCCAAGCTCGGAAGTGATAGGGCAGGCTTTGGGGTCTACAGATTTCCTTAATCCAAACGGCCTTGAGCCATAGGGTTATGGGTTATGGGTTTAAGATTTGGGGTTTAGGGTTATGGGCTTGAGGTTTGGGGTTTAGGGTTCTGGGCTTAAGGTTTGGGGTTTAGGGTTATGGGTTTAGGGTTTGGGGTTCAGGGTTATGGGTTTAGGGTTTAGGATTATGGGTTTCGGCTTATGGCTTTAGTTTTTAGGTTTTAGGGTTCTAGGTTTAGGGTTATGTCTTGTTTCGCCGTCTTTCCGCCCTAAAACAAGAAGTCCCCACACCACCGGGAAGATCCAAAAAGTAGATAAATTAAGGGGGGTTCCTATAAAGTACCCTTCGTGGTATAGGGCCCCAAATTAGTGGATCTACTTTCTAGGTTTTGCCGGTGGTCTGGGTGTACTAATCCGTGTGATTTACATAGGCAACACCTAGTCAAGAAAGGCCCATATAGCGGCCTTCGTTTACAGTCTCAATAGAGTTTGGGGTATAATCAATATAGTTAAACTACAACAAGGAGTAGTATCGGTAAACATTCCGACCCATATTCCCCTAAACTCTGAACTTCCTGAACCCCACTAAAGCCTCAACCCTCTCTATGACAAGCGAAGGCGCACCTTTGGAAGCCTTCTCCGACTTCTTCCTCTTCTCCGTTGCGGCCATGGCGCCAAAAGCTGGGAAGAGTTGTGCGGGCACTGGCAAAGACTCAAAGCCTAGTACAGGGGCCTTGACAATTAGAATAAGGATCTGGGGTATATTATATGGTAGCTTGGGGTTATCTAAAAGCTTTGGGGTTAGGCTTGGGCTTTAGGGTTTAGGGTGGGCTGTTTGTGTTTGTAATGCAGAAATGCAACCTGCTGCAAGCTTGAGTTCTACTGTAAAACATTTTTTGGCAACGGATTCAGGTAGGGGTTTCGGTAGTAGGAGTTAGGTTGGTCGAGGGCCCGCTCCCACAGAGCAACCCCAAAGCCCTTGCACCCGAAACCCTCCACATTTAACTACCCAATACCAGACCCTTGACCCCTAAACCCTAAACCCTAAACCCCTAAACCCTAAACCCTAAACCCTAAACCCCTCAACCCTAAACTGGTAAACCCAAAGACTTTGAACCCGAAGACCTTGAAGCCCGGAAGCCTTCGGCCCCATCAAGCCGCAAGCGGCAGGACAGAAAGTCTTGACTTTGACTCCTAAACCCAGCACCCCAACTCAGAAATCCAAGGTCGTGACCCATCTGTCATCGGAAGAAGCAGGGGCAGCAGTGAGTAAGACCAAGAGCAGGGACGATAGGAGCAGAAGCAATGCTGCCGCAAGAATGGTTAGTATGTTACATCTCAGACCCTCAAATCTAGAAGCTACACACTGAACATCACTGAACCCTAAATCCAAAGACCATACCCGCCGAAACCCCCGCTGAAACTCTGAACCCCAAAAATGCCAAGCTCTTGTTTTCATTTTCCCTCCGGCACAAAATGGGAATCCGATATCCAAGCAATCTTCAGAGATGGAGCGACTGCCGGACTTATGGGTTTTCTTTGTGTTGTTTCGGGTTTAGGGTTTGGGATTTCGCTAAGTTTTCGGATTTAGTGTTTAGGGTGAAGGTGGTCATGCAAACTGGGTTTGGATTCACCAGGGTTTAGGATTGCTGATCATGACTATGATGAGTCCTCAGCACGAGTGGCGTAAGTATACGGCCAGGTACCAGGCAAGGCCTACCAGACCTATATCACCGCTGCCATCATCGTCGCCATCATCAGTATCTACATCTTCATCATCTTCATCATCCTCATCATCAACAACATAAGCATAGGCATCACCATCTTCATCATCATCAACATCAACCTCATAATCATGATAATTACCATCGTTGTCGACATCACCATCATCATCATCATCAGCAGCATCATCATCGTCATCGTCATCATCACCATTGTCGTCATCATCAACAGCAGCAGCACAATGACCATCATCGGCAGCATCGTCATACGTTCAAAATTGACATGAACTTTGTGAATGCATCTATGCATACACTGTCGTCTGAAACCTTCGCTCTTACTCCATCTACCCTCTATTATACCCCAACTGCCCACTATTTGGAGCCATCTAATTACCCCTGTTTGAGGGTACAAGGAGGGTCCTGGAATCGGAACTATGCGGGGACTTTGGACAAAGTAGGCAAAACTCGGGATTGGACGTAGGCAGTCGTTCCGGGAGGGGTGCACTAAGCTATACGCGTCCTCTCTGCAAGTGGGCCCTTCATATGTCACGACCTCGCTGTATGCTCAGAGGAACAAATAGCTCCTGTCGGACCACTTGCGACGGTAATGTTCGAGCTTCGCTTTGGGCTGTTCTTTGGCATGCTGTCCACCTACTTACCCATGGATATCTCGACATGTATGTGTAGGCATGTATGTACGTAATATAGTATGTATATATTGTGTACCTATGCCCGTGCACATGCATGCGTGCATGTGTCAATGCCTGCGAACGAGCAATTGTTTTTAGTGTTTGTAGCTACGTGGACATTCACTACCACGTCTAGGTCGGTTTAACATACACAGTTATACACAAATACATGCATGCAAACATGCATGCATGCACGCAAGCAAGTCTGCATGTGTGAATGCCTGCAAACAAACACATGTATCCGCACCCTCCACCCACACACAAAACACAAAAACACAAATACATGATGTGTGCAATCGCGCACACTTTCCCTTAAGCATACACGCCTTCATGCATATGTGCACGTGTGCATGTCTGTGCGGGTGTCTGCGTGCGTGCGTGCGTGCATGCGTTCGAGTGTGCATACATACATGCATGCATGCATGCATACATACGTACATACATACATACATACATACAACATAAATACGTACGTACATACATACACACATACGTACATACATACATGCGTACATACATTGACATACATGCATACATGCATGCATACATACATACATGCATACAAACATGAATGCATGCATACATACATATATACATACATATATACATACATCCATGCATGCATGCATACATACATACATGTATTGTCTGCCCTGAGCCCTAAACCCAAATTGCTAAGCCCTATAGAGCACTAATCCCCTATAGACTTTGGATTGCACACTTCCTCTATCAGGGGATCGGGGTTGCAGCTTCACGTGTGTAGGATCAGGGCTTGAAGGATTGAGGGTTTAGGGTTAAGGGTTAAGGGTTTAGGGTTTAGGGTTTAGGGCTTCGGACGAACGGATCTTACATTCGAAACCCAGCATTCGTGCGGTATCTCTGCGTTTGCAGCATGTACACCAACGTCAAGCCCCCAAATCCTGCATCCTGGTTCTTTCTATCCATCAACCTGCTCCCATTTTCAACGAGCCTGAGTTCCCATAACAGGGATAGGGAATACCGCACCATTCACGACATATCCTGCGCGTAACCTAAACCCTTAATTCTTGTAACAAGAACCACCCTAAACCCTATCCCCCTAAACCCTGTGCCCTAAACCCTGTACCCTGAACCCTAAACCCTGAACCCTAAACGCTGAACCCTGGACCCTAAACCCTTAATCCCCAAACCCTAAACCCTAAACCCTAAACCCCGAACCCTAAACCCTAAACCCTAAAGCCCAAAACCCTAAACCCCGAACCCTAAACCCTAAACCCCGAACCCTAAACCCTGAACCCTGAACCCTAAACCCTAAACCCCGAACCCTAAAGCCCAAACCCTGAACCCTAAACCCCGAACCCTAAACCCTGTACCCTGAACCCTAAACCCTGAACCCTAAACGCTGAACCCTGGACCCTAAACCCTTAATCCCCAAACCCTAAACCCTAAACCATAAACCCTAAAGCCCAAAACCCTAAACCCCGAACCCTAAACCCTAAACCCCGAACCCTAAACCCTAAACCCCGAACCCTAAAGCCCAAACCCTAAAGCCCAAAAGGGTCTCTGGATTCCCAGGGCCTGGCTGCAAACATTGGCATGTAGGCGAAGGCCAAGGGGATCAAGGGAATGGTGAAGAGGGCCAAGTAGTGCATGAACCTTGGGGTTTAGGGTTTAGGGGTTTGAAGTCTAGAATTTGGGCCAAGTACTGCATGAACCTTGGGGTTTGGGGATTTAGGTAGGGGTTTTGGGGTTTAGGGGTTCAGGGGTTTAGGGTTTAGGGTTTAGTGGTGCATGAACCTTGGGCACCAGTTAATCCTACGACCTAAACCTTAAGTTCAGGACCCCAACTAAGCCCTGAACTTTCATCCAAGTGACGCATGAAACCTTGTCGTGACGATGGTGATGGGTGGGAGCCGGTAGTGGTTCTGGTGCTTGCTGTGTTGGATGATGATGGTGATGATGCCGGTTGGTGGTTTAGGATGAAGGGCAGGGGCACGGTGGTACTCGCATTGTGGTTGAAGTGGCGGTAGTGGGTGGCCGTGTGCTGCTGGCCGTAGTGATGAAAAGTGGCGATCATGGCGCAGCCTCCGATCCCCAGTGGCTTTGAGTTTAGGGTTTAGGGTTTAGGGTTTAGGGTTTAGGGTTTAGGGTCTAGGGTTTAGGGTTTAGGGTTTAGGGTTTAGGGTTTAGGGTCTAGGGTTTAGGGTTTAGGGTTTAGGGTTTAGGGTTTAGGGTATATAGGATTTAGGGTCTAGAAATGTCTAGGCATGTCAGGAAAAGTCTGGGGACCTCTTCAAGCGAGAACTGGAACTGATTTTCATTGCTTGCCCCGCACAGCTGTAGTACACCTGAGGTAAACAGAAGACGGGGAACCTGAACCACCTGGTCGTCGCTTTGGAATTTGACCGTCATCCTACTAAATCGTCGTAATCGCTCCGTTAAT